CTGTTATAATCATTTTTCTTACACAACGAGAAATGAATATACCATGACCTATGGCTTCTGTAGACTGTTTAGTTTATGTTTGCCACACTGTGTTCTGCTTGTTGATAAATGTGCTCATTATCTAAATGAGAAAGATAATTACATTTGAATAAAAACACCTAAATCTATTATTTCACAGCATAACAATGTGATACCCATACATAGGAAGAGGCATGTGGAGAAGAGAGACATGAAGCTGTGCTTGTTTCTTGGTCTTAGATTTGTACCAGGAACTTGGCAACATGGAAGGAGACACAAGAGACAAAGATGTGGGTGAGAGACCAGTGGAGAAGCTGACAATGGCAGCCTTTCTCTTGACTTGAATTTTGATTTTGCTCTTTTTCTTCTGGACTTGTCAGGCCCCTTCTTTTGCTTTCCTATGGATCTGCTAAAGAGCAAAGAATGAGGGGGAATACCCAGGATCCCTAAACCTGCCTTCCCTAAATAGGTTCTGCCATCCACTGCATCAAAACACACATGCTCTAGTGCATAAGCTCTTCAATAGAAAATAACTTTAATGCAATTAGTATGCAAGAGAAAAGAGAGGGCCTCACTGGTGGTGCAGAGTTAAAGACACAGCGCTATCAAGCTATCACCAAACACTTCAGCAGGAGTTCCACCCCTGGCCGGCCAGGGAGCTAACCCAAATGGCACAGCAGACCTCTCCTGTCATGCCCGCTGCTCCCCTTAGCAGCGTATTTCAGTATATCTGCCTGTTCTGTTCCCCACTCTCTCTGGTGAATCCTCTTGGCTTACACCCCCCAGTTCTTGAATGCATAATCTTTTAAAAAAGAGAGAAAAGAGAAAGAATGTAGTTAAAATAGTTTCCAATTAAACACCCCAAATTATCCATCTCCACTGCCAAACAGGGTTAGCCCAAAGCAGGGCCACTGAGTCCCCAAAGCTTGCCACAAGTCTAAGGCACTTTCTGGTGGGGACTCTCCCATGGTGGCTGAGTGTAAAAGCCTGAGGCCCTTTCTTGTCTCTCAAAAGATATGGTTTTTCCTCCCTTTTCATCTCATCCGTGGAACTTAATTTTTTCTTGTGTGATTGAGTGTGTATTTACCATCCCTGACAATATTGCAAGATCTTTAGGGTAAAGACTTTTTGCAGTTCACATTGTGTTCTTCATCTTCCCTTTAGTTCTTTCTCAACATTTAAAATAGAATTCTTCAATACCTGTGATATTGCTTATAGGAAAAATTCAGACATTAGCTTCAGAAAAATCCATATTCATTAGTTTATTTCCTTAAAAAATATGTATTTATCTATTTATACTCCACCTTGATTCTAAAAGGATTTGATGTAGCTAAAATATTTGCAGTACAGTTTATACAAGTTAGCATATTTCCACTTTCAAGAAAGTGAGGCAAGCTGATGTCAAATGGATGCATACAACCTGACCAGTTTCTAGTTCTTTTGGCCTTGCCCCTATGGCTGTGAGAAGATTGCCAGGCATTGACATGGCAAAAAGAAGGGTGAATTTATGGCAGCAGCTAAGTCTGTCCTGTTTCTTAGAAAAGCAAATGTTTTCCCAGAACATCTCTACCAACGTCCTACACATCTAACAGTGTTTTGCTTCTCTTGATCAGAATCAAATCACTTGGCCACTACTTCAAATGATGCTAATGAAGCAAGTTTTGAGATAAGAGTATTCAAATTGCCTATTGGTTTAGCAAACAGTGCCAACAACTGTGAAAGTGGCTATCTGTGTCCAAGTTAAAAAATGGATCACTTTCCCAAAAGATATAAAAAAAGACTCCAAAACCTTTTAATAAGTAAAACTAGTAGTTCAGAAACTGTAAAGTATACATATTTAAACATGTTAAAAGGTAAAATTACATGAACATCATACAAAGTCAAGACAAGCAAGAGTTTCTAACAAAGGGGTTACTAATGTTAATATATAAAAGCTGTTAAAAATTATCAAAATAAAAAAAAGTGAACAAATGGTTTATAAAGGCAATATAGGATAGCAAAGTCAAAGGATAAGAAACATTTAAAGAAGAATATTAATGTGCAAATTAGCATAAAAGTTATTTTGAACTCATAACACTTCTTGAGGTTTACTTTTAAATAGAAAGAAATAGGAATGTTTATATACTAATGTTAGAAATATGAGATGTTAGTTTTATTACAAAGAAATCCAGAAACTTCTATTAAAATAAGAAAATACAACTCAGTCCATCAGTCTCACTCCTAGAAGTTGTTAGAGGAAAATAAAAGCTCCAATGTCTGTCCACTAACCTACCATTCTATGCCACCTCTTGAAGGTGGTTTTCAGATCATATGTCCTAATGACAAAAATGTGAACAAATTATGACAATAATACGGACAATGGATTATTTTCAGTTAAAGGTTATTGTTTAGTGCAAGAGATGCAAAAATGTGGATGTAATATCTCCACTTTCAGAAAATGAAAACACACTCATGTGTGTGCATAAATAATAGTGTGTCTGTATGTGATTGTGAGTAAAAAGAAAAATATAAAGTTGACTAGCATTGCGTATCTACAGATTGTTGGTGTGGCGGGATTTGCTATGTGAAACTGAGAAAGTATGTATGAGACAGTATAAAATTCAAGTGATATATTACAAAAATCACTTTTACACAAAGTTTTATGTGCATGCATACAAGTATATATACATATATATGTAATATACATATTTGTGTATATATGCAATTACTGGACTAGTCTCTTTGTACCAACTAGTTCTAGAGATATGGGCATGAAATTAAACAATAAACAAAACTATTTCTCTTGTGGAATTTGCTTTTGTAGAAAGACTTCTTCCACTATATCAATTTATAGGACTTCCTTCCAGTATAACTTTTATGGCATTTTAAGAAAATGATGAATTCTTGGAAGACTTATTTAATTATCTTATGTTCGGTAAGGAGTCATGGACAAAGACTTTTCCCATATAATATATAAAATAGAATAATCATAGGGCTTCCCTATAGTATGAGCAATTTACAATTGATTTAACTTGAGAACACTTTCTCACTTTTAGGAAATACATTTCACTCAAGTATAAATACTGGCAAATACTGATAGGTGATTTCTGAATAAAGCTATTCCCACATGAAGTATATTTGTTTTGTCTCCTAGTAAAAACTTCGTGACTTCCATGAAAAGGGTTTTTCAGTCACTTTTATTAGCTTTTCTTTCCAAAATGAGTTTCTGGTATATAATGAGATTTGCTCTGTTATTTCTCATGTGTGAATTTGTTGATTTCAGGAAATAGACTGCTAAGTGGATGATTTCCTACAGTCATTATATTCATAATATTTTTCTCCTTCATGAATTCTCTCTAGGATTAAGAATGATTTGTGAATAAAACACTATAAGACATTACTTTCCTCTGTGAATTATTTGATGGATAATAAAATGTTGGTTTGAGTAAAAGTTTTCTTACATTTACTAAATTCACAGAATGAGATTCCTTTTGAAAAATTAAAGCTCATTTTTAATTAAATATGTAATTGTGGGCCTCCCCTGGTGGCGCAGTGGTTGAGAGCTGGGCTGCGAATCTGCCCGCAGACTCTGCAATGCCAGTTCGATCCCCGGCCGCTGGACTAGGGTCCCACATGGCACGCAGACCTCTCCTGCCGCCAGCTGCTCCCCTCAGCAGTGTACTTCGTCAGCCTGCCTGTTCTGCTCCCCACTCTGGCTCTGGTGAATTCTCTCACCCTCCCGTGCTTCTGACTGTACCCAGTGCTTGTATAATAAATAAATAAATAAATAAATAAATAAATAAATAAATAAATAAATAAATAAATAAATCTTTTAAAAAAATGTAATTGTAAAACTTTTTGAAAATAGTTTTCCTTAAAAACAAATGAACTGGGGCCTCCCTGGTGGTGCAGGCGGTTGAGCGCTGCACTGTGAAGCTGTCTGCAGCCTCTGCAGCATGGCTTCGATCCCTGCCAGCCAGCGAGAATCCCGCATGGCGAAGCAGACCTCTCCTGTCTCGCCCCTGCTCCTCCCAGCAGTGTATTTCGTCAGTCTGCCTGTTCTGTTCCCTGCTCTGTCTCTGGTGAATCCTCTCACCATCCTGCGCATATGGCCTGTACCCTGGTTCTTGTATAAATAAATCAATCCTAAAAAACAAAAAACAAATGAACTGCATAATAGTGCTGGTATAAAAAAACATGGCTAACACACACTACTGTTCCTAATGAAGTCTATACCCCAAATGCCTCCAATATTCACTGATTTTGGAGTTCAATTTAAAATTTATCTCCCCCATTCTACTTATAATTTTCCATCGTTCTTTTCTCAATCAATTCCCAAATGCCCCTTAAGGAGGCCCACTTCCTTCTCTCCTAGAGGTTTAATGCTGTTGACAAAAGGTAAAGTAGCTAGTTTTCCTTTGGGGGGCTTGAAAGTGTAGAATTGCATTTTTTGGTTAACATGGTTGAGAATCACTAACAAAGTAATTCTACTAAGCTTTGAAATTTTTATTTCAATATGCTGGGCTCTTACACCAGTCTTCATTAACCTAATTTCTAAACTAATCCTCCAAAGGAAAAAACTACACTATTTAAGAGGATATCTGAGTAGTTCTAAATCAATCCCGCTTTGCTAAATTTTGACAGCTACTATAATAAAATTCGACATTACTAATTTCTTCCCACATATCAAAGTTTATAAAGTCTTTAACAAGAGAGTGAATGCCTTAGCTTTTAGCAACAAAAATTGGGTCTGAAGTAATACTGCAAGTCAGAACATTTTCATTTTTAAGTATGGAGTTTTTTGCAATTATTTAATAAATACATTTCTGGACTCCACACTCCTTAAATAGGAGCGACTATCAGAATGAATTGAAAATTTCTTATAATGGCAGAGTAGATGCTACAGCCCTACGTACCACCTTTGAGAACTGAAAATTATGATTTATTTCATACATTAATTTAATAATTAAATACACTTAAATTTTTATTAAGGAATAGGAGTGCTACCAAACTGCAGTTATACAATTGTAGATAAGCTATAACCTCTGGAATTTGGGACTACCTGTTAAAAAGAAGTTATTTGCTAATTCCTAAAGAAACGTTGGTCAAGAGGTTTTAGGCAGTTTTTGACATGTTCACTGGATTAAAGAGATAAGTACTAGAATTAAAATTCTTATAAAAAGGAGGGGTCTGGTAAATTTCCCAAACCCTTAAGTCTTACCTCCAAGGAATATATGTGGGGAAAAATAGACAAGACATCACAGAGACTGAAATCCAGTTTCCAATAATCTCAATTTGTGATTGGATGAAGGCAATCACCCAATTGCCTTATGGTATTCCTATTGTTCTGAGCCTAGTTACCTGCTAGAAGCAAAGGTAAATGCTCTCTGGAAGACAATATCAACTAGACTATTTTATTAGCTCTACAATTTTATCATGTAGTGTCTGATAGAAGATTTTCAATCACAAGATATGAGAAGACAAAACAATCAAAACCCAAAAGAAACAACTAGTAGAATACAGAATCAAGGGCTCTAGATAATGGGGCTATCTCTAGATGGAGAAGAGGAGAAACATAATGACACAGATGCATAATTTGAGGAGACAACCCAAAATGTGCAAAAAGAAAATGCCCCACTAAGCTACAGATTAAAAAAAAACTGCAACCCCCCCTACAGGATGAATACATAAAAATTGAGGCATATCACAGTGCAGTTGTTGACAGCCCAAAGAGTTAAATTTTAAAGGAAACAGAAGTACAAAAAAGCACATTTCTATCAAATTAGATTAAATTAATTAGATTAAAAGCTTATTTTTCAGTCTAATTAATGGAAGACAAACTAATAAAACGTCTCCAAGTTTCTCTATTAAGAATATAACTGCCAACTTGAATTCTATCCTCAGTAATAATATCCTTCAAAATGAAGGGAAAATAAAGGTGCTTTCCAACAAACAAGAACCTGTCACTAACAAATTCACACTAACAGATATTCTTCTGTCAGAAGAAAAATTATTCTAGAGAGAAACAAAGGCCAAGAGGAAAAATAAATAATGAAAAGGGTACATCTGTGGATTCATTTAAGTGAGTAGTGACTCTGAAACAATTACTAGCATCTCAACTACATACAGAATTCAAACGCATGGCATTGATACTATGTAAGAGAAAAACCGTGTTAATGCTCTAACTCTTCACTTTATCCACAAAGTGGTGTGAGTATTCATTTATATAAGTCTTTAATAAGTGAAGTACCAATATTGTATTTATATCTGACAATAAAACTTACGGCAAAAAGCTTCACTAGAGATAAAAGAACATTTCAGAATTGTTTCAATTAACCAGGAAGAGTAAAACCATTCTAAATCTGTGTGTATACACACACAGAGAGACTCAAAATATGTAATGCACAATATGTAAAGCATAAAAAGGAGAGACAAAAATCACAATTATTCTTGATGATTATAAAGTAGGTCTTTCTAAATATAACAGAATAAAAGACAAGAAAGTCTATAAGAATACAGAGCATTTGAAAAAACAGATCAATTAGCAGTGATTGGGAAGGGATAGTAGTACCCTTCAAATGTGTAGCTATATCTTCCAAGAAAACAAGCTAAAACTCAAGACAAGTATGTTCCACAGTAATTTTGCATGTAATGAATGTTAAAGAATGATTAACAAAATTGGAAGGAAAGAATTCTAGATTTTGAAACTCATTTTCTTAATTTTTTTTCAAAGAGAAACCAGTAAAAAGCACAGGTTTCTGTGGACAAGGCTTAGAATCCAAAGTGCTAATATCTAGATTTGTTGCCAATGGCTAAGTTTCATGAATGTAGGGCAAATCCTAAAATGAAAAGTAGTTGGTGGGGCTGCTATTTATATCACTGATCACTTTTGGGATACAGACCAGGAACATTTCATACCTTTGTGTGAGTTTCCTGTTGCCACAGCAAGGAATTAAGGGAGCATACTGGTTACCTAAAGATGCCTATGAATAAGTCTTTTGATTTGCCAATCTCAAATTGTAAATGAAATTTTAATCCAAGTTTCCACATAATAAGATAATAAACAATGATTTCCCAAAGGGAAAAGAAGCAGAGTATTTTGTATCTTTAATATCAACTTTTATAAAAACTTCTGGCTTCTTTTTATTATAGACTTGAATTGTCTAAACTTTTGCCTTGATGTCAATGTCCTTAGGGTGCTTAGGCAATAAGAAAATTCTTCAGTGCTGTACTCAGTAGGAAATTTCTTTGGTCAATACTGAATATTCTTGCCACCCAAGGCATGAGAAAGTCAATAGCTATAAATTTATAAAACTATTTCTCCAAAAACGGAAACAAGAAAGATTGCCAAGTTATCTCCTTGCATATTTACTATTTGCAGAGGCTTGACAATTCTAGTAACTGTTAAGTAACCAAGCAGGGCCGTAATCTGTTGCTTTAACACTTTCTCCCAAGTGTCTTACCATATGTATGACCAGACATCAGGTATGTGACTCAGATATTCACACATCTGATTAGACAGAGAAAGTTGGCTTTAGTTATCTTCTTCTTCTTAGTTAAGCTTTAGCCTCTTACAATTTTATATCCCCACACCATGGTTGTGACATTGGGCATTCTACCCTCCCATTATCAGATTTCTTATGTATAGTGAGTTGTGACTTCCAGTCTAAGGTTTTCCTAAAATCACTGCATTTATAGGGTTTCTGTTTAGCATGAATTTTCTGATGTTTAATAAGATTTGATCTGATGGTGAAGGCTTTTCCACATTCAGTGCATATATATGGTCTCTCTCCTGTGTGAATTCGATGATGCTCATGAAGTTGTGACTTCTTAATGAAGGCCTTCCCACAGTCACTACATTTATAGGGTTTCTCTCCAGTATGAATTCTCCGATGTCTATTTAAGTGTGACTTCTGGATGAAGGATTTTCCACACTCAGTACAAATATAGGGTTTCTCTCCTGTATGAATTCGCTGATGCATAATTAGTGTTGATTTTCTTGCAAAGGCTTTCCCACATTCATTGCACTCATAATGTCTTTCTCCAGTGTGAGACTGCTGATGTATATGGAGACCTGACTTCCGAGTGAAGGCTTTTCCACAGTCACTACATTTATAGGGTCTCTCTCCAGTATGAATTTTCTGGTGTGTAAAAAGATTTGATCTGTCAGTGAAAGCCTTTCCACACTCAGCACATCTGTAGGGTTTCTCTCCTGTGTGAATTTGCTGATGTACATGGAGTTGCGATTTCTTAGTGAAGGATTTCCCACAGTCATTGCATTCATAAGGTTTCTCTCCAGTATGAATTCTCTCATGTGTAATAAAATGTGATTTGTGGAAGAAGGCCTTCCCACATTCAGTGCAAACATAGGGCTTTTCTCCTCTATGAATTCGCTGGTGCATACTTAGTGTTGACTTCTGAATGAATGCTTTCCCACATTCATTACATTCATAATGTCTCTCTCCAGTATGACATTTCTGATGTATCCTGAGTCGTGACTTCCATGTGAATGATTTTCCACAGTCACCACATTTATAGGGTTTCTCTCCAGTATGAATTTTTTGGTGTTTAATGAGATTTGACCTGTCAGTAAAGGCCTTCCCACATTCAGAACAAATATAGGGTCTTTCTCCAGTATGAATTTTCTGGTGTATAATGAGATTTGTCTTGTGAGTGAAGACCTTACTACATTCTGAACATTTAAAGGGATTCTCTCCTGTGTGAATTCGCTGATGCACATGGAGTTGTGACTTCTTTATAAAAGACTTCCCACAGTCACTGCATTCATAAGGTTTCTCTCCAGTGTGAATTCTCTCATGGGTAGTAAAATGTGATTTGCGGATAAAAGCTTTCCCACATTCAGTACACACAAAGGGTTTCTCTCCTGTATGAATTTTCTGATGCATACTTAGTGTTGATTTCCTTGTGAAGGCTTTTCCACATTCAGTACATTCAAAGTGTTTTTCTCCGGTATGTTTTTTATCATGTATATTGATATTTGAATTCTGAGAGCTATTTTTGTCACATTCTCTGTGTTCATAGGGTTTTCCCCCAGTATGAATCCCCTGACATTGGAACAGATCTGACTTCTGGATAAAGGTTTCTCCACATTCACTGCTTATAAAGAGATTCTCCTTAGTATGAGTTTTCTCATGGCTTGACTTTAGGGAAAATTCCTTCCCATATTCAGTACACATATAGTGTTTCTTTCCTGCATAAACCTGAGGAATGCTAAATTGGGTCTTCTGAGTGAAGACTGTCTCATATTTGCTGTATTCATGCTGTTTTTCTTCAGTATATATACTCTGATGTGCACAGAGTTGTGACTTTTGGGTGAGAATTTTCTGAGAGTCAGAAAATGAAAAGAGATTCTCCCCAGCATGAATTTGTGGATGTTGAATGAAAGTGTGTTTCTGAGTCAGAGGTTTTTTACATTGATTATTTTCATATACATTCATTTCTGCATGAGAATTCATATGAGTGAAAAAATTACCCACAGTCTTACCCAGATTTTCAGTTGCACCATTTCTATTATAATTACATAAGCTTATAATAGGCTTCAAACTTTTTTCAAATAAGTCATAATTATGGGTTTTTTTCCTTGAAGGAACAAGGTGTGTGTTTACACGAACTATTTTTCCAATGTCCTTATGGACATAGTTCCTCTCATGAACCAGGGTTTCTTTGTTGATGAAGGTGACAAAATTTAAATGTTTATTATAGATTTTCTCACATCTTCCTGTACGTTCATTATCTTGCCACAATTCTTCTAAAGTGGAATAAGAGTCATCTCTTCTGAGGAGATTAATTCTCTCAAACGGGAATGAAATTTCGTCAGACGTTCCTTCTGAAGTTTCAAAACCAATATCCCCATCTAAAAAAGACAGAAAAGATAAAACTAACACAAAAAACAGTTAACAGATAATAGAAGGAATGTGATATAAGAGCTGATTCAGGGTGAACACAGGGAAAAGGAAGAGTTTCTACATAACCTATATAATTACAGCAATCTATTTAGATAAGATGTAACAATATATAATAATAAAATGAACACTTGCATTACATTTACTATATGAGAAAAAAATAGCACTGACACATATTAGGCATTGTTTTAAGTTCTCTATTAACTCATTTACATCATCACAATCCTCTGTTCTTGGTATTACTGTTGTCCTTATTTTGTAGAAGAGGAAATTAAGCCAGAGAAGAGTTAAGTAATTCGACCTAAATCAAATGTTTGGTAATTGGGGAAAATGAGATCAAAACCGAGGCATATCAATTCTAAGCATGTAGCAGAACTACACAGTAAGGTGTCAGAAGATTCAAGTGACAAACTTGTGGATTAAAAGTATATATGATGGGGCCTCCCCGGTGGCGCAGCGGTTGAGCGCTGGGTTGCGAAGCTGCCCGCGGCCTCTGCGGCGCCGGTTCGATCCCCTGCTGCTCCCCGGCCACCAGAGGAGGGTCCCACATGGCGCGCAGACCTCTCCTGCCGCCCGCTGCTCCCCTCAGCAGTGTACTTCGGTCCTTCTGCCTGCTCTGCTCCCCGCTCTGGCTCTGGTGAATTCTCTCACCCTCCCGCGCTTCTGACTGTACCCAGTGCATGTATAAACAAAACAAACAAACAAACCAGCAAAACAAAATAAAAATAAAAGCATGCCTCTAAAAAAAAAAAAAAAAAAAAAAAAGTATATATGATGGCCTCCCTGGTGGCACAGGGGTTAAAGAGCTATCAAGCTATTGCCAGCCACTGCAGCATGAGTTCGATCCCCAGCCAGCCAGGGAGCAACCCACATGGCCCTGCAGACCTCTCCTGCCTTATCCACTGCTCCTCTCAGCAGTGTATTTCAGTAGATCTGCCTGTTCTGCTCCCTACTCTCTCCACTGAATCCTCGCACCCCACCCCACCTCTGGCTTACACCCCAGTTCTTGTATGCATAAATAAATGAATTTTTTAAAAAAAAATTATTTTTTTAAAAAAAAGTGTATATGAGCCTAGATTCTTATTATCATTCATCTATAAATCCACATCAATATCCTTGCTTTCTCTTTACCCTATTACCCACTGTTTTCTAAATATCAATTTATAATACTTATTTGTAGCCTCAGTCATTCTTATTTAGCCAAACAATTAATGGGTATATATAATTAATTTTTTTCTCCCTGGTTTGCAGTATAAAGAATCATTCATCCGTAGGAAGCTTATAATAGCACAAAGGGCAGAAAAGTCCATCAAAATACACTCCTTCCTTCAAAAGCTTTAAAATTGTAGCAAAGGGCCTCCCTGGTGGCGCAGCGGTTGAGCGCTGGGTTGCGAAGCTGCCCACGGCCTCTGCGGCGCCGGTTCAATCCCCGGCTGCTCCCCGGCCACCGGAGCAGGGTCCCACATGGCGCGCAGACCTCTCCTGCCGCCCGCTGCTCCCCTCAGCAGTGTACTTCGGTCCTTCTGCCTGCTCTGCTCCCCGCTCTGGCTCTGGTGAATTCTCTCACCCTCCTGCGCTTCTGACTGTACCCAGTGCATGTATAAACAAAACAAACAAACAAACCAGCAAACAAATAAATAAAGCATGCCTCTATAAAAAAAAATAAAATAAAATAAAATAAAATAAAATAAAATAAAATAAAATTGTAGCAAAGCATGTGGCTGCTTCAAAACAAAATGTCTGTCCAGCTTCATCTGTCATTAGATGGAGTCAAGTAATTCAGTTCCCACCAAACAAAATTAAAAAATATTTCTGTGACAAGGCCAATGTCTTAATGAAAAAAGTGAATCTCTGTAACCTTCTTCTCTTCTAACTGGCTCTATTCCAGATTTGATGCAAGTAGCAATGCCCTAGACAGGGATCAGAAAGCTATGACTTTCACACTAAATTCAGGTCTTTACCCAAAAGGTTAAAAATGGATTTGATACATTTTTAAATGGTTGGGCGGGGGGGGAATCAAAAGAAAAATAGTATGTCATAATGCTTGAAAATTAAAATGTCCATAAAATTTTTATTGGAACACAATCATACTCAATTACTGATATACTATCTATAGCTGCTTTTGAGTTACAACAGCAGAATCAAGTAGTTATGACAACAATCATATGGTTCACAAAGCCTAAAATACTTACTTCTGGGCCTTTAAAGAAAATGCCTGCTCTGAAGGATAATAATGTAAGGACTTTCCAGGAACCTTGTCCCTGAATGTCCATCAGAGCAGAATTGCCTAGCAGACCTGGCCACTCACCATGTGATGGATCAAAGTTTATGTTCCCTAGTCAGTTTCTTGGGGTACCTAAGTTTCAGGAGCTGGCTTCATTTTAATACATCATTTTTTGCCCAGAATGAGAATCAGCAATATTCTAAATTCTGAAATACTGTATAAGATATAGTAAGTTCTCAGTAAATATTTAGTGCAAAATAGATTATACTATTGTCTTATCCCATTTGTTTTTCAATATGGACACAGTCTAATCCATACTCATTCAACTGTCTAGGGCCTTGTGATGTCTCCATACACACACTTTAACTGTCATATCAAATTTTTACTCAGAGACATTAATGGCTTTCATTAATCCTGAGGACATCTAACATGGATTCCTAAACAAGGATTTTGATCTTTAACAATCATTCACTTTTTTTAGCTTACAACCCCACTGCTAAATCTGACATTTACATTACTACCAATTAATGTTCAATATAAAACTTTTGCTCCTCTGTTAAAAAGCAGTCACCATTGATTCAATTACTCATTCAATAAATACAAATCATAATCCAGGTCAATAAAATAGGTATATGAAAGCTATCTTTCCAATAGTCACCAAAGTCTATTTTACTATTAAGTCCAAACATTCTTTCCCTTCTCCCCATTAAGCTTACATTTTCTGTTCCTATTCAAAATTCATGGTTTTTTTTTAATGGATCATACTTAATTGGCATAGATATGTACCATAACAATAGCTTAATGCAAAAAGCTGACATTTTAAACATTTCATGCTGCTATCTTCCTATGCTCCTTTATATTGCTCCTAGAAGAAAAACTTAAATCCCTCTGAAATACAGCAAAAGAACCTCTTCTACTTATCAGACAAGTTCAAGAATTTAATTTTACTAAACATTCTCTATAGAAACATTTTTTAAAGAGTAAAAGAGTCAGTTATTGCATTTTAATGTAGTTTTCTCTGAGTTTCTGTAGGTTGGAGAATAAGAAAAAGGAAAACCACTGTTGTTAATTCATGAAGTGAAACATAGGCACAATAATAGTGTATATATTATGACAGAATGCAAAGTAATCAAAGGTCATATGCAGAGGGGGTGGGGATTATTAAAGAAAATGCTAAACATGATGGAAACTAAATAGAGACAAACATAAGTTGCAAATAGAGGCATGTTCTTTCTTAACCCAGAGAGAAAAGACTTTGTGATGTGTTGGCAATTTTGGTTTTGTTTCATATAGCTACAACAGGATAAACACAATAGTGTTTACATGTTTCCCTGAATACATAAGAATTCATTTTTATTATTAGCTTACTGTGTAAGGTAAGTATTCGTACTATTTCTTTTATTTTTTTATTGAGGTAATACTGCTTTACAAAACCTGTATGAAATCATACACCTCTAGGGTCGCACTTCTTCAGGTGTATGTTACCAAACACAATGTTTTAAGGAATGAAGTATCTAAGATACAGAAGTATCTAAGATAAACCAGTAATATAAAAATAAAGGATCAGCACCTGTAAATAGTGTTAGAATAATTTGGGTATGAGAAAATTTAGATATGGCTCTAGGTGATATCACTGGAAATTGAGGCGGAGGGCATCTTAATGATATTCCCTAAAGGAGAAAAACAGAGAATTGTTTGAGTCAATGAGGAAGGGGGAAAAAGAAAAAACTGCAAAGGAATATGATAAAACTTTGAAAGGTGGGCTACCTGCTCTCAGCACACTATGTTGTAATTGCCCTCCTGCACTGAACAAGCAGCCACCTGGTGGGGTCTTATATGGATAAGGTATTAGTCTCTCCTGAGAACACCATACAACAGGCCAATGACTGCTTGAGACACACAACCCACCGTGACAGGGGAAGAGCTGATGCCAGAATTGACATATGTGACTCAATCTGAGACACACCGATAGGTCTAGACTAAGACACAATCCAGGGTCACTTTATGGTGGACCCAAACCATTACAGTTGTCCCTAACCTCCGATTTTAACTTCCAGCTTCAGCTGGTTATGATTGTAACAGGCTCACAGGACTCAGTAAATGCAGCACACAGCAGCAGAGGTCCAAGTGTGTGCATGCCAGCAAGCAGTAGAGCCAGGCAGCAGCAGAAGAGAGACCCCAATAATAGTGGTCAACCTCTAGACAACTTGTTCATTGCATCACTCGTTAAGTCACCCATAAAGGAGGAATGGATACCACCCCATATTTGGTTCAGATGTCAAGGGTGATGATGTGACATACACATGAATGTATGAAAAGATTCGTTACTCACATAATGAGGCTTTTACAGAAGAGCTCCCAAGAAGGTCCAAACCTGGTTTGAGATAGCAAAAAAAGGAGACTGGCTTGGGGTTTTATGTTGGTTGGGTCTGGGGCAAGGCTGGCAGTTTCCATGCAACTTCCCACAGCACCAAGAAAGGGAGTACCTGGGTTTCATCAGTTTGTCAATATGTGTGGGGCAGAATATTAAGAGGAAAGGGGTGTAGCTTAGAAGATGTCAGCACTCAAACATAAAAAACAGATCTATTACAAGTTATATGAGGGCTGTTCAAAATGTTTTGTCATTAGAGAAAGAAATAAAACAGTAATTAAAAATTAAAAATCCATCAGCATAGCAAATTATTAGAAATATGGGCAAGAATGAGAAGAAATTGATAACTCTGGACAATTGGGATTGTAGACTGATATGTCAAATCTAGAAAATTTGTTATGCTGACTCAAATAAAGTATTAGTATAGCCAGTGATACAGCAACTCTATTATTTTACCCTAAGAATTGCTACTTTTTCGTAAGAATAGGTCATGAAGAAAGGTATTACAGTACTGATTGCAGCAGCCAGGAAGCTGGACAAGTACAATGTGGGGAATCTCCACACTATGGAATGCTATGCAGCAGCCAGAAGCAATGAAAAACACAATTAGTGAACCAATTTAGTACTGAAGAAAAATAATAAGATATTAGACAGGAATATAGCACAGTGACATATTTATACATTTAAAAATACCAATGATTTAAACTTTACAATGATCCCATAAATTCAGGGGCTGTAGGGATATAAAAAATTAGATCTATTAGAGCAGCTGCCTCTGGGAAGGATATAGATGACTATGAGGGGTAAAGATGAAAAGGCATAAAGAAATAAAATAAGCAGGGTGATTTAAACATGTTGATGTTGCTATTGCTACAAACTGAGTACTAAAATTAACTCAATTTCCTGCACACAAACTTTTGTAAAATACAAAATATGAGTCAAGCATACCAAGTTAGTGTTGTGTTAGCCAAGCTGGAAGAAATTGTCAGGCAAGAAGTATAATTACCTAAGTCACATAAATCAAAATGTTGTCCCCAAATGTAGGTAATGGTATCCTCTGTCAACAGAAGAGGCATGGGACATTATAAAATAAGGCCACCTCTTGATGGCAATTCTGAGGCACTAAGGGAAAAAAGAAAATGAAAGGAAACCAGCAGAGGTATGACCCACAGCAATTTTTTTAAAAGGCAAATCTACAAGTATCTGAATGGGTAAGAAGGATTTAAGACCTTGATGAAGACAAACAAATACAAATACTAGAGAAAGAGAGAAAAGCAAAAAAAAAAAAGCAGGATCCCAGATCCAATGCACTGCAATTGTAGTACATTCCCTCCCATAAAAACAAGCAAAGAAGACACTGGTATAGGGGACTTAAGTGGGATGGCATTTGCATATTCAAGGGTCAACTCTATCCAAGCAATTCCAAATTCATAATGTTTCAGAAACATCACATTAAAAAACTCCTAAGTTGCCAGTCCATTCACATCAGTTGTATTATCTCCCAGGATCTTGGTTCCCTACTCACCTACAGAGATCTGACTTGAGTTTTCACCATTCAGCATATATGGTCCTTCTCCTTGCTCCAGGTTGAAAATAATGTCTGGTTTGGGAACCTGACACCCTATTAATAGGAAATGACAGAAGATTTTGTGTCAGAGCCCATTACAATGAGGCGTTCAATTTACTTTTCAGAAACATTCATAGGGAACAAAGGTATACTCATAATAACCAAGAGAGATTATTAGACAAAATTATTACAAACTCCAGATATTTTGGATTCTTTTGAAAATCCACATATCCAGAAATCCCACGGATTTTTAGAAATTCTACTGAGGAAGAAATACACTCAATTAGGTTCAGCCTAACTGAGCAGAGCTGAGCTTACCCACTGAGATCAAGTTGAAATAGTTTTCCAGCATCACATCCCTGTATAGGTTTTTCTGAGTAAGATCCAATTGTTGCCACTCTTCTCTGCTAAAGATTACAGTTACATCCTTGAATGACACTGATTCCTGTAAAAACACATGCCCACTCAGTGTGAAGGATCAGGACTGCAGGATGGGAACAAGATTTTTAGGAACCTGCTTTATTTTTTTTTTAACATAACACAACATATCTCACTAAACACCTACATTTAAAAAATGTCACACCTTTCTTTCTGTACAACTGACACTATTCTGACTTGTTTTGGTTTTACATGTATGCTGGTTACAAATAAGCTGTGAAAACTCATCAAGCTGTATATACATGATGTGTGCATTTTTTTCTGTGTATGTCATATTTTATTAATAACTTACATAAGAAAAAACACATCCTGCCATTCACTTTATTTACTGATTTACTAAGTAAGACAATTCTTTAAAAAATATGATTAAAATAGACTTTTCAAAACAGTGTGGCATCTGCATAAGAATACAAATAGGTCAATGGAATATAATCAAGAATTCAGAAATAAACCCTCATATTTATGAGCAACTGATATCTGACATGGGTATCCAACAATTTGAAAGAGAAATATTGCCTTTTCAAAAGAGGGTGGTGGAACAAGTAGACATTCACATGCAAATGAATGAAGCTGGATATGGAGTTCATGGCATATTTTAAAAAAATTAACTCAAAATGGATCAAAGCTTCAATGTTCTTACACTTAGTCAACATGAAGTACAAGATGTAAATCTTTATGACAGTGGATTTGGCAATGACATTAGATATTAAATCAAAAGCACAAGCAAACAAAGGAAAAGGAGGTAAACTTCATAAGAATTTAAAAAGTTGTGTTTAAAAGACTATCATCAAAAAAGTGAAAAGAGGGCCTCCCCGGTGGCGCAGCTGTTGAGCACTGGGTTGCGAAGTTGCCCACGGCCTCTGAGGCGCTGGTTCGATCCCCGGCTGCTCCCCGGCCACCGGAGGAGGGTCCCACATGGCGGCAGACCTCTCTGCTGCCCGCTGCTCCCCTCAGCAGTGTACTTCGGTCCTTCTGCCTGCTCTGCTCCCCGCTCTGGCTCTGGTGAATTCTCTCACCCTCCCGCGCTTCTAACTGTACCCAGTGCTTGCATAAATAAATAAATAAATAAATAAATAAATCTTTAAAAAAAAAAAAAGCGAAAAGAGACAAGGAGAATTTTTTTTTCAAATAATCTCTCTCATATGGGACTGGTATTTAAAGTAAAGAATTCCAATAACTCAATAAAAAGAGAAATAATCCAATTAAAAACAGGCAAGAGGAATAGTGAGCCTCAACCTCCTAGGTAGTAGGTGGTGCCCATAGTCACTCAATGGCAGAATATGGAGCTTTCCAGACTCCACTCCCTGAGTGAGGCTAATGAGAAATAGGGGCAGAACTGGGGCTTTTGGCAGTTAAGTCGCTGGAGTTTCAGTACTTAAACCACTGGTGAGGAAGAGATGTCTGCAGAGAAGCTGCCAGTTTGCCATGTCACATTAGCTGGGACCTTGGTCTCTGCTCAGCAGACACTACGTGGGGCATCTGGCTATGAGTTCTCTCCTGCTCTCTCTGTAAGAGGTGTATTTATTAAAAGGACTAAGGAAGGGAGTGCCTGAGCCATAAAATTGTAGTAATAAGATCCTGGAGCTTAGCAGCTCTCCTGCCCACCTGTGTCCATGCAGGTGCCTCTCTTTCAAAAAAAAAAAACCAAAAAATAGGGCCTCCCCAGTGGTGCAGCAGTTGAGCGCTGGGTTGCGAAGCTGCCCGCAGCCTCTGCAGCGCTGGTTCGATCCCCGGCTGCTCCCCGGCCACCGGAGGAGGGTCCCACATGGCGCACAGACCTCTCCTGCTGCCCGCTGCTCCCCTCAGCAGCGTACTTCGGTCCTTCTGCCTGCTCTGCTCCCCGCTCTGGCTCTGGTGAATTCTCTCACCCTTCCAGGCTTCTGACTGTACCCAGTGCTTGTATGAATAAATAAAAATAAATCTTTAAAAAAAAAAAGAAAGTGACTCAGTACAAAAAAAATCTATTAAAAACAAAAAAACACCACTCTGGAGCTTCAACAAAACGCCAATGAAAATTCATCTCAGATTCTTAAAAGGATGATTCAAACATATACAAACATGAATCCAGATGCTCCAGAAATGCTCAGGTTATTAACACTCATTTGGCAGAATACCCCAGATATAAGGAGGAAATGAACCAAGATAGTTCTTCCCAGTTGGTGGAAATAGCCTTTAAAGTTTACAATGCAACAAAAAGGAGGCCTAAGCTTGCAATTGTTTCACAGACAGAGAAGACAAGACAAAGTTTAGGAGTAACAGAGAAGGGACATGGAGAGGAAGTAAGAGAAGAGAATCCTTAAGATAAAATCAGTGCACTTAGGGACCCTGAAAGGACAGGAGTCCTTTCAGAGAGAAGAAAAAGGAGAAGGAATAAGAAAGTGGGAAAAAAGGCAAGTAAGCAGATGACAGCACAGAACAAGAATTCAAACAAGTGTTGAAAAAGGGAACATAGGCAAAATAAAAGGAATGAAGAAAGAAGGAGGGCCTCGTCACTCCTTTTATTTTACCTAGATTCAGGAAAGTAGATGTGATCATGGCAGTCTAAGATGTGGGTTCAAAATTAGCTCTGGCCAGCAATAGGAACTGCACCAGTCAGAGGTGCTATGGTAAAGACACAACAGAAAACCTTCCTATAACCTCTGGAATGCCAATTTGGTGATACAAACCTTCAACACAGCTTTCTACATAGGAAGAGTATCTAATTCCCCTCCTTGGCTATGGCCTCTTATGTAAACTTAATGCACAGATTATTTTCTCACCCCAAGATCAGATGCTGCATTCCCCACCAGTGCAGAAAAAGTTTCTCGAGATGCCAAACAACCATACAAGGCAATAATTCCACTCTGGATAGCCCAGTTCTACTCATTGTGACAATCAACCTGTGTTTGTTTCCAAAGTCACTCTGAAAGTAATGTCTTACAGATTACTTGGAAGTTACACTCTATCTTTACTACAAATGAAATAAAGTATGTATCAACAATATAAACCATGTATCTAGTTTCCATTAATGCCAATTTTTCAAAAAGATAGAGACATTTTTACAGTTCAAAATTCAACTTATATGGGGCCTCCCTGGTGGTGCAAGGGGTTAAGACACAGCACTATGAAGCTATCCACAGCCACTGCAGCACATGGGTTTGATCCCTGGCCAGGGAGCTGACCCACATGGCGCAGCAGACCTCTCCTGTCTCACCCGCTCCTCTCAGCAGTGTATTTCAGTAGATCTACCTGTTCTGCTCCCCACTCTGTCTCTGTTGAATCCTCTCACCCTCTGCACCTCTGGCCTGCACTCCAGCTCTTGTATGCATAAATAAATATTTTTTTAATGTAACGTATATAACTATATTCCAAGCATGACTCAGAGTTGACAGTTCCTTCTTTATCTTTTTAGTCTCTTTTTCTCTTATCTTAGTTTTTGAATTTATACTTGTCTACCTCATTTTATGATTAGATGTCTACTAAAATTCCAGAACCTGTACTTTTAAACTAGAATTCTAAAAACTAGGACATTTAAAAAGCAACAAATATATGAACAAATGAGAACTCACCAGAGACTTGGTCATTTCTGGCTCTTCTGGCACAGGGCCAGAGACCTGAGAAAACAAATGGAAAGAGGTACAGATGAGAGAATAAAGCATGTCCAAGTCCACATGGACACACATCATTTTGTGTCCATGCACCTCACCTAAAAGCTTATTTTTAGAACCACATCATGAACACAGCATTCCATATTGCACAAGGATTTAAATATAGGATGACTAATAACCAAAAAAGGGTAGAAACATCTTGATACACAATCATTGTAAACTGCTGATACTTTATACACCATCCAAAGGATGTAATGCTATGTCAGATTAAAGTACTATAGAAAAATATTAAAATCTCAAGTAAAAGTAAAAAAGATGTACCAAATAGTATGACTCCATTTTCAATGAACTATGTATGTACAAGATATCTAAGAATGAAATAACAATGTGGGATTTACTGCAAAATAACCTACCAAAAGAGAAAAGAATGTGGCAAAGGTAAAGCATATAGGCCAAATGATTGGGCATGAGTTCCTAACTGTGGAAACTGATTGATAGATATATGGTGGTTCTTTATACTATTTGCTCTACTTATGTAATTTTGAAATTTTCATAGAAAAAAGTTCAAAAAGTACATTTTTAGATTACCAGGGAAATTTGATTTGGATTGAGTATAGATAGTATTAGGGAGTTATTATAACTTTTATTCGGTGGGGATTGGGCATGGTGGCTATACAGCGGGAAGAACTGTCTACATTAGTTGGACCTAATACTGTGGGTGATATGTGGTGGGTCATACTGTGGGTGAAATGACATGGTATCTAAGGTTTATTTTAGAATATTCTGTTTAGAATTTCTTACAAAATAGTTGTAAAGAATAGGTAAAAGAACACTGGCAAATAGTTGATAAAATGGAGAACCACAGGAGGGCATGTAGGGAATATCATTTTCTCTTCTTTTTCTATAATAAAATTTAAAAAATAGGGCCTCCCCTGGTGGTGCAGCTGTTGAGCGCTGGGCTGCGAAGCTGCCCGCAGCCTCTGCAGAGCCAGTTCGATCCCTAGCCACCCAAGAGGGTCCACATGGCCCGACAGACCTCTCCTGCAGTGCCCACTGCTCCCCTCAGCAGTGTATTTTGTAAGTCTGCCTGCTCTGCTCTCCCCTCTGGCTCTGGTGAATTCTCTCACCCTCCTGTGCCTCTGACTGTACCCAGTGCTTGTATAAATAAATAAATAAATCTTTAAAAAAATAAAAAATAAAATTAAAAAAATAAAAACTTAAAAAAAAACCTCTCCCACTACAGAAAGCAGTCTCAGGATACATACAGCATGAGTTGTGTACCAATCAGATTGGTCAAAGATAGTACTTTGTTTTATTAAGTCTAACTCTGAGAAAATTCCTTTTTCTGGGTTTTCCCTACCCACTCCTCACAGGAGTTGCCACATTCCTATCAAGCTGTGGTCTTGGCAAGATAGGGGCTTCTGAGACAAACTCTCCTAGCTGGCATGTTCACATTGAGCATCACCTTTGTCTGTCTTAAAACTTCACTCTTCTCAGGAACCCAAAGCTGGGTGAATGATCAAAGGTTGGCAAAAAAATTGAGTCTGAAAATGAGATCTCAGGCCTCCCCTGGTGGTGCAGGCAGTTGAGCGCAGTGCTGTGAAGCCGTCTGCAGCCTCTGCAGTGCCAGTTCGATCCTGGCTGGCTGGTGAGAAGCCCACATGGTGAAGCAGACCTCTCCTGTCTTGCCCGCTGCTCCCCTCAGCAGTGTATTTCATTAGTCTGCCTGTTCTGTTTCCCCCTCTGTCTCTGGTGAATCCTCCCACCCTCCCGCACATCTGGCCTGTACACCGGTTCTTATATGCATGAATAAATAAATCTTTAATAAAGAAAATGGGGCCTTCCTGGTGGTGCAAGGTGTTAAGATGCAACATATGAAGCTATCCATAGCCACTGCAGCATCAGTTCGATCCCCGGCCAGGGAGCTACCCACATGGCGCAGCAGACTCACCTTGCCTGACTCACCCGCTGTTCCCCTCAACAGTGTATTTCAGTCAATCTGCCTGTTCTATTCCCCACTCTGTCTCTGGTGAATCCTCCCACTCCTCAAACCTCTGGCCTGTACCCCAGCTCTTGTATACATAAATAAATAAATCTTTAAAAAAAATGAAAATGAGATCTGAAGGTTCAATTACCTGGTCTGACCTTAGGACTCTGTGGAAACACAAAGGGGTTCTGAGAAGAGAGTACCATAGATTTACACAGAAAGAATTAAGGAAATCGAAATGCTTCATCTGCAGTAAGGAAAGCTAAATACCAGAGATAGCATCTAAAAGACCCCTTATTGGTAAGAATCAAGAGACATTTTCAGAAAAGTACTTGCAGGATATCTATCTCAGGAAAACAGCCCCCCCCCCATGTGTGAAAAGTTAATAATATATTTCTGTCTATTTAAATGAGGTCAAAAGAATATGAGGGGTCTCATGATCAGCAAATTTCACGATCCAACATGCCTTCCATCTCCAATAGGAAATTATATTTTCCCTCCCCACCTCACAAGGAAGGAGGGCCTCCTTGCCCCACACATTTCAACCAATGAGAATTCCATACCAATGCACCAACAGTCAAACACATCAAACTCCCAGTTTCCTCCAATGAACTCTTTGGTAACACCTCTAAAATCTATTTATGTTCATGTGGGCTTTTGTGAGCATGTGTCTCACTATGAGATTGTACTTTACCAATTGCTAGTTGTTTCTGGCTGAGTATAAACCCATTTTATGTGTGAAATAACTAATTCTTTTTCGTAAATATAAAATGAAACAGACTAGAAACCTCAAACAGAAAAATACTATTCAACAAGAATTTTTGTAAAAGATTATATAATTATAAAAAAGGATGATAATGATATAAGGAGGCAATTAAAGGGAAAAGCAGTACTATTCTATGATAAAACATTTGTAACTATCTCCGGGGGAAAAAACTCAAGTTACATGGGGTGTAGAAAGGAAATAATGGGCAAATAATCTATCTTATCAAGGTATGAAAAGATTAAGGAAATGTGGAAAATAATGAGTTTAAAATAAATAGTAAGCATTTACTATTTCCTTTACTAAAGGAAAGTACAGAGTCAGGTAAATCATCACTACAGTAAGTTGAAGAAGTAAAATTACCTGAAAGACCATCGGTTGAATGAGAAAAAAAAGCAACATGATGTATTATTTACAAGTGATTAACCTAATGAGAGAAAGATGAATATAAAACACAGCAAAGACACATCATCCAAATGCAACAAAAGTGAAAGCAGGAATGGCAATATAAATATGAAGATAAAATTCAAGATTTAAAGTGTTTTGTGGAGGGCCTCCCCGGTGGTGCAGTGGTTGAGCACTGGGTTGCGAAGCTGCCCACAGCTTCTGCAGCACCAGTTTGATCCCTGGCTGCTCACCGGCCACCAGAGGAGGGTCCCACATGGCGCGCAGACCTCTCCTGCGGCCTGCTGCTCCCCTCAGCAGTGTGCTTTGGTCCTTCTGCCTGCTCTGCTCCCCGCTCTGGCTCTGGTGAATTCTCTCACTCTCCAGCGCTTCTGACTGTACCCAGTGCATGTATAAATAAACAAATAAATAAATAAATAAATAATTCTTTAAAAAAAATAAAGTGTTTTGTGGAAAAGAGAGATCCTATAAGAGCAACCAATAAATGAAAAATGATACAAAATGCATTTACCACTAGTGTATGTTTATCTCCTAAACACAAATAAAACCAGCAAAAAACTACAAGGCAAACTATTAGCAAAATTTATCTTTCTCAGAATATGATGAACCAAGGAGATCAAAAATAGTAAAGAAAAATATCTGAAAAATACACAAACAAGCTATATACATATATATATATATAATTACACACATGCATATGCTGTATACATCAAGTGAACTTTGCACCATAGAACCGAAAATACTTTTATATCCAATGAACAAAATTTATTGTGCAACTTTGCTTCAAAGAAAATCTCGATAAATTTTTATGCTGAGTTCACAAAATACATCTGATGACAACACAATAAAATTAAAATATTAAAATGTATCTTAATAATTTGGAAATGAAAAAATTTTCCTAAATAGGATCACAGGGAACATCACATTGCAATTATACATGTTTTAGCAAAGGTGTATTTGACGAAACTTTAAAATCCTAAACCTACCCAGTATAAAACCAAAAAAAAAAAAAAGAATGACAATTTTTTAATGACAATTTACAAGAAAAAAAACTATCTAAAAAGAAAGATAAAATCTAAAGAGTAGGGAGTAGAAACACAAGTAGTGACTCGAAAGAGTCATTGAAATAAACTTTGAGATGCCAAATAACAAAGCAAGAGTAAGAAAAATGATAATTAAGTATGACAAAAGAAGCTACTAATCTGGATACAGAAGGGATCAAAACAGGGTAAATGGAAAGTTACATGGAAACCCAACGCCGTGTGTGTGTGTGTGTGTGTGTGTGTGTGTGTGTGTGTGTGTGTGTGTGTGTAAATCTTCAGGGGGAAAAAAAAGGTAATAAATCAGAAATAGAAGTAAAACGGTGAGCATAAAAGAGCGAGTAAATCAATTAAGACCTAGCAGCATCAGTCACTCCTCAAACTCGTCGCCTTCAGTTCCCCGTTATCCCGTCCACCGAACCCCACCGATCGCATCGTTCAGCCTGCGGATCCACCATCAAAGGCCCCACAGACCCCTTCATTCTGCCCGCGGATCCACATCAAAGTCCCCCCAGACCTCTCCCCCTAACCCCCATCATTCCATCACTGATGCAACAGCAAGACAAGGACTTAGGAGACGCTTCTTTACTCAGCTCACGATTGCTCCCATCCCTGCCCCCACCTACCCCACACCCGGGCCCTCTCAGGGCAGTGGTCATTTACCTCAGGTGATGATTGTAATCACCAACTAAAAAGGGACCCACTTCCTCTTTCTCGATCCCTCCCTGGCCTTGCGGGGTGCCTCAGGGCGCTCCAGGGTGTGCGCATGCTCGCTAGTGTTTCTTGGCAAAAGCCTGCCAGTACTCAAGATGGCGGCGTGCTCTATACTGCCTCTCTCCCTCTTCAAATGGTTTAGATGTTGCTCTAAGATGCCGCTCCCGGTGTAGTCAGACACTGGCGTGTGGCCGGCCACGTCGAAGTGACGTACAGACTGGCTGAGAGATGTGAGGAAGAAAGGTGGCAAGCAGATATAGAAATCTGGAACTGGATAAGGAAACAAGTGCCTGATAGGCAAAACTAGCCCTAGGACTTTCTTTGTGCTGTTAGGGACTCAACAACAATATCAACCAACACGATCTAATCATCAATTATCTAACATTCCACCCCAAAATTGCAGAAACACATTCTACTCAAGCCCCCTGCAACATTTAAGAAGGTATACTATAATATGAGTTATAAAATAAATCTCATCAAATTTAATAGCACTGAAATCATGGAGTATACACTCTGGACACAGTAAAACCAAACTATAAATCAGCAATAAAAACACATGGGGAAATTTACAATTAGGGATTAAACATCACAGTTCCTAATAATGCAGGGAGACCCACCTGATACTATGAAGTCCCCCCACCACCCGCATCCCCTATTGCCCAGCCTTGGACTTCAGAGGACAACTCACCACATGCTGTGAAACCAATGTTGTAAACAGGCTGCAGCTGGGGAGGAAGTAGCAAGGAGATCACTGGTATGGAACTGGGAGAAATTTGGACAGACGGGTCATGAATCACCACCGTGGGGAATGAAAAGATACCGAGTAACACTGCTAAATAGAAGTAATGGGAAAGATAGGAGAGATCTACCCAGGGTAGGTTAAGGAGCCCAAAGCTCTATTTATACTCCAGGCACCAATGCTTAGTTAGGGTGACTAGTCTTGGGTGTGTCTTCACTAATGATCTGACATAATGGATCATCAGCTCTTCCAATCTTCACCTGAAGGTCCAGGTTCCCATTGTAGACCCATCCACTCCCTTTATTCATTCTAACCTCCAAAATTTGCCTGCTGGGCAAGGAATGGAGGCCTAGTTTTAAATTTAGTAATGAAGCCATGACAAGTAGTGTGCTCTCAATCTCTTTTTCTCACTCTCTCTCCCTATGTAATAAACCCTTTTATTAAACTCCTTTTAATTAATTTGTTGGGTCCTATCCTTTGTTCTTGAACACACAGCTGAGGGTTCACTAACTGCCACCCCCTGATTCCATGTTTGCACACTTTCAGCTATAAGTTTGTACAGATGACTTTGTTCTCTTGCCTGCTAGACCAGGGAGGGGATCCAGATCATTCAGATTATGTTCACACCTCACACCAACACTGGAGTTCTGCTCCAACCATGGCAAGATTGGGTCACCCACCAACTTCTGGTGATCACTAGCCAATTAATACAATGGCCAGGTTTAGTAAAGCAGAGGAAGAACTTTATTGTTTGACAAGCAATTGAGAAGAGGGAACTTATGTCCCAAAGCACCTTCTAATTGGGGGATAGGAGGTTTGGCGGAAAGGAGTAAGCTGGAGACACTTATTTTTGAAATGAAGATAAGAAGATGGGTGGTTAGGAACACAGGAAAATCGTGGCTTGGGGCTGTTTCCTTTCTGGGTCCATGGGTCCATGCTCCTTCCTCCCAGCTAGCGGTGCTGCTCCTAACTGACTCTTAAACATTTCAGTTTCTGTAAGGGAGGCGGGGTGGCGGGGTGTAAAAGTTGTACACTGGCTTAAGGAAAGGGCAGAGCCTTGCACCGGGGCAACACCGAGACAGTGAGAAGTGCATGGTCGCTACAGCCATCGATGCCCCCCTACCCTGTCCATGCTGTCACCAGTAGTGGGTCCTCCCACAGTGACGCCGTAGCTGGGGGAGGGAGGTAGGGAACTTTTGCTCTTCAAGGCCAGGAATTTTTTTGCCCGATTCCCTCCTGCACGAACCTGAACCGGAACCCAGCCGCTTGGCATTCTCAGCTCTGGTCAGGGAAGCGCAGAAGTTCCCTAAGTGGCTAATGCTGTACGGAAGAGACGCCCATCCAATATGGCCTCCCCCAATGCAAAGTGATAATGTGGATGCCGCCATCGTGTTCCTTAGTCTGGAGCTGCAGAGTGCCATGTTTGCTATTGGCGCGTGCCAGAAACGCTGACTAGTTGGATGTTCACAGCTTAGGCCTTGTGGCATCCGTAGTTCCGGCCTCACGGGGAGGTTCTGGAAACGGAAGTGGCGCAGGAAATTCCGTTTCTTCTTTCCAGGATAACTTTGAGCGCAAGAATCTGAACCAGTTGATAATGGTTGGGCTCTTGGGGTCTTGGAAGGGGATTGTATGCTCGCTGGTGGGGTGCTGTTAAGAGCTAGTCCTAGGGTGACCAGTTTATCTCCGCCAGAAATTCCAAACTGGAACCAAGAACACCACGCGAACCACGCAAATTGGAATTACTGATTCCCCTCCTGGATGGAAGTGTGTCTGGGGTTCACTGGTGCGACCCCTGCTCAGTGTAGGCTCAGTAAGGTTCACTGTCCCTAGTGACTCGGGTCTGTCATGTCAGTTAGTGGGATGTGGGGTCAGTAACGCGGCTCTGTGTACTCTATTGAGCGGGGATATGGGCTCTGTAGAATAGTAATGTTGCTTTATGGGCCTCAGTGATACAAGTCTGTGAGGTTAACGATGGTTTCTTTCAGTTCAGTAGTGAGCGCTCTGTGACTGTAATAACAGGTTGGTGAAATTTAGTGAGGAGGATCCACAGGTTCAATGATGAGCATCTGGTGAGGTCAGTGACAGAGACTGGGGGTTGGTCACTTATCAGGATCAGTTGGAAGGGATTCTGTTGATACCCTGGTCACAACTGGAGTTTTTAATGCTTATTAGTACAGCGTGTTCCTGTGCTATTCCCTTTAAATCATCCTCATTCACAATCACAGACCTATGAGCTTTTAGAAAGTTAGGGGCTTTTCCTGATTAGTGATTTGCAGCCTCCCTGCCTCTGTTCTGTAGTTGTCCTTGCAGAGCACCTGGGTCAGGCACTGTCCACTACTTTTAACCTCAGAAACATTACTTCATTTATTAGCGTCTACTAGTTTTTAATAGGTATTTTGCTATGTAAATGTCCAATATTTGTCTTTGTCATTCTTTTTGTACTTAGACATAATTCTTTTTTTTTAAGATTTATTTATGCATACAAGAACTGGGGTACAGGCCAGAGGTGCAGTGGGGTGAGAGGATTCACCAGAGACAGAGTGGGGAGTAGAACAGGCAGACAGACTGAAAACACTGCTGAGGGGAGCAGCGGGTGAGACAGGAGAGGTCTGCCACGCCATGTGGGTATCTCGCTGGGTAGCCAGGAATCAAACCTGTGCTGCAGAGGCTGAAGACAGCTTCACAGCACTGGGCTCAACCCCTGCACCACCAGGGAGGCCCTGCTAGCATTTTGAACTACCTTCCTTTTTTTGGTTTTTTAAGAAATGAACTTTAATTTTGTCATTTAACTTTTAATTTTAGAAGTTTGATTTATAGAAAGATAGTAGAGTTCCCATTACCCTATGCCCAGTTTACTCTCTTGGTAACATCTTACATTTATATGTACATTTTTCAAAACTAATGAACCAACATTGATACAATACTGTTAACTAAGCTTCACTTTATTTAGATCTCTAGTTCTTCCTCAAAGACCATTTTGTACTCATGGATCACATTCAAGATGTCACATTACATTTATTCTTTTTCTGCTTTGTCTCTGCTATTCTGAGTTCCTCAAACATCCCTTGATGATCTTGACAGTTTTAAACAATCAAGCACTTCGTAGACTGTCACTCAGTTTGGGTCTTTTTTTTTTTTTTATGGTTAGACTGGGGTTATAGGTTCTTGGAAGGAGCACAGCAGTGACTTCTTTGGAAGTCACAAATCAGTACACTCTCAATGTATGGGGAGTTAAGGTACATGTCCTTGAGGGAGAATATCTACATAAATTATTTTGAATTACATAAGAAATTTGTCTCTTCTGTATATATTCAACATTTATATCAGTATGGATCCATGGAAATAATACTGGTTGTTTTGGTTCATATTTTTCTGGCTTTGGCCAGTGGAAGTTCTTTCAGTTTGGCTTCAGTCTCTTTAACAAGCCCACATTATTTAAGGATACGGTTCATAGTTCTTATTGTACAAAAGACCTCTAAGATTTTTCTTCTTACAAAACTAAAGCTATTTCCATTGAACAGTTTTCTCATTTCTCCCTTTCCAGGACCCTCACAACCATCATCCTACTGTTTAAATAAGCTGACTACTCTAGGTGCTTCAGGTGAGTAGAATCATACAGTATTTGTTTTTTTGTAGCTGGCTTATTTCACTTAGCAGAGTATTTTCAAGGTTCATCCTTCTAAGATTGATTAATATTTCATTTTATATATACAAATCATTTTCTTTATCCATTCCTCAATGGACATTTGGCTGCTCCACCTCTTGGCTGTTGTGAATAATGTGGCAATGAACCTGGGCGTACATGTATCTCTTCAAGACCCTCCTTTCAATTTGTTTGGGTATTCACCTAGAAGTGGGATTGCTGGATGATACAGTAATTTTATTTTTAATTTCTTGAGGAATATCCATACTGTTTTCCATTGCAGCAGCACCATTTTACATTCCTATCAACAGTGCACAAGGCTTCCAATTTGCTCACTTCCTCATGAACACTTTTATTTTCTGTTTGGGCTCAATGCATTTGGTAGAGATGTACCATTCAGGTCTCTCCTTCAGAGAATCTGATATAAAAAGGTAGTTGGATGACAACTTCCTGCTACTGCACTTTCAGATCCACTAAGGTATTTGTGCCAAGACCACTCTACTTGGGCTGCTCCAAGTCAATGTCTGAACAGGACAGGGGTACAAAATTAGGTAATTTCTGCCCAACTCTTTCTAAAAGAATTCTTTCTAAAAGAATCCTTACTTGGTGGCTGGCTCTAACTGGCCTAACCAAGATTTTCTCAGAGTTGCCCTAAGTCTAGATTTCTTCTAATTAATCTTCCTTGTTTCTTTTTCCCTTTTCACAAGTATCAGTCCAAATCATAGTCTGAAGACTCTACCTGTGCCTGCTTCCTCTCCCCTTTACCCTTCATGTGTGTTTTCTTCAATAAATTCTTGCACTTTTAATTTTTGTCTTGACATTTGCTTCTTTGACATACAGGATTTTGGATTAGAGAAAGAAATTAGATGTTTAGTCCACTATCTTAACACAGAAGTCACTATTAAGCTTTTGCATTCTTTAACAATTTCACAATTCATCGCACTATGAGAGGATGAATTAACACCTAACACATTATCTGAGAGAAAGTTTTGTTTATTGTTCTGATTTACTAAAACTTAAACATTCCACCAAATAACTCAGGAAAATCCAAGTAGTGGAAAATATACAACAGATCTGTTCCTTTAAGAGGTCTCTTTAAAAAGGACACAGAAAATATGTATGTATACATACATATCTATACCATTTAAATTAGTTCTACTCTTTTCTATACTTAGGATTTTCAAGTATAGAATTGAATTTATAATGCTGAGGTAACAATGTATCCACTCCTCAACATGACTGCATAGGTATTTAAAGTGTGAAGATTAATATGAGGTCTCAAGTCACTTGATGAAACCATCTTACTTCAATTTAAACCAAAAGCAGAGTATCATACACGTATCCAAAGGGGTATTTCCAATGCATCTGTGTTTGTGTGTGTGTGTGAATCTCTGTAGTGGACAGGTACAAACCAAGTAAAGGTTGACTGAGCCACACTGAATATGTCAGAACTCTGCTGTTGTTGGTAATACAGAAACATACACGGTCTTTGTGTTCAAAGTCTTCATGGGGATTTCTTCAGTAATTTCTATAAGAGAAAGAAGAACTTTTTAAATTTCTGCCTATTATAGATGAGTGTTATTTATTTTGATGAATATTTTTTAAAAATTAATTATCTACATAGTAAGGAATTTGGTCTAAAAGAGCCCTGACCTTTATCCTAACTCCTGGGGGGACTCTAAGTCCTTGGGATTTCCTGAGTGATAGCTGTGTCTTTTGCTAGTCATGGTGGGTGCCTGACCATACTGATAGTTTAAGCTCACAAGATGACTCAGGGTAGATGGAGCCAGTAAGAGCATCAAGACCAACTGTATAATTTAGGGTAGTAGCTTTGGGTCACATAGTATCAGCTGAGACAGAGACCTACCATGTGGGCAATGAATCAATCATACCTACCTAGTCCAGCCTCAATAAGAACTTTGGACACAAAGGCTTAGTGAGTTTCCCTGGTTGGTAATACACTATACATGCTGTACAGCACAAACACACTGTACATACATGCTATTCATAAGTCATTGAGAAGACAAACTCTGTTTGGGTCTCTTCTGGGTGTACCCTATGTACCTCTCTCTGTGACTGCTTCTAGTTTTTGTCCTTTTCCTATAAAAAGCACAATAATGAGTATAATAGCTTTCAGTGAATTTTGTGAGTCTTGCTATCAAACCTGAGGGTGGTTTGGGGAAACCCTCTGAACTTGCATTTGGTGCCAGAGTCAAAGTGGTCTTGTGTAGACTCTCCCTCAAATAGCCTTGGACCCTAACTCTTCACAGTTGAGGTTAGACATCTTGGGCTGATTGCTGGAGGACTGTGTCCTCAATTTTACTAGCTCTGGGAACCGCCCAAGATGTCCTGAGACTCCTGACCAAACACCCATTTCCTGTGTCTATTAAAAAAGGCCTTAAACAATGCCAAGCCAGTAGTTCAGATTTGTGGCTTCTAAATATTACCTTCTTGTTATAGGAAGAATAGCCATTCCATTTCTGTTGATAAAAGAGTATGATAAGCCTATGACATCTTGTGATGCCAAAAAGCAAAATGTTACCAATGTTTGAAGGATTTAATTAATCTGAGTCACCATGGCTAAAGGTAAAAATTTGAGCATCCAAAAATAGAACACAAATAAAACCAATTAAAATATGTTAAAATATGAAATCTCAAAAAAAAAGATAAATTTTTAAAAAGTTCTTTGCCCTTCGTGGGGGCATTTTGCATCTAGCCACATCTGAATTCAAAGGGAAGGATATAAAATAATGGTATACTTCATTTAAATATATATATAAAAATATATATATATATTTTTAAAAAGTATTAGTTACAGTGAAAAAAAAAAAGAAATTTTCTCACCATCTGTTTGAGTCTCACTCAGAAATAGCTTCAACTTCCTGCTCCGAAGGCCAAATACCTTGGCTGCTTCACACAAAAGACCTTGGTAGGTGAGTCCATTCTGCCCAAGTGGGTTTTCTAGCAAGAGAGTGCTGACTGTTCCCATTAAACATTCTATAGAAGAAAGAAAACAGTGCATTTGCTCATGAGAGTTCACATTCCTAACATAGGTAGTACCTGCGGACAGCTATACAGGCAGAGTTGAATATTTGGGAAGCCAGAAATAGGTACAAAAGCAGAGTGGGACCACTAACTAAATATTCTGCACAGTCTTTTTTTTTTTTTTTCCCCAAGATTTATTTATTTATTTATACAAGCACTGGGTACAGTCAGACGCGTGGGAGGGTGAGGGAATTCACCAGAGCCAGAGCGGGGAGCAGAGCAGGCAGAAGGACCGAAGTACACTGCTGAGGGGAGCAGCAGGCGGCAGGACAGGTCTGCACGCCATGCGGGACCCTCCTCCGGTGGCCGGGGAGCAGCCGGGGATTGAACTGGCGCCGCAGAGGCTGTGGGCAGCTTCGCAACCCAGCACTCAACCGCTGCGCCACCGGGGAGGCCCTCTGCACAGTCTTTTACAGCCAAAGGGAGAAAGGGGACAGGGTAAAAGAAGCTTCAACTAATTTAGAAGTCCAGGGATGTGAGCAAGAGATATTCAGTAAAGAGTCAAATATTCAGTAAAAACTTAAATAACAAATGTATAGAATGAAGATCCCAAAATATCAAGAAAAATAAACATGAGATAATTTTGTTGGCCAAGGTATGGGTGTGTACCAGTTTTTACATTTTCCAGTAATAAGGCAATATTAAAAAGCTTTGGCACTTATACAATTCAATTCACTTAGATTTTATTTTCACCAAACCAACTTATCTAGTTTCCAGACCACATCAGATGGATGAGGGTATGTCTACATAAAATATGCCAAAAGAAATAAGCCTCTGTCTGCTCCATGTAGCATGGAGTCTACACTTAAATCACAACACTGAAGGCAACTTGAAAAATCCATGAAGTCAGAAAGGCTGAACATAAAAAGGAAAGCATAACACCCAGCATCCCATAACCTGCCTGCAGAATGTTCACAGCTGGGTATGTACGTACCTTGTGGGTCTGCATTCAGAAGCTGTAAGTTGATGTACTGACAAAGAAGATTAGTAGGGCTGTTGATCACAGAAGGAGCTGATCCTGCAGTCACGTAAAGTGTTTTTCCACTAAGACTCAGTAAGTTGGTTTGGTTTTGTAGTTCTAAAAATAACAAAGTATCATTCTTTCAGGGCAAGATACCTGAGAGCTTGTAATTCACGCTTTCCTATTTAGTTATAAAACTACCATAAATATTTACAGTAATGCTGACTAGAAGGGAATACAAAGGGTACTGGGCTTAGCACTATATCCACTCCCAAACCTGAATGTGCTACAGCGTATGCCATTCCTAAACTTCTAATAGCACATTGTTGCCAGCAAGGAGGAACCCAAAGATGCATAAGGTGACATTTCATCCGGTTTTAGGCAACAAGGTTAGCATGTTTTCAGCAATACAAGGGCCAGCTGAATGGATGATCTGCCATGTGTAGATACCCAAATCATAAGGGTGGGCTATGGTGGTTTTACTCTATGTTAACTTAGCTAAGCTAAAAGCATTTTGCAGAAATCTCTGCCTGGCCTGGATTTGGACCACAAGATTTGGGAGAGTTTAGTTACAAGCTTTGTTTGAAATATTAAAGTGGGGGGCCTCCCTGGTAGCACAAGGGGTTAAATCTCAGCACTATGAAGTTATTGGCAGCCACTGAAGCATGAGTTTGATCCCTGACCAGAGAGCTAACCCACGTGGCACAGCAGACCTCTCCTGTCTTGCCCATTGCTCCCTGCAGTAGGGTATTTCAGTGGATCCGCCTATTTTTTCCCCGTTCTGTCTCTGGTGAATCCTCTCACCCTACCCTGCACTCCCTTCCCTACACCTCTGGACTACACCCAGTTCTTGTATGCATAAATAGGTAAAATAATTTTTTTTTTTTTTTTTTTTAAGAAAGAACAATGTGGAGGCCCAGGCATCATTCAGCTTTTCATGGTTGTGCTGGATCAAGTGCAGCCAGCAGCCCACACCCATCCATAGACTTGGCCAATTTCTGGGCCAGAAACACTGAGCACTCACTGGCAAAGATACTTCTGCAAGTCAATGACTGTTGTTACTGGATGTGCACCCTTGCAGTTTTCTGCTTCTCATTGTGCAGTAACTTCAAGTAGAGTCCTGAACTGTCCACTGACTTATGCACCAGCTCTCCTTGGTGAATTCTGGTGAAATTTTTCTCAGACACTAACCACCTTCTTCCCGATCTATTTTCCTAGTTTCTCTCACATTACTGTTGCTTCCCTTATTCACCCCTAATTGATACAGTGGTAAATGGGTTTTCACACTGAGTTTATTAATTTATAATTAGGCAGAGAATTCCAGTTTCTATTATGCACTAGTACTAATATTTGATACAGTGAAATCTTTCTAGATTTTATCAATCTGGTGACATAAATTAAATAGTATCTGACTGGTTTTATCTTGTATTTTCCTGATTACTGTTGCTGTTCAGCAGTTTTCCCTTTATTTATTTTTTAAAGATTTATTTATTTATGCATACAAAAGCTGGCGTGTAAGCTAGAGGTGGGGTGGGGGGTGTGAGAGGATTCACCAGAGACAGAGTGGGGAGCAGAACAGGCAGACTGACTGAAATACACTGCTGAGGGGAGCAGTGGGTGAGACTGGAGAGGTCTGTTGTGCTATGTGGGTTAGCTCCCTGGCTGGGGATCGAACTTGTGCTGCATTGGCTGCCAACAGCTTCATAATGCTGAGACTTAACCCCTTGTGCCACTAGGAAGGGCCAGTTTTCCCTTTATTTACTGGCCATTTAAGCTATTAAAAAATTTAAGAAAATGAGCATTACATTTGGAAGGTGTTATTTTTCTACAGTTGCCATAATAAAATGTCACAAACTGGGCAGAACAACAGAAATTTATTGTCTCACGTTCTAGAAGAGAGAAGTCTAAAATTGTACTAGAGCCATGCTCCCTCTGAAACCTCTAGAGGAATCCTCCCTTTCCTCTTCCTAGCCCTCGAGGATGCTAGCAATTTATTAGTTACATAATTCCAATGCCTGACATCATTATTGCATGGCATTCTCCCTGTCTGTGTCTTCACATAGCCATCTTCATTTTTATAAAAAAAAAGATTTATTTATTTATGCATACAAGAGCTGGGGTACAGGCTAGAGGTTCAGGGGGTGAGAGGATTCACCAGAGACAGTGTGGGGAACAGAACAGGCAAACTGACTGAAATACACTGCTGAGGAGAGCAGTGGGCGAGACAGGAGAGGTCTGGGGCACCATGTGGGTAACTCCCTGGCCAGGGATCAAACTCATGCTGTAGAGGCTGCGGACAGCTTCACAGTGTTGTGCTTAACCCCTTGCACCACCAAGGAGGCCCAACATAGCCATATTCTTAAAAAAGTATGATACCAGTCACACTGGAGTTCACCCTACTGCAGTATGACCTCAGGTTTACTAATATATCTGCATTTGCATTTATATTCTATTTCCAGAGAAAGCCATAATCTGAGATACTGGGTGCTACACTTAAACATATGTCTTTTGTGGGTTGGGAGGGGAAGGATGGTCAAAATTCAACTCATAATAGTGGGAGATAATGACTTAAAATTCTTCAGAATTTTACGTAGGCTTCTCTTAATGAGAATCAGGATTTAGCAAGATGCAGGAACAATATTTAATAAAGTTAATATTCACTAGGGAAGTATATGAAGTATAGAATTTACCACGTAGCTAATAGGTAAGGGGACAGGATTAGAACCTCATCTTTTAGTAAATTCATGTTCTTTCACAGCCGTATCACACAATAAGGAGGCACAGAGACACTGAAGGCAGGCACTGCTCAAGAGACCAGTCCTGACTCAAGTCAAAAAAGGCAAAGATCATGGCAGCAAATTAAGATCTTTACCCATCCACCTCATGTCAAAACTATATGGATATATTTCAACTTTCCACATACCTGTTTCCCCATGAAAGATCGCCAACTCTGTATTTCTTATACCAAAAATGCTAGTAACAACACTCTTCAGTTTTAAAAGGTCCAACCTATTGTCACCTTTTGGATTTTCCAGAAGCAACACTCCACCTAAAAAGCCACAAAAATAAGTAACATTAAAAAAAAGGTAAATTTCGGGGCCTCCCCAGTGGCGCAGTGGTTGAGCGCAGGGTTGTGAAGCTGCCCATAGCCTCTGCAGCGCCAGTTCGATCCCCGGCCACCGAGTGAGGGTCCCACGTGGCACATAGACCTCTCCTGCCACCTGCTGCTCCCCTCAACAGTGTGTTTCATCAGTCTGCCTGCTCTGCTCTCCACTCTGACTCTGGTGAATTCTCTTACCCTCCCACGCTTCTAACTGTACCCAGTGCTTGTATAAATAAATAAATCTTTAAAAATAAAATAAAATTAAATTAAATTTAAAAAAAGGTAGATTTGAATGAAAAGCCAAAGGGATACAAGGAGACTCATTATTTACTTTCTGTTTTTTTTAAGCATACACTCTACGCAATCTTAGAATGTGCTTTGGCAATTTTTGGCAGACATGTTCCAGGAAAGAAACTATCAGGTACTAACTTTCATCTTTATAACCTTTATTTTTAATTTATATACATATTTTTTTAGAATGCACTGTTCATTATAATCCTTTTTTTATAAAGATTTACTTATTTATGCATATAAGAACTGGGGTGTAAGCCAAAGGTGTGGGGGGGTGAGAGGATTCACCAGAGAAAGTGGGGAGCAGAACAGACAGATCCACTGAAATACACTGCCGGGGGGAGCAGCTGGGCAAGGCAGGAGAGGTCTGCTGCACCATATGGGTTGCTCCCTGGCCGGCCAGGATCGAACTCATGCTGCAGTGGCTGGCAAAAGCTTGATAGTGCTGTCCTTAACCCCTGCGCCACCATGGAGGCCCTTATTTTATATTTTCACCTTCATTATGATATTTATGAATCCCAAGGACTCAGACTGGCTTAAAATACTATTTTATCATTATTTTATTTTATTTTACGGATTTATTTATTTATACAAGAACTGGGGTATAGGCCAGATGCGCTGGAGGGTGAGAGGATTCACCAGAGACAGAGTGGGCAACAGAACAGGCAGAATGACGAAATACACTGCTGAGGGGAGCAGCGGGCGAGACAGGAGAGGTCTGCCGCACCATGTGGGACCCTCGCCTGCCATCTAGGACCAAACCGATGCTGCAGAGGCTGCAGACAGCTTCACAGTGTGGTGCTCAACCACCTGCGCCACCAGGGGACGCCCTATCATTATTTTAAAAATGTTCTCAAGTGGCCCTCAATGTTGATTGATCCTCTATTTTAGATCCAATTACAGATGTTTACTTTATTGATTTATTTAAATATTTTAAGATAACTTCAGAACGACATGCAGTTATACAAAATAATAGAGATATCCATGAGCCCCCTACCCAGTTTGCACCACAACTAAGATACTGCCCCTGACACAGCAAAGTACAGAATAACTTCACTGCCATAAGAAAGCCTTGCATTGCCCTTCCTGCCCCTACTTTCTACTTAATATTACATAATGGAAACATATAGTATATGATTTTTAGGGATTGAATATTTTCACTCAGAATAAATATGTAAAGATTCACCCAGGCAGTCATGTTAATCAACAATTCATTCCTTTGTATTGCTGAGTGGCATGAGCACGGTGTTCTGCTGTTAAGCCCATACCCTGAGTCTTTGTATTTTATAGTGCTAAGATTTTCATTTGATTCTTCATATCTTCTGTTTTTTTGTGCAGGCTTTCTATTTTTAATTGGTTTTGACTGTAATTGATGTATGAAGCACTTTTGCTATGGATGCTTTAAATTCTCAGATAATTTTAACAAGTCTGTCATCCTGGTGTTCACATGTATTGGCTGTTTTTTCATTTAGTTCAAGTTCCTACCAGTTCTTGATATGATGAGTCTTTTTCAAATAAAACCTGGACATGGGCCTCCCTAGTGGTGCAAGCAGTTAAGCACAGCCTCTGTAGCACGAGTTCGATCCCCAGATGGCCAGGGAGCTAACCCACATGGTGCAGCAGACCTCTCCTGTCTCACCTGCTGCTCCCCTCAGCAGTGTATTTCAGTCAGTCTGCCTGTTCTGTTCCTCACTCTGTCTCTGGTGAGTCCTCTCACTGCCCTCCACACTCCGCACCTCTGGCCTGTACCCCAGTTCTCGTATACATAAATAAATCTTTAAAAATAAACAAACAAACAAATAAATAAATAAAACCTGGACATATTTAGGTATTATGAAATTCTGGTTCCTATCTAAACCCTGTATTTTAGCTGACTTTGTTTGATGTCACTGGTAGGGGAAGGAGCACTGCTTCATTAATTCCTGTTGGGAGAAATTGGGGTTCTTATTCACCTTCCACTGGTACTGAAGTCAAGACTCCTTATTACTGCTGGAGGGATGAGGAGAAGTTCCCACTATCCTCTATGCCTCTGTTGGTATCTCCCTGGTTTTGAACAACAGAGTGAGGAACAGAACAGGCAGACTGACTGAAATACACTGCTGAGGGGAGCAGCAGGTGAGACAGGAGAGGTCTGCTGCACCATGTGGGTTAGCTCCCTGGCCATCTGGGGATCGAACTCGTGCTACAGAGGCTGTGCTTAACTGCTTGCACCACCAGGGCACCACCAGGTGCCTCAATATTGCTTCCACGTGGTCTATAATGACACCTCTTGGGGTGGTGGGGTAGTGCTGGGCAGTGGTGGCAAGGATAGATGCCCTTGTGTTGCCTAAAAGAATGGTAGTCCAAGCTCTCCAGGTGGTCTATATGGACGCTACTAGGGAGAAAAGATCATTACCACCTATGCAGGGTGAAAAGTCCCAGCTTACTACTTGGCCTTCTCTGACACAGCCATGGTAGCAAGGGCTTGAGACTCCTCAATCTGTTCAAGGTGAAAGTGTAGGATCCCCAGCTGGCCTTTGCTGGTGTAAATGGCAGCGGGGCTCTAGTTTCTTTTGTTGTGTTTGGATGGAGTAAGATAGTTAATGTTTAAAAGTTTTCAGTCTTCTTGGCTGTTCCCTCTGATCCTGTCTAGAAAGAGCAGGATTGTGTTGGCGAAATTTTGTTTGTGTTTTTTGGTATTTTCGGGTTTTTGGCTTCTTCAGCTCCAAGGCAAAAAGATCCAGGGAACTTACATGTATTTTATTGGTTGGTACTATGAACTTTAACTGCTTTGTCTTTTCCCCTTCAGCTTGGAGTCTACTAATGTTTGCTTTTATATATAATACACTTTGTGGGAGGAATAGAGAATCATATATAATTCTCCATCTTCTAGAAGTGTAAGTCCAATCATTTATTTTTGTGGATTCATTTTCAGGATAATTAAAAGTTATCTTATTTTATCAATTTTTTTAATAGCCTTAAAGACATTTGTAAGTTTAACTTAAATTGAAAAAATAAAAAAAAGAATACGACAAACCATTTATTCTTACCTTGCTCTCTGCCATTTGTACAAATGTTAAGATTGACATATGCGCAAGCAGGGCCAGGTATGGATGATCCTCTGGTGAGTGTAATTTCCAGGTCTGATCCCTTTAACTGAGCACATGAGAATATATGATTGAATAAATGCAGCATCTGACCAGTGTCATGAACTAACACAGCAACTATTTCTTCTCAATGAAAACAAAAGTGTTACACAGTTTGAAGAACACATTCAATCTCATCACTAAAACAGTCAAGAGCTATGATTTTTTTTTTTTCCTATTATTGTGTTCTTTAAAAGATTTAAGTCAAGGGCCTCCCTGGTGGCAGAGGGGTTAAGTCTCAGCGCTATCAAGCAATCAATGCTGTGGCCTGAGTTTGATCCCCAGCCAGGGAGCTGACCCACATGGTGCAGCAGTCCTCTCCAGTCTTGCCCACTGCTCCCCTTAGCAATGTATTTCAGTGGATCCACCTGTTCTGTTCACCACTCTGTCTCTGGTGAATATTCTCACCTCTGTACCTCTGGCCTATACCCCAGTTCTTGTATGCATAAATAAATAAAAATAAATTTTTAAATAAATAGATAAAGAAGGTCTATATGACACCTGATCTCCTGTCTACCTTCCCCTGTCAGATCTCCTGTCTGATCTCCTATCTACCTTCCTCCTGTTTTCCCCATGAAAAATGATGTGAGAGCATTTCTACCTTTTTTCACTCCCTTGCTCCTTTCTGAACATTCTCTCTCTGATACTATCCAATACTGTCCAGAGCAGTCTTTTAGAACTGACACTACTATGTCAATCTTTCCTGGGGGACAGAATATCAAGATGTAACTACATCATATTAACACAAAACTTAATCCTAAATGTTTTAATAGTTAAACAGAACTCAGAACTTACCTGCATTTTTTCTTGAATAAGAATTTTATCTGAAGTAGGAACTGGATATGGTTTCAAGGGAGCCTTTATGGTGGCAAATATGAACTCTGTGTGGCTTTCGATAACATTATTCAGATACTTTCCTTCAGACTTTGCTTTATAATAAACTGTTACTTCATCAGTTGGAACCAGATTGCACTGAAAGTACATACAGAAACATTGAAAAGGAGAGCACATTTTGAAAATCAAAACATTAAGTTGATGCCGCATGAGAGCTGTTGCTCCTATGCTGAAAGGGTACAGCATCCTGCCCATTCCTCTTCTGGACAAAGGAATAAATGAGAGAAAATCCACTTACAAAGCTCTGAACCGTGAGAGCTCACACACACTCCATTACTATTGCAGTGGCTTCATCAGATTCTGAACTATAAAGTTCTAGACACCTGGCCTGAGGAAGAGGAGCTGCTCCCTGCCTGTCTCACCTGATGGGAGGAGGCAATGACTCAGTGCACCTGCCTGACTCCCACTTTCCTAATGAGGAAAAGCCACTTATCCAGATACAATAACCTCTCTCCGAGGTAGGTGCTCTGCCCCAGAGATGTCATCTCTGATTAGTTTCTGCAGTTGAGGGCTGTCTTTCCTGAAGATAATTTTATGGAAGTCCTTGAAAATTGAAAAAAGAAGACAAGGGGCATATAATATGTGAAAGGTCCTGATCAGGGAAAGAAAAAGGACTGCTCCCAGCCTGGGAGTAACAATTAGGGAGGGCAAGGGACTCTCCTACAGAGTAAATCTGAATGGGCCATAGATCAGTGTCTACTTATCATTAATTGATTACTATCTTTATATTATATGCCTCTCCAGTCCACCCCAAAAACTAAAATGAAAAACAAAAAACCAAAAGACAAAAAAAGTCAAAAACAGTAACTATCCCTTATTTGACAAACTAACCTTTTTGCGAAGTTTCTGGATGCGATTGATAACTTCCCGAGCCATTCCTTCATCCACCATTGACTGGTCAGGAGAGATGTCTAAAAGAACCAAAGCCTACAGGAATGAACCATGAACACCATGACAATCAAATAAGGAAAAATGATTCTTATAAATTCAGGGAAATACTATTGAAAAGTAAATCTTGTGATATTATTTATTCATTGAACTGAGCAAAGTACAAAGTTAATACAGTTTCTTTACAGTTGGTCCTTTGTGATAAGTGATTCCTTCCTCTCTGGAGGGGTGTGCATACAGAAGAAAGTCCTGAAATCAGTTTGTGAGTCTCCCACGTGACTCAGCTTTTCAGCTATCAAATAAATAATACCAATTCTCCTAAGGTATAAGATCAATGACCGCAGTGCCCTTATAGGAGCACAACTTTCCATATCACAAAAGAGGGAGGGGATCAAAGGTCTCCATATGGCCATGTCTATTACTTTCTTAAACCATGTCTCTATCCTGTTTTGTCAATGTGATTCAAGACAGCATTCCTATGAAAGATCACAAAATGTTCAATGTGATTTAGTTTAAACTGCCTCTTTTTGTCAACCTTGACAAAAAGTTATCAATCGCATCTTTCTACCTCACTGGATATGTTACATGCTATCTACCAGGAGAAGTCTGTAAGAGCAGGGAGAGAAATGCCTGACCTATCACAAGGAAAAGCACTGAACCTAAAATCCAAAGCCACCTGCATGTCCCCTTCAAGGAACACTCTGTAACCATCCCTACCTCCAGCCTAGACTTTAGAGATGATCCCCTGTCTGTGCTTATTTCTACTTATCATACAGAATAATAAGAACTGTTTTACTTTTCTTTCTCCATGACTAGCTTATTCCTTGAAGGGTGGAGTTACGTTATTCATTTTTGTATGACCCCATACTTAGGATATAAAGAAGTTACAAAATATCTACCTATAGGGCCTCTCTGGGGGAGCAGGGGGTTAAGCACCACACTATGAGGAAATCCAGCAGTCTCTGTAGTGTGAGTTTGATCCCCGGCCGGCCAGGGAGCTACCCACATGGTGAGGCAGACCTCTCCTGTCTCGCCTGCTGCTCCCCTCAGTGGTGTGTTTCGGTCAGTCTGCCTGTTCTGTTCCCCACTCTGTCTCTGGTGGATCCTCTCACCCACCACAACTCTGGCCTGTACCCCAGCTCTTGTATGCATAAACAAATCTATAAAACAACAACAACAACAAAATATATATTTATTAAGGGAACGTCTATGTTAAGGGCACATAATAAAAGAGTTTAAGTGAATAACTGATTTCTTTTATCCTGATACAAACTGTCAAAACCATCTGGAAGGACAAAATACTCCCTTCTTTCATGTTCTTATCTTTTGGTAAAGAAATGTTATAGGGAACAGAAAAATACCTGTGCATCTGAGTGTGCTTCAAACTGCGCAGTCCCACCTACTGCCTGATCAAAGGTGTACATGAGGCGGATATCCTCTCCATGTAATTCATGACCTTCCACAATGATGCTCCCTATTAGAAAAGCAATTGTCACTGTTACTCAATCATCAATCAGTCCCTCTTCCTCAAGTCACCATGCTACCAGTATATGGAACCACTTTTTGACAGAAACTTCACAGCATCCAGATACAGAGACTTCAAGAGATTATTTTCTCCCATCTCACAATGCAGCCAAAGGGATGTGACAAACTCTTTGGACTGTACCATGCTGCCTTGTCAAAGACAGTCAAATCACCACCAACATCCACGTTTTATATAAACTCCCAGTTCTAGGAGGTAATGACTCCCCACCGTAAACAGGAATGTGATACAATGAAGAAAGCACAGTTTTAGAGTTGAATCAAACTTCAACCTGGCACTCATTGGTTGCCTGACTCTGTCAATAGGATGTAGTGAGGTTACATGGGAAGTGTGAAATTCCAACCCTCATGCCTGTGAACGATAGGCAGAATGTATAAATAATTGAGGGTGAGTAGTTCCACCTTCAGGGAAGCAGCAGTCAGTCAAAATGATCATCTCGGATAAAGAGTGCTGGCTGTCATTTTCACCTTATGTCACTACTCTGAAACTATCTTCTTTCCACCAGTGCAGAACAGCTATTCATAACTACAGTGTAGTTAGGTTTTTATTTTCAAATGAGGATTGTTCCAGAAATTTCTGAGGTTTTGGCTATCTGGTGAAAAACATTTGCCAAAGATTTTATTAATTTATCAGATTAATGTAGTAATGACTTAATTTTTAGTTACCATCCCCTTAGATTTTGTAAATTTTATCTAAAAATCTGGAGAATCTTAGGGACATACTCCTCAGTTTCCAAAACCACTCACCTGATTTCTGAGCCTCTGTCTCTCCTCAAGGCCCCAGTTTGTGATGTCTAATTTCAGAGGGAGCCCTAACAATCAATACCTTGTGCCCTACAATAACCAGAGAATGAAGCAGCCACAGTAAGCCAAACATGATTCTAATCATGGACTGCTAAAACCGCTTGACACCTGAAACAGTTATACAAAGAAGAGGAGAGGAGCTGAGTCACTTTTCTAACTTCCTTATGCTATCCTATACTTTTCCCTCAGAGCACTTGTTCACCTTCAATATCTGGCCGTACAGCGAGATAAGAACAATGTCTGCCTCATCCAACTCAATTCCCAATGCCAGCCAAACAGAAGGGCTTTGAAAAATATCCACTGTTGGAGCACTCACCACTCTCCTGGAACCGTTCCAGCTCCTCACTGCTCAGCTGCTTGATGGAGGTCATCACTGCCTTGAAGGCTCCCTTCAGGCGCTTCCCTAGGACCATGTGATCGGGCTCTGCCCTCAGACGAATGCCATACTTGTTTTTATCCGTAGATAATGTAACTTTTCGAACATTCAATTCCTATAGTTTTCAGACAAAATGAAACAAAAACAAAGATCCACAAATTCACATATTTGACTGTGAATGAATAAAATGTGATATATCATACGATGGACAATTACTTAGCAATATACAGGAATAAAGCACTAACACATGCTATAATATGAATGACCACTAATGCTAAGTGACAGATGTAAGATACAAAAGACCATCTATGAACTGTCCAAAGTTGGGACACTCAGAGACAGAAAATAGATTACTGGTTGTCAGGGCATGGTAGGACCTTGAGAGGAAAATGTATGTGAATGCTAACGGACACTGGGTTTCTTTTTAATAAAAATTTTACAAGTTTGACAATGAAAATGATATAAAATTGTGGTGATGGTTGCACAACTCTAAAATAGTGAAAATCACTGAAATCTATGTTATGAAAAATACTTCCTTGTCAAGATCAAACAACACAGTTGAGCATAACTTACCGAAAAAGAAATTAGAAATATAAAAGAATTAGAAATATAAACTTTATCTTTTAGTACTGAGTACTTCTGCTTAACCAATTTCAGAGCACCATAAAACTACTGATTAGACAGAAGAACCAGTTAATCATAACATTTCATGCCTCCATCATACTAGTTAAGGATTACTAATACAGCAAGAAATATTGATGGCACAGCAGAAAATATGAAAATGAAATTTCATGAAACTGTTGATTAAAGCAAATGGTAGGGAAATGCCTAGTTTTGCCATTATACCCAACAGTATTATTGATCTCATTATAGTGATTAAGATAGTCTGCTTAAATTTATTTATTTATTTATTCATTTTTTAAAGATTTATTTATTTATTTATACAAGCACTGGGTACAGTCAGAAGCACGGGAGGGTGAGAGAATTCACCAGAGCCAGAGCGGGGAGCAGAGCAGGCAGAAAGACTGAAGTACACTGCTGAGGGGAGCAGCGGGTGGCAGGAGAGGTCTGTGCGCCATGTGGGACCCTCCTCTGTAGGCTGGGGAGCAGCCGGAGATCGACCTGGCGCTGCAGAGTCTGCGGGCAGGTTAGCAACCCAGCGCTCAACCGCTGTGCCACCGGGGAGGCCCTTATTTTTTTTAAAGATTTATTTATTCATGCATACACGAACTGGGGTACAGGACAGATGTGTGGGAGGGTGAGAGGATTCACCAGAGACAGAGAGGGGAACAGAACAGGCAGTCTGACTGAAATACACTGCTGAGGGAAGCAGCAAGCAAGATAGGAGAGGTCTGCCACACCATGTGGGTATCTCCCTGGCCAGCGGGGATTGAACCCGTGCTGCAGAGGTTGTGGACAGCTTCACAGAGCTGCGCTCAACCACTTGCACCACCGGGGAGGCCCAAATTTATTTTACTTTTACCTATATCTGCAGTAAGCATTAATGATCAAATTTGTGATCTAACTTTTTAGTTTTTAATATTTTCCTGCAATTCTCAAGCAAGTCAAAAGTAAATATACAAATTAATATTTTCTGCAATGATAGAAGTATAGAAGTAAACATTACCTATGAAGGGATAAACATTACAATGACATATTTAATTTCATAATAGAGAATAAAATAAAGCTTTCTGGGAAGACAACTGTCATTGTAGTTTAAACTTATGATCCCAAAACTCCAACTTAAATTTTTAACAGGCGAATAATCAAGTAAATGACAATGTGGTGAGAAAGTGAATACAAGGCAGCTGAGAAGAATAAAGTAGATCTTTATATTTGACACAGATGTCCTTTTAAGATACACCATAACGTGAAAAAGCAAGTTAAAAATCACATACATGATCCTCTTTGTGCACCAATAAAACCAGTGGTGTGTACATGTTTGTATACGTGTGTAAAATGCTAAAAACGTTTTGCACATTATACCAAGACATACCCCAGTGAACATCCCCAGGAGGGGTTGACCAGATGCAAAGGGACACATCTTAAACTCAATGCTAGTGCTGGAGCAGGATACATTCAATGTGTGCAGTATACATTCAATGTGTGTTCACCTGATGTATAATTTTAAGGAAAAAAAAATGTGTGTGTGTGTGTGTGTGTGTATATATATATATATATATATATATATTTAACTACCGAGAAGTATTTTGGGGAAGAGAAGTAGATGAAGGTAAAATGATTCAACTCAAAATAAATAATCCAATTAAGTCACAAAAATGCACTGATCTTGACTTTTTTTTTAAAGGAGTCATTATTACAAAAATTCATCATCTTCTCAAGGAAAGATGTGTTTGGACCAAAACAGACAGATCACCTGTCTTACCTCAGTGATATACTTCTCCAAAGACTTGATATCATTAAGTGCTTCTGGATCTTGATGGATAACCACAATTTCTTTCAAAGGATACTAGGGGGAAAAGATGAGAGACAGATCACTAAGCACCAGTCCTCTACACTGCAGGAAAATGGAGTGAGTTTTATTCTAAATGCCAAGCTCCAGATTAATAAGGTTCACCTAGTTCTAGGTTATTCACACCATTATTACAGAAAAGAAAAAAAGTATTCCATTTCTAGATGCTCTCTACATAAGAAAATACTCTAAAGATATAATTATGATGTTTGAACAATATAAAATAAAAGTAAAATTTTGAACCTTTATTGGAATAGTTTTGCGGTCTCGAATCACTCGCCCAAGTTCAATCACAGACTGCATTCTGGACACTGCATTTTCTGTCTTCTTGTCAATTAACTCCTCTCTGATTGATGAAGATGGAATATACAAGAAATTAGATTTGAAAGGAGAAAACACCGAACAATAGGCATACAATCTGGATTTGAGAGGAAAGGGGTCAGCTGAGGGATATGATATTGTGGGTATGAACACAGTAGTGCATGCCTGCCTTGGGGACACAAGGCAAGAAGCAGGCAGCAAGCCTGGATCTGCTGTGATGGCCCACATTCCATTAATGCAACCCCAATGAACCTATCCCTACCTCACCTGCAACAGCATCTCTCTTATCCATTCTGCAACCTGAGTAGCAGCTGAGGTAGATGGCAGTATCCAGAGGGGCTAGAGCAAGGAGCTAGGCCCCCACATGAACTGGGGGCAGCTCGCCTTCCCAAAGCTTCCATGTATTTGATTCTTACCGAACATGGGGCAACATGAGGTAGTGAATGCTGAGTGTGTCCTTGTCTTGGACAGAGACAGGGTCAATCAGCATCTTTAGATTCTGGTACATCAGTTCCGTGAGAAAAGGTGTATAGGGTGCCTGTATGAGGACAGAAGACATCATATCTCTTATGTGTACTCATTTACTATCTATTAAGATTGAAAAATAGTGATTAAACATATTAAAGAAGGAGCAAATAATATGCACTGCAGTGGACATGAGATTATCACTTAGCATGTGCCAGGAAATAAAAGGAACTCATTTGAATTTGGTGAGATGGACACCTATGAAGTACAGTGAAAGAGGTGCAGCCAGGACTCAAAATATCCTGGAGAAAATATACAATAGAACTGGAGACCCTGACTATATGCCAGTCAAATAAATATGCAGAGGACTGAATATTCTGACCTCAGAAACCTCATCTGCAAGCTGGGGAATCTACCTGCTTCAGAGGGTAAAGCATATGCCTGGTACAAAACATGCATATTCAGGAGATAAACAGAAGGCTTAAAGCATTACAGTGGAGTCACAGAGCCAGATAGCATACAGGGGATTAAAACTGGATTTTCTGGGCCTCCCTGGTGGCACAAGGGATTAGGTCTCAGCACTATTAACTACCTGCAGTCACTATAGCATGAGTTCGATCCCAGGCTAGGGAGCTAACCCACATGGTGCAGCAGACCTCTCCTATCTTGCTCACTGCTCCCCTCAGCAGTGTATTTCAGTAGATCCACCTGTTCTGCTCCCTACTCTGTATATGGTGAATCCTCTCACCCCACACCTCTGGCCTATACCCCAGTTCTTGTATGTATAAATAACTAAATCTTTAAACAAATAAAACTGGATTTTTTGCTTCTGTATCGTTTAATATTTCAACTGGAAGAAACATGTTTCAAATAAAATACTGTTTGGGATATAAACCTGCCTGGTTAAATAACTACATAAAATTATAACTTTATTATTTAAAGGGGACTGTGGCAATTTGGTTTAGATATAAAATCTGGACCTAAAAAGTACTCCCAGTAACAAAGGGAAAGATCCCATCTTTTGAAGTTCATGTTTCTTGGCCATTACTTGACATATCATAGCTAACAAGATATCTGAAAAGGAACTTGAGATCTAATTTGCTTTAAGATTTCTATTTCTACTTCTTGGGTAACAAGTACAGACAGAGGAGGATGCTACAGCAGAAAAGCACTGCAAACAGCCAACTGGGCTAAAATCTCACCATAAGTCTGCACAGAGAAAGAAGAACACTAAACAAGGTCTCCAGGGCCATTACACAATCCTCCACCCCGTTTTCGCCCTAGAAATGAAAAAGGAACATTGAACTGTTAGAAGCGTTTATCATAAAATCAATTAAGTAGTTCCTAAAAGCAGTTTATTAAAGAGAGCACACAGTGCACACAGGACAGATGGAACAGGGACAAAGAGTCATGACCACAGGTGGTCTGGGCTTGGTGCAAGAGGCTAGGACGGGATCCCCTACTCTCCCCAACACTGAGGTATGCTGAGAGTGGCTCTTCAACTACACAGATATGGACCAAAGGACCAAAAGGCTGTGGGTGGGATTCACAGGCAACAAAAAGAAATTGTCACTAATTACTGATTTTTCAAATAAAGTATATACCATGTATTTAAAAATTAATTATACTTATTGTAGGGAAAAAAAATGAAAACCAACCCTAATTAAGATACCCAGAACATTATAAACACTTCAGTTTATGTCCTTCTAGATAATGTGTATACACACATACATATATGTGAGTGTGCAATTTAACAAGATAAAATTACTGTTTTGTTAACAGGTTTTTATTTATTAACATAACTGAAGCAGGACTGACAGGCAGTGGGAACCCTCACCTAGCCTGCGCCGGGGCATACCTCACTGCCTGTCTTGTACACCACAGTTTATGCAATTTATATCCTGGGGCCAGAACCCATGCCTCCCATATCCTAAATCCCCAACAGGCTTAAGGAAGAGTTTTGTCAATAAACTGGCTTCCTACAGGCAGAAGCAAGTTGTCCTTGATCTCACAGCCTTACCTGATCTTTGCAAGTAAGCAAACTGAGTTGGATTTGGGATTCTAAGAGGTCTGCTCCATTTAGTCCTATATGGCCCGAGACATTCCCTCAATCTGACATGTTCACAATTGTGTTTTGAAAATAAAGTATGCAAGGTGAGTTCTGGTACTTATAGGCCCCGATCCATATAAGGTAAGTAAAGGAAAACAAGTGCAAAACCTGAGAAAATTTGAATATGTTCCTTTTTCTTTCAGCTGAACTCTTTCCCCCTTAACTCTCAAAGTTGCTACACTTTTTGCTTTTTCCAACAGTAGCCTACACTTACCTTTAATCTTTTGCGGTTCATTCTGACATACCAATTGGTCAGAATATCCACAAACTTGACCAGTCGAGGCACCACAGTATAAAGCCTATAAGCTGAAAGTAAAACAAATCAATAAGGCTATGAGAATACGCTAAACATGTGGGTTTGCTTGGGGATGGGCTAGAAACACTAACAAGCAAACTGGGCCTCCATGCACACTAAGAAGACAGGAAGAACTGAAGTGAATCAATCGTTCCTTTACTGAAGATATAGCACATGACAGTCATGGTGTTTAGGGTACATACAAAACCAGCTGTGAGCCACACACAACTCCCACTTGTCAATGAGAAAAGTGGAAATTTCATGCGAGGCTGAGACTGATGCTGCCCACCACACAGCTCCATGAGGATCCAATGACCTAGAGCTATGCAAGGTGGCAGATAACAAAGGCCCAACTTCCTGCCACTGTGCTATACAAACTAAGATGACACACAGAAAGTTCTAATGTAATGCTAGAGGCCCAACACGGGCCAGTTTGTTTCAAGCAGGAACAATTCTGTTATGTAAGGGGCATCTGGCAGAGATATTCTGGGTGTCACTACTGGGGAGGTGTTCCTGGTAACAGATGGGTAGATTCCAAGGACACTGTTCAACACCCTGTAGGACACATGAGCTACACCACAGAGAGTGACATGGCCCAAACTATCAATAGTGCTGTGCTGAGAAACTGGCCTGGGATATGAGTAAAACAGCATAGACTTTCTGTGGGTTAAAACAACTAGTAAGAGAAAGTTAAAGGTGGTGGAAGGAGAGAAGTGTTGTGAGGAGTTAGATGAAGACTCTTCTGAGGAACTCATCAGGCAAGTAGGAAGGTGAGGCAGGGGCTTATTTTCAGGATTTTGCCTTTCATCTCCCCATTAACTAATACCCTGTGGCGCAAAAACAAGGAAAATAAGAGTAAATATTATGTGAACATAATTTTTTAGAGAATGTTTCTGAGGCTGTTCTGAGCTCAGGTGAAGAGAAGTTGCAAAAGGCAGAGCTGCTTCTGCTGTGGTTCAGAGATCGAACCAAGGCGTTGCTGCCAGAAACTCAGGCCAGAACTACTAACTGGTTACATATTCTTACATAGATGATTTCATTGATTGGAGGTCTAATCTGCAAGAAATGAGGCCTGAGTTCTATTTCTAAGATTCACTACATTATTCACCTTCTAGTGAACTAGAGGATCCTGTGTTTAGGTTTCACTTCTTATTTAGAGTAAATGAAGCCACATACAATGAGCTACTGATAAGGTCACAAGTAATTGCACTCTTTCAGTATTAGCCTTACCGTAAGTCCTTATACCTCTATGTGGACAAAGGAACTGAGGGCAGAACGCCAACAGACTGGTGGTGGTGGGGGAACTGAACCTAACAGTGTAGGTCTAAAGCCTGGTCCTCACCTCTCACTGGTGTGCACAACTGCGGCCAGACTTCTAGTTCCAGGCAGACCAGTCCCACTGCATGTATGTATGTGCTCAGAAGGTCATGGCAGCAGTTGCTATGGCAAGGACCATCAAGTGCAACAATCTCAAGCACAGTTTCTTACCCATTCAAAAGTGGACATGGCTGTGAGCAGGTGTTCTAGGGAGTACAGTAAGAGGCCAGTGCAGTAATCTGCCTTGCAGACTCATTTGAATCTTCATTTTGTCAATTTTTCCAATAGCTAAACAGTCATATAATGATGCATATTTACGGCTAGGCATGTTTAAGGGGTGAACGAGTCCTTAAGGATGACTGACATATGAAATATGCCACCGTGCCAAGTCATATGACATGTACTGTGACAGTCTCTGCATGAACCAGAGGACAGCTTTGCCTCCCCTTTGCCCCCAAGCCACTGGAACACTGCTCCTGCAAGGGGGCACCAGCAACTTCATGGTGGTGGTGGTGGTGGAGAGGGCAGTTAAACTTGCCAGGGCATGTACAGGGAAGCTGTCTTCTCTTTCGCCTAACTGCTTTAGCAGAACCATTGCAGGCATCTTAGTCAAAACCTGGGTTTTAAACCCACGCCATCTAGCATCAAAGCCTGTGCTCATCCCATGCAGTGCTCTGAGGGTGAGGTCACTAGACATCACCCAAGACATTTCTCTAAGCATTGGTTGGCATAAGCACAATTCCACAAGCAACATGTCTCAATAAAACTATATTTGAGAGGTTAAAAGAAACCAGTGTTTTGGACTTCTCAAATTTTCTATGAAATTTCCTGTTTGTAAAGAAAATAAGTATCAAAAGCGCTATGAGACAGCGCTTATTCCTGGTAGGATGACTTGAGATACATACCTGCCATTTCAGTCTCAAAGAACTCAAGGAGTGATTGCATGAAGGAGAGGACCCAACGATCTGTGATGTTGGCACTTTCTTTAACTGTGTTCTCATTGTAGAGGAATTCCATTTCTTCCTCCTAGGAATTGACAACTAGTGAAACATTTCAGCATGCTTGTGGGAAATTACTATGGAAAAATAAACTCTTTGATTTTCTTAACTGAAAGAAGACACTTCTCAAAAAACCAAAAAAATCTACAAAAAACCCAAACTCTGTTGGCTTTTAAGGTTGATTCTCAGCAATATTTTCCAGATAAGTGCTACACTTAGGACGTCAGCACCCAGTTAATGAATTATGTTTTTGAGTGAATTAGAGAGAACTCAATTATAATTACTATTGACTACAGAGTGAGAAATAGTTCAGAATCTTGTCAATAAGTATAAGGCTTAGTTACTTTAGTTACTTCAAACCTGAGAAAGGTGGGGCCTCCCTGGTGGCCTAGGGGTTAACTGTCAGCACTACCACCTCGGATGGCCTAAGTTTGATCCTTGGCCAGGAGTTAACCCACATATGGTGCAGCAGATCGCTCCTGTCTCACTCACTGCACCCATTATCAGTATATTTTAGTAGATCCACCTGCCCTGCTCCCCACCCTGTCTGTGCTCACCCCTCTGCACCTCTGGCCTACACCCCAGTTCTATGCAAAAATAAATAAAATCGTTAAAAAAAACAACAAAAACCTGAGGAAGGAAAATGAGTTAAACTTGTTAGGATTGGATGAATATCTATAAACTATACTAGGAATTAATATTTGCTAACACTGCTCATTTTACCAATATGGCTATATTCCTATCCCATCTTTTTACTTTGCAAAATCCTCCTCATCCTGAAGGCCCTTTTCACCTGTCCAGTATCACAGAGCAGCAGCACTGGAGAAAGGGCAGCAGCGATGCTGGCTCTTGCCCTGGTTTAAGTCTTGATGGCAGGGTCGGCACCTTTCTTCCAAATCCAGACAAGTTCCAGATGTGGGAATTTCACTGAGCCTGTTTCCTGCCTAAAGACTGCTGGCTCAAGAAGTGGTGGGTTACATAAGAAACAAACAACACTGGGGCCCACAGAAGATGCTGTCCTTCTCAATTCCCAGGGATATGACTCCCAGGATCGTTCATTAGCAGATGAGTCAGAGACAGCAAGTAAGCGATGATAACCTGGTAAAGTGGGCTGCTTAAAGAGCACTCTTTGATGGAGGTAATAACATCACTGTTCAATCAACAATAATTTTCCTTGTAAGGTGTTTAACATAAAAGGGTGAGTGGTATCTGGGCCCTGACCCAAATGTAGTCCTGAAAGCAGAGACTGGAATATGTGCAAAGACTGCAGGTCTGAGAAACCTCAGTTGGGGGCAGGGAGGTGGCTTCTCAGAGGAGAACCACACATATCACACCATCATTCATCCTAATAATCCATTGAGAACTCTCATCTTCTACCCAGCACAAATGCACCCATCCAGTGACCATCTGCAGCAGCCCTTACCAGGCACTCACTCTGATAGTGACTCTTCCCCGGCTCCCCCACTGATTCCATCAAGGGAAGGGGGCTTGCTGGGTATCTCTAGCACGAAGAGCTGATTGGCTAAATGACCGCATTTAGTCCACTGCATTCCCAAAAGCCTAGACCCTTCATTTACAGCCACCCCAATGATAAGCCCTATAACACCCAGCAGAGTGGGGCAGACCCCACCCCACACCTTCTGCAGCCTCAGGACGTTCTGGATGAAGAAGCGATAGGCGTTATACCAGGGAAGTAGCACGTCCTTCAAAACATCGCGCACACCTTCCTCCTTAAAGCGGAGGTTTTCTGCACGAACCACAGGGGAGTTAATCAGATATAATCTAGAAGACAAAAAAAAAAAAAAAAATTTAACAAAAGAGGAATGGAACAGTAAACCAAACATTATTACTTGATACACAGAGGGCAACACTAAAATGAGCACTTTTCCTTACAAATGGGGGGAATTGTGAATACTTTTCAACTGGTCAACTTAAAATATCAAAGTTATCAACCAATCAGCTTTAAAGCTCTTTGTGTAAGAGACCTAGCAAATTATAAAGGGGAGATACAATTCCACACAAAATATGGCACTGAAGCAACCTAGAAGCATGCTGATTTGGAACACAAAAAGAAGTGCCAGGGGCCTCCCCGGTGGCGCAGCGGTTGAGCGCTGGGTTGCGAAGCTGCCCGCGGCCTCTGCGGCGCCGGTTCGATCCCCGGCTGCTCCCCGGCCACCAGAGGAGGGTCCCACATGGCGCGCAGACCTCTCCTGCCGCCCGCTGCTCCCCTCAGCAGTGTGCTTTGGTCCTTCTGCCTGCTCTGCTCCCAGATCTGGCACTGGTGAATTCTCTCACCCTCCCGCGCTTCTGACTGTACCCAGTGCATGTATAAACAAAACAAACAAACAAAGAAAGAAAGAAAGAAAGAAAAAAAATGCCTCTATAAAAAAAAAAAAAGTGCCAGGTCTTCTTCCGAGGTATGGGTGTTCACAAGGAGTCAGCAAAGAGGAGACTGGAGTTAGAGGCCTATAGGGTATCCTAGAGAGAAGTCCCCATGCCAAAAAAAAATTTGACATGTGTTGTCAGCAGTGCTAAGGAGTGTCTAGTTAAGATGGGAGGGAAGGTGTGTGTCCTAGGATGGCACACTAATTGTTTCTGGGTGGCATGGCTCTGGCAGTGTCCATTGTAATCACAGAAGGATGCTGAGCAAGGGCTCTGTGGTTCAGTGTAACACCATGATCAACATTCATAACCATGACTACTTTAAACACTGGCTCACATTTCTCTAAAAGCTTCTCAATATTAATTTTTATTTGTTCTAGCATAAATATACCTTACATAGTTCTTTTGAGGAATAAGTGCAAAAATGAAATAAATGATGGGGCCTCCCCTGGTGGCGCAGGAGGTTGAGTGAAGCATTGTTAAGCTGTCTGCAGCCTCTGCAGCACTGGTTCAATGCCGGCCGGCCGGCGAGGATCCCAAATGGCACGGTAGACCTCTCCTGTTGCACCCGCTGCTCCCCTCAGCAGTGTATTTTGTCAGTCTGTCTGTTCTATTCCCTGCTCTCTCTGGTGAGTCCTCTCACCCTCCCGTGAATCTGGCCTATACCCCGGTTCTTGTATAAATAAATAAATAAACCTTAAAAATAAATAAATAAATAAATGAATGACTGAATGATGTAAGAGAATTTAAATTCCCAGGAAAGAGGGAACTTTAAGGAAGAAGTGAGGCCTAGGCACCTAGTAGCTAGCCTGGGAGAACCTGAGCTACTCACTGCAATATTACATGGGGCCTTGTCCTTTAAAATACCTCCAATGGGCCTCCCTGGTGGCGCAAGGAGTTAAGTCTCTGCACTATGAAGCTATTGGCAACCACTGCAGCACAAATGCAATCCTCAGCCAGGGAGCTAACCCACATTGCATAGCAGACCTCTCCTGTCTTGCCCGCTGCTCCTCTCAGCAGTGTATTTCAGTCAATCCGCCAGTTCTGCTCCCCATTGTCTCTGGTGAATCTCTCACCGCCCCTGCCCCTACAACTCTGGCCTACACCCCAGCTCTTATATGCATAAATAAAATAAATCTTAAAAAAAAAATCTCCAGATTTGAATATATCATCATTCAGAAAGCCACCCTTTAAAGTTAACACCATATCAATGTAACTCTTTATATACTAGAGATACATTTTTAAAAAGCTAATTATAAAGCAACTCTAAAGAACATGATTAATAGAATGAGAGGCTTACATAAAAATAACAAATACAAGTAAGGGAGAAATTGGTTTGTACCTGAGGGCATCAGCACCATATTTATGAATCATCTCAAGTGGGTCTGGATAATTCTTTTTTCGTTTGCTCATTTTCTGGCCATCACTTGAAAAACAAAAGGGAAATGCCAACTAAATAACTCAACATCACAGTTTATCTTTACATATGGTTGCAGATTATTTGCAAGGTGGAATACATGAGTACAAACAGGGTATAAGCTAGTACTGAGGCACACAGGACTTTTTGCAAATATCCATGAGCTTCTTTTTTAATACTGTGGTGTGCTGATGGAGAAACTTCAGCGTGAAAATGGAAGATGAGAGTGTAATAATTAAAAACACAGGGTTCACAGAAAACAGTTAAAAACCCATACTCATATAAAAACCTGTAACAAAAGTTCCTTGCTTTAGTCTTAGTCAGCAAACACTGGAAACAACCCCACGTCCGTCAGCAGGTAAATGGTCAGAATAAACAGCCATAGGGAACACTGTTCAACACCAAGTACAAACTATGAATACACAACCTAATCAATCTCCAGGGAATTACAATGAGTGAAAAAAGCCGTCCAAAAAGGTTATATATGGCAAAATACCATTTACAGAACATATGTGAATCAAAATCACAAAGGTGGGCAACAGTTCAGTGGATGCCAGGGATTAGGGATGAGGGAAGCTGTGGTTATAGAAGGCCACAGAGGCATCCTGCAATGCTGAAATGGTATCTATGTCTGTATTGTGCTGGTGGATGCAGGATTTCCATATAAGACAATGACATATGCAAATGAGCACATGTAAAACTGGAGAATCTGAATAAAACTGGGAGACTGTGTCAACAGTTAACAGTTATGAAAACGCACTAATTTTGTAAGGTGTGACCACAGGTGGAAACTAGACAAAGCCCACAAGAAATCTATTACTTTTTGCAACTGTATGCAAATCTAAAAGTTGATAAAGGTTTTAATTAAACAAATATGCAAATAAATAAAGACTACAGAAAGACTACCTGGTATAGAACTTAAATTAACCATCCATTTGCTATGTAATCTTGGATAAGTTACTTAATTTTTCTGTACTGCAAACTTCTGAAATGGGATAATTAAAGGACTAATCTGAAATAGTTCTGGGGAATAAATGAGTTAACATGTATAAATGCTCACAACAGAGCTTGGCATTCCTCTCTCTCCATGGCACATGAAGTAGGGTATCTAGGTACACATTTTGTTTTATTTTCTTATTTCTATTTATGTTTTTAATGACTGGAGGCAACAGAAACAAAGATTCCCCTATACTATTAAATAAGACCAATAAGCAAAAGAGCTGTATAAAATTCTTAACAAATGCTATTTTATCATTAGCACTGTCATGGGAAGCACACTTAATCCCCCCTTCCTCCTGCTCCTTCTGATTTAGCTCTTAATCCAAGATGGAAAGACAGCTAAAACACAAAGGTGCATAGGACAGAAGCTGGATGGAAAGGAACAGAAATAGAAAAGTACAAAAGCTGAAGGAAGAAAAAGAACAGTGCTAAATTCCTCTATTCAGGAGTGATTAGACTCAACAGACATGACTGCTTTGAAAAGCCTCTCATTCTGGATGTGAGAATGAAGAGGATCAGGAGCTATAAGTGGTCAGAACACAAGGGAAGCACCTGCCTGGCTAGGACGAGTCCATTCACAATAACGTTCTTGAAAGGCGGTTGTCCAAAGAGAGCCGTGGCCAGCACCAGCAGGGTATAAAACCTGAAATAAAAACACACACACACACAAAGAAATAGTGCAATAAAAACAGAAAAGAGGGCCTCCCCTGGTGGCGCAGTAGTTGAGCGCTGGGCTGCGAATATGCCGCAGCCTCTGCAGCGCCAGTTCAATCCCCGGCTGCTGGCGAGGGTCTCACATGGCGCACAGACCTCTCCAGTCGCGCCTGCCGCTCCCCTCAGCAGTGTACTTCAGTCCTTCTGCCTATTCTGCTCCCTGCTCTGGTGAATTCTCTCACCCTCCCACACTTCTGACTGTACCAGTGCTTGTATAAATAAATAAATAAACCTTAAAAAAAAAAAAAAAAAAAAAACAGAAAAGAAATTCAAGCATAGGCTGTTCACTTCTTGGAATGAAATACTTTTTTTTTATCTTTCTTTTTTGCATGATAACCCTTTCAAACAATGGTTCTTAATCCTGGTTACACATCAGAATCATCTAGGAAGTGCTAAAAAATTACGCATAGGATCTACTGTGAGCCAATCACATCAGGGTTTCTGATTAGGAAAAAAAAAAGGTGCCTCATTTAAAGTAAAGACCTGGGGTGAAGCATTAATTCCCAGCAGTTGAGGATGGTACCTGCACTCTCCTCAGGGAGCTGGTTAGGATGCCACTAGGGAGAGCAGGGTAGCATCGAGCTACCTTAAGACCAAACAGAAACACTGGGCCGAAACACACAAGATGTGTGTGGCCTTTAGCACAAGGTCATATAGGACAGTCTCATGCAAAAGATGCAAAAAGCCTGTTCATCCAAAAGTCAAAAGGTAGATTATAGGCACATAGAAATGTTTTTATTCTATCAGATATTCTATAACTTGGCTATCTGCTAGTTTGTTATCTAAAAGAAGTTTATCACATCCCTGCAGGCTGTCTGAGTAAGTGATGCTCTTATGCTACCTTCTACCTCATTTTGCACTGCAACAACATCACTGGGTATGAATTAATGAGGATGGAGAACAGACCCCAGGCCTAACATAAATAACTTCCAGACATTACCTTCTTCAATCATGGGTTAGGAGAAGCAGTCTGAGGGTGGGGAAAAGAGGCAATGTGCACATGGGGACCCCATGAGAACTTTTAAGTTGCCGGACATTGACATGCCTCAGAGAAAAAACTTACTGGTTACTCCTCTTGCCCTCTCCCAAATAGGATGTTTCTGGTAGCTATTCCTACAGATAAATGTATTGGAAGTTGAAAATAGCACATTCTGGAACATTAAGACTAGAATTCAGTTTGTGATAACTATTGCAAATTGTAAAAAATTAAAATGACACCAACATTCCTCAAATACTGAAGAAACACTACTAATGAAAGTATAATTAGAACCTACGCAAGCCAAGCTCATCCACAAAGAGCAGCTAGTCCTTAATGGAAAGGTCACCCTTTTCTTTTTTTTTTTTTTTAAAGATTTATTTATTGATTGATTGATTGATACATACAAGCACTGGGTACAGTTAGAAGCGCGGGAGGGAGAGAGAATTCACCAGAGCCAGAGCGGGGAGCAGAGCAGGCAGAAGGACTGAAGTACACTGCTGAGGGGAGCAGCGGGCGGCAGGAGAGGTCTGCGCGCCATGTGGGACCCTCCTCCCGAGGCCGGGGAGCAGCCGGGGATTGAACCGGCGCTGCAGAGACTGCCGGCAGCTTCCCAACCCAGCGCTCAACCGCTGCGCCACCGGGGAGGCCCAAGGTCACCCTTTTCTATTAAAACAACAAGGTTATGCTTTAAAGAAGGCACCAGATAAAACCAATGTGAAAATCCTTCCCCCAAGTTTTTTATAAATTTGAATACAATGTTAACCCTTTGCACTCCGAACCATTCTGGACATTGGCTACCAATGTCCCCTGAGAGGGGACAGCAGAGTGCAAAGGGTTAATTTTGTAAGGTGAATTTAACATCTGAGCACATTTCCAACTGGCCCTAAAACTAGCATCCAATCCATTACTTTGTATGTAAGTACTAATTAAATGCTTGAGTAAATGATTTGAAGTGAACATGGTAAGAACACATATTAAATGTTCTGTACCACTTAAACTTCCAGTATAACAAACCTCTATATACCAAAATGTCAATTAAATAAAGCAAATTCTGAAACTATAGCCCTAACTGAGAGAGATTCCTACTGAGAGGATGCTTCCATGGTGCACTAATGGTGAGGGACAGCAGAGGGCAAGACAGACCCTGTCTTCTTGTATACACTCTCCCCAGTACCCAGCTGACATCTGGTAGGTAGTCAGTAAATCAAATTAATGAAACACTAGAAACGCCAAGGAACATACCATCCTCTAGTTTGGTCAATGCCTTCGGCAATGAAGTCTGCAGGAAAAGCATCCTCAAACTCCTTCTTGTTTTCAAATGGATAATGAACTTGAGCATAGGGCATGCTGCCACTCTCGAACCAGCAGTCAAACACTTCAGAGATGCGATGTAAAGATCCCTTCCCACAACGTGAAGGAATGGTCAGGTGGTCAATGCTAATAAGCAAAAAGGTAGGCATTTATATTAATTTTAAGCACAGCAGAACTTGCAATTTAAGTGTCAATATGAAACACAAACAAGTTCTTACCATTATGTATTTGCAAACAGAAATATGAGTGGTTATCAATGCTTTCAGAGCACCACGGAGGTTATATACCAGTCACCTGACATAAACTAACTGACACAGGCCACCTTACCGCAGTATAACACGAGTCATCAACAAAGCAGTTCAGCAAATTAGTGATTTCTACATGCAGCTTTGTATTTTGCTACAGAGACCATGTCGTAACAGGACAGGTGCTATAGCATGATGTTAGCATGTTCTGAATGACAGAACTAAGTGAGTAAACATTCCAAAACTGACCTCTCTCTGTGGAGATCTGAGATCTTTGCTCCCGATAGTTCTTCAAGTTCTGCCATTGATCCAATGCACACAACCTGTCAAAACAAAGTTGAACAGAAGGAGTGCCTCAGGGCCAATATTAGAGATATTTCACGCAATATTCATGTTTAGTTGAAAGTCCTTTGTCTTTGGAAGCAAATTAACATGCCAGCTGGACTGGAGGGCAGTTATCACCCATGGCTGACCACCATGCAAGACTGAAGAGGTGAGCTCAATTCCAGTGCTTTTACTTCCTCTATATCATGATGACAGAGTCCCCATACAGCCAGGTAATCATTCACAGCCATCATCTCAAGAGTTTCTTTCTTTTTTATTTTAAAGATTTATTTATTTACGCATATAAGAGCTGGGGTACAGGCCAGAGATGTGGGGGGTGAGAGGATTCACCCCGGTGAATCCCCTTCAGCCACCAGGGAGGCCCTCAGCAAGAGTTTCTTAAGGGTTATTATGTCCAAATCTTTACTGAAAATAATTAGCATAAATGAAATGTCTAGACCATTTCTCTAAGGTATCTTAGTTTCTCCCTGACACTAATCTGGAATCTTTCCAAGTTAAAGCTAGAACTAAATTACTGTACAAGAACTGAATCAAAATAATCAGTTTGCAAGATGTTAGGGTCATGTCCAGAAGGCTGAGAGATAGGTCCAGATGGTACACTCAGAACAGGAGAATTATCTGACATGACCAGTAAGATACACTGTAGGCTCTCACCTAAGGAGAAGAGTGCTGCTTAGTAAACTCACAAACTCTTTCCCTGCTCTTCCTGTTCAGTCCTGAAAAGTCTTCTGACTCAGCTACTTTATTGTTATTCTCAGATTCCTAAGGGAGATTCACTGAGGTCCCTGAGCTGCTGTTTCCATGATGGTTCTAATGCTCTCAACATGGTCAAGAAGACCCTATCATGGGGATTTACCTGTACAGCTACAAGCGTTATTTTCACACACATACAGAACCACTTCATTTTACAGATTAAAGGTTTGCATTATTTTGATTTTTTTTGAAGTTTTCATTTTTCATCACTATAAGGTTGGTTTAACACAATATTACTTAGTATAGAGTGTAGAATATCCTGTTCATAAGAAGGAAAAGAAGGGCCTCCCTGGGGGTACAGGGGTTAAAAACAGCGCTATCAAGCTACTGCCAGCCTCTACAGCATGAGTTCGATCCCTGGCCAGCCAGAGAGCAACACACATGACACAGCAGACCTCTCCTGTCTTGCCAACTGCTCCCTCAGCAGTGTATTTCAGTAGATCTGCCTGTTCTGTTCCCCACTCTGTCTCTGGTGAATCCTCTAACCTCCCGCACTTCTGGCTTACACCCCAGTTCTTGTATGCATAAATAAATAAATCTTAAAAAAAAAAAGAAGGAAAATGAGACCTGAGTAACACAAGACATACACTTTAATGTATGGATTCCCCTTAGGAAAATACAAATTACACTCTTCATTTTTACACAGAGGGAAAGTCAGATGACATTAAAGTAAAAGTAAATAAAAACTAACAACTCTTTCATATTTATGTCATCTATCTAGGAGAGAATAAGATGAAAAATACAGACGAAATGAGTCAAAGAAAAAGGAAAACATGTTCTTTTATCCCCTATTGGGAGGAACAAAGTGCTTCAGCAAAAATTAATACCAGGAAACACCTTACCTCCTCAAAGTCATCACTGACCCACAGTGGGATGGGGGTGCCCCAGTATCTGTTTCTGGAAATTGCCCAGTCACGTGCATCTTTCAGCCAATTTCCAAATCTCTTCTCTCGAACAAACTCTGGGACCCTGCAATAAACAAATCATGTAACCAATCATGTAAAACATCAGTATGTAAATTTGTAAATTACATCTGTATAAGCCTTTGTAGAATGACATGGAACTGGCACTCTGTAAAAGCTGAGTTTCCCCTAAGAGAGTGTCTGTTGTGTGGACAGTACCTGCATACATACGGACCCAGGGTGGCTGTGTCTGCTGTGAGTTCACTCGAGTGAAGATCCGCTTCTACACAAGACCCCACAGCACACACACACACTCCACTGTCCTGCTCTCTGACGGGTTGCCAGTCCTCTGACCAGTCACTGACTCTGGTTTGCCCAGCCCTACTCAGATCAAGTCTTCAGGTCACCCAACACAAAAGTGCTGTTATGGAAACTCATGAGAGAGTGCCACAATTGCCTGCCAGTCCACTTTTAAACAGTCAGACTACTGGTAGCTGGTTGCAGCCTCTGCCCAGCTGCCATTCCCTGGTATACAATTTAGGCTTCAGCAGTGAGACAAACTCCTGAGAACGTGGCTTCTCACCTGACTCCCTCTGTCTAAGTCATCCATCCCATCCACTGTGATGACCTTCATCTTCAACCCTCATCCCCCCTATCATCCCAATCCCAGGACTTCTACTGGTCTGATAAATGGTCCCTTCTCCCTGGAGGTTCAGTTTTACAGAAAACCTTTCCAGACAGCCTGGGCTCCCAAATTTCCTATTCTCTTCAGCACTGCAGCGCCTGCTCTTTGAAAGCTGGTTGGTCAGCCTGCATCTCCCACAGGCTATCACTTGAATAGTCCATATCCAGCACTTCACAAACAGGAAACTAATGAGTTTCCCAGAAATAAAAACAAAAAACAAACAAAACAAAAAAACCTCTTTTTCTCAGGAAAGTGGGGTCACTCTGCTAGAAATAAAGTTATGATTTATAAAACCATTCCCTTTTATTGTCCTGAGATTTACCCCACTCTTCCTATATCAAATGCATTTTTAAGCTGAGTTGGGTTCTCGTGGGAAGAAACAGTAATTACCCACAAAGCGTTCAATGAAAAGCATTCTTCTAGAATATATAGATTCATTCAAGCCTTATTTCAGTTTTGTATCTACAGGCTGAAATAACAGCTTTCTGTGGCCAGATACAAACTAGGAGAGCAAGGTTCTCCATATGTATCTCTCATCAAGCCAATTTGTAGAAAACGGTGTCAAGTTTCCAAGAACTCAACAATACCAAAGGGAGTGAGTATAAATAGCTTTGAGAGACACATCCAAAAATGTTTATCCTGAAAATGATTATTGTTTAAGGCTAACAAGCTCCAAAAATACAGTCTTCCAGTTATTCTAATCTATAAATGAAACAAACAGCAGTTTTTTGCTTCCATTCAGTTTAAAAGAAAAATACCCTCCAATAGGGCCTTCTCGGTGGAGCAGCGGTTGAGCGCTGGATTACAAAGCTGCCCGCAGCCTCTGCAGCACCAGTTCGATCCCCGGCTGCTCGCCGGTCACTGGAGGAGGGTCCCACATGGTGCGCAGACCTCTCCTGCCGCCCACTGCTCCCCTCAGCAGTGTACTTTGGTCCTTCTGCCTGCTCTGCTCCCCACTCTTGCTCTGGTGAATTCTCTCACCCTCCCGCGCTCTGACTGTACCCAGTGCTTGTATAAATAAATAAATAAATCTTAAAAAAAAAAAAAGCTATTAAAAAAAAAAATACCCTCCAATAAAAATGCTAGTTCTGTTTGCTCACCAGTAACACCGGTCATTGTTGCTTAGAAGCTGGTCCACCATATGCTCCACCCGCACGAACCAGCTGGGCACTGCTTTGTAAATGAGGGGAGTATCCGATCTGTGGAGCAAAAATGTACAGTGGCTGGTCATATTGAGATATTCAGGGCAAGGCAATGTTACCACCACCTATTTAGTTTTCTGCCAGTATTCATTTTTATTACAAATACAAGTTTATGTATCCTCAGTACTGTTCATCCTCCCTCCACATTATTAACATCAAGGAAAAAGCTAATGAAAGAACAAGACGAGAAAGAAAATAAAGTTTTGACGGTATGTGACTACTGTCTAAGAAATGATGTCATTTTCAGCACACAGCAAATGTGGGAACAGAATATGACACCAACAAACATTCCATTCTCACCTAAGATTATACAGTAACTGAAATACTATCATATTATATTTCTCACTATATTCCATCTAAAAATTTCAGAGATATGTCTCATTTGAAAGACATGTGGCTGCAACACAGAACATATCTATTTCTCATACTACCAAGGAAATAACTAAATGCATTCACAGAATTCTCCTTAAGTGAGTTTCCAAATACTAACTCTGATACAGATGAAATGGGAACACAAATCGATGGGGTAGGCACGTATATTGACGCTATCCACAAATCTGAAGCCCTATGAGTCTCTTCTCACCTCCAACAGAAAGGGTAGCTGTGAGTGAAGGTGCTGGCAATAAGGAGTCGGCCTTGTTCCTTCAGAGTCCTGATGATATTTTTGTCAGCATCCTGTTTTAAAAAAATTAAAATGTAGCCATTAGGAGTATTATGGAGAAGGATGGGTGCTTTGGTGGTGAGACCCTATAATTCTAAGTATTTATCCTTGTAAATCAATGTTAACCTCATTTAAAAAGTGAATAAACACAGTCATTAAGATAACCCATAGAAATTAGTAATATAGGACCTCCCTGGTGGCACGGGGTTAAAGATAGCACTATTAAGCGATCACCAGCCACTGCAGCATGAGCTTGTCCCCCCTGCAGCCGGCTAGGGAGCTAACCCACACGGGGCAGCAGACCTCTCCTACCTCACCTACTGCTCCCCTCAGCAGTGTATTTCAGTCAATCTGCCTGTTCTGCTCCCCACTCTGTCGCTGGTGAATCCTCTCACCCTCTGTACCTCTGGCTTATACCCCAAATCTTATATGCATAAGTAAGTCTTTAAAAAGAAATTAGTAATATAATTAAGTATATTATTATAATTTGATATTTTGTTACTTTTACCATAAATGAAAGATGCAAACAACAAATGTATGATAAAAATACTTGACCCATTTTTTAGCCACTGTATAACTTTAATACTTTTAACATACATTCCTTACCACTGGAGTATTCAGTGAAGTACTCAATCAGCAGTGATTTGTAACCAAGGTCACAAAGCTGATTTCTGAGTCACAAGTCAGAATCCAGCTTTTCTGATTTCTACCCCTGAACAGATACTTCCTTTGACAATACCAGTTCCTCAAAGAATGTAGCTGATAACATCTATCTTATCTTACTTTATGTGTTGAACAAAACAAAACAAAAACAATTTGAGAAGGGGGGAAGATATAGCAATTTGTTGTTGTTAATCAAATTAATGAAAGAAGCTTGATCAAACCACCACTTTCATATGTCTAAGAGATTACAAACCTTCACATACTGTCCGATAAAATCTGTCACTTCTGCTGTGAAACAGCCTGATGCATCCACAGGGCAAATAGGGACAGAGTCCTTCTGAATGATGCTGAAATCCATACAGACACGATAGTCATCCTGGGGATAAGAGGAAGGGGGTGAGAGGGGACAACAAAGAAGTTTAGGAGTGGGTATGTGGAGGGACAATCATGAAATGACAAATTTACAAGAGAAGTTTCCAATGTTCTGATCTTTAAATGTCAGAAACACCTGTGTCACAGACAGGAAAGGCCCCCAAATTCAACTTTGCAGTGTAGAGGAAAGAGATCTATCCACTTTGACAGGCTAAGAGCAGAATTCCTTTACAAGTCAGAACATTACCAGAACAGATGAAGTGCCACAAGGTGATGCGTGAGGACAGGCTCTGCAGGGATCTCACACAAGGTATTACCATACAGATTTTAAATAGAAATACTCCCATTTTAAAAAGAAAACCTAACTACAATTCAAAACCAAAGTTATCTTTTTATTATCGGTGAAACAACCATACCAGTTGGCTCTATAAAATTATTATAAGTTAGGGAAATTTGATTAGATCCTAAAACTCAGTGAAAAGTACTGTTAATAATGTTCAATCCAATTTGAACATTGGCCAGGTATTAGGTAATGCTAAGAAATTATTAATTTTATTGGGTATAACAAAAGCAAAGAGGTCATATTAAAAATAAAAGTCCTTATCAATCAGACATACACATGGTAGTAATTACAGATGAAAGATGTTGAGGATTTGCCTCAAAATCCTCTAGCTAAAATTACAAAAAAAAAGTGTGGGGCAAGGAAAAGAGGGAGCAAGCTAGGTAACAGAACTCTCAAAATGCTGGTAATGCAGCTGGAGGATGTGAACATAGGATTTTTTTTTTCCTTATTTTTGTTTATGTTTGAAGAGTTAAGTTAAAAATTTGCACAGAGGTTGAGTATGAAAGTAAAATAATGTGACAGACTAGTTAGACCACTCCTCTCACTGTCAAGCAGGTGGAAGAGAGTCTGCAGGTCCCCAAGGGGTGCAACTCTATAGCAGTGTCCTTGACATACTTATAGAGTCAGGCCATGCTAAGCACAATAGAGATGATTCCATCTAATCCCCAGTTCCCCAGATAGGCAGGTACTGTGAGCACAAGTCCCAGACCAAGAAAGGGATGGAGACACTGATCAACTTACCCAGTGAATGGGTAAGGGCTATGAGAAAATCCCCATGCTTTTGTTTTATTCATATACAAATTACTTTAAAAGGATTGCATTTTTAGCAAAATTACACTGGACAAAATTTAAAAATAACCACACCAGACAGCTTTGAGGATCAGAATTCTCTTTTCTGATCATGTATTACTGAATCAAGAAGCAGCCTAGGTGATAGGATCATATTATGTGTTGATGGCTATGGTGACGGCATGACTCTATGCCCCACTGACACTCACAGAACTGTGCAGCAGAGCAAAGTGTACTGTATTTAAGTTATGAATGAATGGAAAAACATTTTCTAAAATTATTGAAAGTGAAGCTGTTGGGGGGCATCCCACATCTTCACTTTCTCAGGAAGGCACTTCCACACTGTTCAGTGATTATTTTCCCTCTGTGAAGCAATTATTAAAAGCAATTATAATTAAACTAAACTACAGCAATTATTATAAGCAATTATTATAAGTAATTATAATTGGAACACAGATCTAATTCACTGCATAACCCATTGGGCTGGGGTGCTAAGTCAGAGGCTGAGAAAGGCTAAATGTGTAACACCCAGGATTTAGCCTGCCATTTTTACAACCCAACTCAGGGTAAAAAGGAAGTACAAGTTTTATAAGCCAACTCTGGGGCAGTGAGATAGAAAAAAGTTAAACCCCATGGTCCCTTCCTCCTTCCCCTACCCCATCCCCATAACTCAGTGGCCACAGTTTTATTTCTCATCTAAACATCTGCAATGTTTAGACTACTCACAGCACCAAAATAAGGAGCCTGGTGTACAACCCCAGTTCCTTCCTCTTCTCTCACATAGTTGTCAACAAGCACAGTAAACGCACCATTGTCTTTACACTGGAAAAGAAAGGTTAGCAGGCGTAAGGATGAAATACTTCTAGATCATAATATTAATTTAAAAATAGTTTTGGAAAAAGCCTAAGACCTTTCACGTGCAAAATTATTTTCAGAAATAGAAAAGAGAGTAATTCAGATTGGGGAGAAGTATACTAAGTCAATACATCTTTCCCATGGGTAATAATTCATCACTAATAATAGTTATCTGAAGACTCACAATGAAAATCTGCTACAGTCCTTAGTCTCAAAATTAGATTTTTTCCAATGGTTCAGCAGCCTCAAAAAATATGCTCCCGGTGAGCCGCAAGATGGCGGCGCCCGGGCGCGAGGCCGGGGCTGGCCAGGGGGCGGCGAGCATGGCGCTCGTGGGAGCCGGGGGTGCGCCCCAGGACCTCAAGGTGGCAACATACACATATGGTCAACCCAATCCATTTCTAGTAGATGCAAAACTCAGAAGATCAGTCATCAGCGAAATCATAGAAAAAAAATTGAATATCTTACAAAAGAAACAACTTTAAATATAAAGGGAACAGTGTTCTTTGAAACAACAGCTAGTTTCTCTGGAATGTTGGCAAACTTCATTTTCAGAAATTGCTTTAAGGTTCAACATGATGCTCTGAAGATATACACATCATTAGCTACACTTCCATTTTTGTCTACTGTAGTAGCTTACAAGCTTTTTGTAACTGATGCTTTGAATTCAGGTAATATAAGCCAGGAAAACTGTGTTCTGAGAAGTTCCCTGGTTGGCATAGTATGTGGTGTTTTATATCCCAGTGCTTTGGCTTTTTCTAGAAATGGACATCTGGCAGTCAAGTATCATACTGTTCTGCTGCCGTCAAAAGGAAGGGTTTTACTTCACTGGCTATTGCTTTGTCAAACAGAGATAAAGGCAATGGCAAACCTGCTAGTCTTTCAAACAGTCTTTGCAATACTTACTGGGCTGCGTCATTATTCAATATTTGAAAGTACACTTGAGAAAACTGTACATGAAGATTAATCAAAGAATGCTAAGTCCACAGAATGGATTTTTTTTTATGATGAGGACGCAGGTACTGCTGAAAGAGTTAAAAAAGTAACTCTGGGCAATTTGTTTTGGTTCCTTTTCTCTGGTATATAAAAGGTACTCAATAAATATTTAGTAATTCAATCAAAAAAAAAAAAAATGCCTCCTCTGGGCCTCCCCGGTGGCACAGCGGTTGAGCGCTGGGTTGTGAAGCTGCCCGCGGCCTCTGCAGCGCCGGTTCAATCCCAGGCTGCTCCCTGGCCACCAGAGGAGGGTCCCACATGGCACGCGGGCCTCTCCTGCCGCCCACTGTTCCCCTCAGCGGCGTACTTCTGTCCTTTTGCCTGCTCTGCTCCCCGCTCTGGCTCTGGTGAATTCTCTCACCCTCCCGCGCTTCTGACTGTACCCAATGCTTGTATAAATAAATAAGTAAATAAATAAATAAATCTTTTAAAAAAAATTTTGCTCCCTCAACAACTTTCCTGATGTGTTTTCAACCACTGCCTATCCTTTGCTTTTGCTTATTTTTCCTTCTTTCCTTTTTTTATAGTCAGCATAAGCTATTATTCAGTCATAAAAGCAACCTTGAAAGAAAGAGAATGGGGAAGTCAGGAGTTGCAAGTTCTATTTACCGGTACTCCACCAACTGTAACAGTAAGGTAAATAGTTTGAATCTGATTTTCTTTGCAACAACAATAAAGTCAAGTAAATACATATAACACTGCACACCTACTTTTCTACCTTCTTCTCTTAGTACTTCTTTACACATACCCTTTGTTTCAGTGAGACTAAACCTTGGCTTTCTTAACTCTTTGCCTCTATAAAAAACACTTTCAGAAATCATTTTCACATTTAATTCAATAATTCTGTTAAAAAGGTATCAGTATTCTCATGTTTTAAATGTATTCTGATCCAATATGTCTATCATGGATGAACATACTCATAACAAAGATTAGTGGTTTGCCCAAATCACCCAACTAAAATGATGAAGCCAGGACCTGATTAAATCACAGCTCTTCTCTGGCATGCAAGTGCAACTAAAACTTGAAAAATAGTTGTGAATTTTTAATTGTTGTAACCCAAACGACTTGGAAATAATCTGGTGTGTGGTATGATAAGTGCTAAAAAGCATGTCTTCAATAGTTTAAAAGTAGAGAGAAAATGCATGTTCTTATAATCAAATGTACAAACAGGGAATCCAAAATGTCTTATTATTTCTAGTTGTAAACCTTAAATTTCTCCCTGCAGTGTCCTCTCTCAAGGTCTAACTCCCATCCTGCCCTTGAAGTTGGTCATCAGTCTCCACAGCACTACATGGCTGCTCCCATAGGCAGCATCCACGTTCAAAGCGTCTAGGATTTCAGAACATGCATATTTTAGATAAGACAGCAGATGATTTTGTCCTTAATCAAAGAATTTGTGGTATCCTGTCCCAGTAATTTTAGGACATTTATAGAACAGATAGGTATTATTTAACTTAATTCAGTATGCAGATAGTGTATATTACAGATAGATATCTGACTTAACCTAAAATTCCTATCTAGTGCATCCATGTGCATTTTCTGAGAGATTTTAGCTTTCCTTGGGCTCTCGATAGGGTCTGTGACTCAGAAAGGTTAGGAGTCACTAATCGATTGTAAGAGATTTTTTTTTTTAAGATTTATTTATTTATGCATACAAGAGCTGGGGTATAGGTCAGAGCTGCGGGGTATGTGTGTGAGAGCATTCACCAGAGACAAGAACGGGGAGCAGGATAGGATGATCCACTGAAATACACAGCTGAAGGGAGCAGTGGGCGAAACATGAGAGGTCTGCTACGCCATGTAGGTTAGCTCGCTGGCCAGGGATCAAACTTGTGCTGCAGTGGCTACTGGTAGTTTCACAGTGCTAGTACTGACACTTAATCCCTTGTGCTACCAGGGATGCCCCCTCCAAGGATGCCCCCTTGAGTATAATAGTTTTAAGATAAATAAAACAAATACTATATAAAACAAAATGTTAAGATACACGTGAAAAGAATACAATTAAGAAATTTTTCAGAGGGAAAAAAACAAAAAAGTCATTTCAGAAAATGCTTTTTTTCAGATGGGTATCAGAGAGTCAGTTGAACTCTAGCGGAAATGAGGGATTGTTTTAAATCAAAGGAAAATGTAATGAAAATAAAGATAGGGAGGGAGGAAAGAAAGGCCAATGTGAGTGATGCAATGCTTCAATAAACAATAGGGGTTATGGCTAAGGAGCAGGTCGAGTGCCAAGTAGAGAACACCCAGCAGGGACTGTGTTGGCAAATGACACCAGGCTGAGAGGAAGACTAGTCTAGGTAGAGTGAAACAAAGACTGAGGATGAAGGCTATTTACCAGGAGATAAGAAAGAAGGGAAAACACTTAAGAGAGACCAAAAATGAAGTGATCAAATGAATGATATTGTGAAAGAGCCCAAATGCCAGATGGAATTGCACTCAAACTCTATCCATGCACTGAGCCAGATAAGAGAGAGAAGTGTTGGGAGCTTGCTGCCCTAAAGGGAGCTGGAGTTTTTGGAGAATACCTGTTTACTCTGCATAAGGAGTTCCAGGATGTTAGAAGTTCTGCAAACAGAACTTCTTCCCAGAATTGACTCCTGTTCTCTGAAGACGTGCTGGCTTGTGCGCATGTTCCCTACTAACTAGAACAGCTTGTTTTCAGTAGTAACTTATTACTATGTATAAGCAAAAACTTGCGTGCTATTTTCTTGTTCTTTTGTTCATATCTTCAGTAAAAGCTTGGGCTGGGAGAGTAAAGGCAGAGGTGCTCTCGATGGCTCTCCCCAGCCTCCCCTCACTGCAAATTCATTTAGACTCCAAGTCTTCGTTAATGGCAGAGAACTTCATCGGCTGTCCTGTCCGCAGCAGAGAAGCAAATGTTTTCTCCTTGGTTGTGATATAACGTTTGCCTACTAATGCTATAGAGCTGGATAAATTATTTCAGCTCAATATAAATTCCACATAATGTGTACAGCCAGACTTGATCATTATTTTACTGCAAGATCTAAAAATAAAGCCCGATGGGAAATTCCTGCTGACTTTATTCTTTTGTTCAAATGGTTGTTGCTGTTGTTGGGAGGCTGCAACTATAGCTGTGGAATATGTTGTCAGTAAATGGAAACTACGTAAGAAGCTTTATGACTTGAGAAAACTATGCTACTCAACTATAAACCAGAGACACACTACGGGGGATGCGGGGAGAGGGGCGGGGAAAGGAAGGACTAAAGTCAAAATAAGGGGGGAAGGTGCAATTGTATGGGGAACATAACCAAAATGAAAATGCATACATTGTGCAAAGATGAAAAAAGATGTAAGAATTATATAAAATAAAATATTTAAATAAAAAAAAAACTATGCTACTAAATCTATGCACTCTATTGTGGCACACAGATTGAAAACACTCACTTTGACAGCTTCCTTAAAATGAATTCTATTTACTTCCATACATAAGGTTTTATTCTGAGCGTGCTCTTACGCTTGTTAAAAAAAGACTCAAATTTTATTGGGTGATATGTAGACTATAAGCAATGAAAATATACATATATAAATCTCATCAAATGTAAACTGATGAATTACCAAATATACACTGATGTGTTTATTTCCTTATGTAATTTGGAAAAATATTTTTAAAATTTCTATAGAATTTGAATTATTAAAACAAGATGGCAGTACAAACAGAATTTAAATTCAATACTAAACAGACTTGGATTCAGGTACATTTATCCCAACAATGTAACAATAAGAAAAAGTACCATTCATCATTATCCAATCAATCCAGTTACAAATACATGGGCTGTGGACAATCAATGTGATAGAGGTCTCAAGCTTACCTTCACAAAATAGTTAAACAGGGGCCTGTATTTCTTGCCTTTGAGACGGGCACCAGGAAATCTAGAAAAAGGAGAAAGACAAACTTGCAATTAGATTAAAATTCGCAAGGAAATGGGGCTGCAGTCAAATCAAATTACCATTCCCCTCTGGGTTGCTTGCTCCTCAGTCAGTAATGCTCAAAAGTGTGACTGAACATATTCAGTATCAGTACTTGCAACATATTCAGGATCAGTACTTAGAAATAAACTTGACAAATGGGGCTTTGGGTAATAAACTATCTCACTTCTCAATTTTTTTTTAAAAGATTTATTTATTTATTTATTTATACAAGCACTGGGGTATAGTCAGAAGCGCGGGAGGGTGAGAGAATTCAGCAGAGCCAGAGAGGAGAGCAGAACAGGCAGACTGACGAAGTACACTGCTGAGGGGAGCAGCGGGTGGCAGGAGAGGTCTGCACGCCATGTGGGACCCTTGCCGTGGCTGGGGATCGAACCGGCGCTGCAGAGGCTGCGGGCAGCTTTGCAACCCAGCGCTCAACCACTGCACCACTGGGGAGGCCCTACCTCACTTTTTAAAACTAAAAACACACATACATGCATATACTCAGAAGGAGAAGTCAAAGGTTTTTATATTCACCTTTCAAGGATCTCATAGTCACTCTCCAATTTATAGAGGGCAGATAATCTGGCTTCCATTAAAATGAATAATTTTCCTCTAACAACATCTATGAAAGAAGGGAAAAAGGACTTCATTGATATTCAGACTTAAGCTTACCCTAAAGACATGCATCACAGTATTTTCCCTTCTGTATCAGTTGCAACCAGACTGGGAGAAACATGCAAAGAACACTAGTAGGCAGCTTACCAGACATAAAAAAAGATGGAAACAAAAAGCAAGTAGGCAACTTATCTAAATTAAACAAATCCTAATTTCTCCTACCAAAAGTAACATGTGAAAGCTTGAAACGCATAGCATATACCAATAAGCTCACAAAGTAAAAGTGTCCATAATCTTATAACCCCACCACACTATCATATCAGTGTCTAGTCCTCCATTTTTCTGTACATATCTATATCTATATTAATATAGACATTCACATATTATATGTGTTTTTTTTAAAACATTTACAGGACATTACTCAGTATAGTCTCACAATTTGTTTCTACATAATACAGTGTGAATATCTTTATAAGTACATAAAGATTTTTCTCATTCTTTTAAAAAGTTCTTTATATAGTACGCTAATTCACAGATGTACAAGTTATTTTTAACAAATGGAAATTTTTTACATTGGGATAATGAATATCATACGTATCTCTGTGTTCTTATTGGAAGTATTTCTGGAGAATTCCACCCTAGGAACAAATACTATCTGGAATAAATGTAAAAACATTCAAAATTTGATACCAACAAATTGCCCTATAAAACTTAGGCTAACTTAAACTCCTACCCTGTAAAGTATGATATACCTAAGAATTTACCAGGGCTTATGTTACATATTCAGTTCACTAAAAGAAAAATGACAATCCATGAATCATTAAATGTCTGCAATTCATGGAAAAACCGCTACACATAATGCTGCCACCACCAGGTCTGACCCACAGAAACAATATTGTAAATAAGTCTATATTTTCTGACCAAAACTCAGGTCACACAATCTTCCAAGTACAAGTCATCTATAGATAGAGGAGTGACAGGCTCAAGATCTTGGCCAGATGGCTGTTAGGCTCACTACATAATGGCCAAGCTCTGTGGATGACTCCCAGGAATAGTTAGAGACAGAAAGTGAAGCCCTTGTTGAGTGGACAACAGCCCTTTTTAGCAGGCACCATTAGAAACCAACTTTTGGTTATAGTCACTCATGAGGCACAATTAAATAATAACAAAAATATCCCCCCCCAATTCTTTCCCACTCCTTCTTCAATATCTTTAACTGTCTTGTGAGATTTTTTTTTTTTCCCTAGCTTTAAGTTTCTCTTTTCTTTCCCTGGCCTCCCTCCATTAACTATTAAAACCTGAAGGTACCAGTCTTCTTTTATCATATAACTCTCTATAGAAAGATAGAAATGTTCATTGAGACAATGGTTAACTCTCTACCAGCGAGTATTTGAAAGGCACAAAGCTCCCCAGTTCTGATACTGATTTTGTGCTTTGCAATGAATATTTGATCTTTGTTCCCTTTTTTGCAGAGCTCCTAAAACCCTTGAAATTTCAAGGAAAGCTTCCAGGTAACTAAAGGGTAAGGACAGTCTATTAGGGAACCAATCAAGATAAGAGGGCTGAAACTTTCACACATAACCAATGGTCAATGACTTAATCTATCATTATCATGATTATGTTTCTATGAAGCCTCCATAAAACTCCCCAAGGATGGGGTTCTGAGAACTACTGTGTTGGTGAATGCATCAATATGTGAGTAAGGGTGGTGCACTCCAGGTTTAATGGGAAAGATGCTCCTGTGTTTAAGACTTCCAGATTTTGTCCTGTAAACTTCATTTAAGGCTGTTTATCCATAAGCTGGTAATCTAGTATGCTTCTCTTAGCTTTATGAGCTGCTCTAGCACCGTTTTTTTTTTTTTTTTTTTTAAGATTTATTTATTTATACATATTGCAGTACAGGCCAGAGGTGGGGGGAGGGAGGGCAGTGAGAGGATTCACCAGAGACAGAGTGGGGAGCAGAACAGGCAGACTGACTGAAATACACTGCTGAGGGGAGCAGCGGGCGAGACAGGAGAGATCTGCTATGCCATGTGGGCAGCTCTGTGGCTGGCTGGGGATCGAACTCATGCTGCAGAGGCTGCGGACAGCTTCATAGTGCTGGGCTTAACCCCTTGCACCACCAGCGAGGCCCCTGCTCTAGCAACTTAATCCAATCCAATGTAGGGGGTTGCTGAGGGGGCTGTGGGTCAGTCAGCACAATTGAGAACCTGGATTTGCAACTGGCATCTGAAGAAGGATATGGGCAGTTTTGCAGGATTGAGCCCTTCAGCTTTGGGATCTGAAACTATCTCCAGATAGCTAGTGTCGCAACTGAATTAACTGATTGGTTGTGATGCAAAAAAAAAAAAACAAAAAAAAAACAGAGCTGAGGGGCCTCCCCTGGTGGCGCAGCGGTTGAGCGCTGGGCTGCGAAGCTGCTGCAGCCTCTGCAATGCCAGTTCAATCCCTGGCCACTGGCGAGGGTCCCACATGGTGCGCAGACCTCTCCTGCCGCGCCCGCTGCTCCCCTCAGCAGTGTATTTCGTCAGTCTGCCTGTTCCGTACCCCGCTCTGGCTCTGGTGAATTCTCTCACCCTCCTGCACTTTTGACTGTACCCAGTGCTTGTATAAATAAATAAATCTTTAAAAACAAACAAACAAACAAACAAAAAAATACAGAGCTGAAATTCCTAATAATGATAAGATGCCACCTCTCTGAATCTCAGGTTTTCATCTATAATAATGGTATATTACAATCTGAAGACTATAGGGAGTTTTTAGTTTTTAAACATCTTTGTACTATTTTAATTTTTGTGTTACTTATTCAATGAGAAGTGTGGAAAAATTTTTCTAGAGATTATTTTTCTGATTAACCCTAATACTTTTCCAGACTTCTATTTTCACTCCAAAAAGAAATGTGAGCTTTCATTCTTTCCCCAAATATATTATAATTATCTTATCCACATCAGTTATAAGCAACCAGATTCACACTTTACCTTTAATCTTCACATACTGCATGTCTGGATTAACACACAAGGCAAGGTTACTAGGTAGAGTCCAGGGAGTGGTTGTCCAAGCAACTAGAGATATATTTTCATCTTCCTCCAAAGGAAAAGTTACAAATATTGAAGGATCTTGAACATCCTGAAATAAAAATGAAATAAAGTACTCTTTTAGAAAACCCCCAACAGAAAAATGTAATCATGAGCAAGAATAACCAGAGACAAACATAATGTGTACCATTCCATTTATAAAGATTACAGAATCAGCAAACCATTTGATGCTGCTGGAAAGTGATTACTGAGAGCAGTGGCAATGGCTGACCTGAAGGGACCACAAGAAATAGGTTGATATGGTTCTTTTTTACTTAATCTGGTTGTTGGCTTCATGGATATATTCTCTTTGTGCAAGTAAATGGAAAAGCAAAAAAGTCTTATAATTAAACCAAGTAATAGGTACTAAGATGCAAAATTCTATTATCACTATAATGGATGTAAAGAATTAATTTAAAAAAACATTAAAGGGAAACCTAAATATAATGTTGACTATCTTTGGGTACTAGGATTTTAATTTTTTTCACCTTTATTATTTCTATAGTTTCCAAATTTCCTACAGTGAGCAAGTAACTAAAATAATCAAATCAACACCATTCCTAAAACCCCATGTTCAATGACACCTCTCCTTACCTTGTAATTCTGGTGAGATTCAAAGTTTGAAAGTGGAGTGTTACATGCAGTAGAAAAGGGCATGACTTTCACACCCCGATAAACAAGGCCTTTATCATAGAGTTGTTTGAAGACCCACCTGGTAAGGAAAGAGATGGAGTCTTACAACAATTACATAACCAAATTCTGTTTCCTCAACTGCAAGCATTTATGCCACTTTCTATTTACATTGATAGTTTCTGTAGTCAAAAAAGTGAAAACACAGTGTCTCTCAACTGGGTACTAGCGGTAAATTACAATAGGTGAGTAAAATGAGATGTTATGTAGACATTAAAAGTGCTAACATCTTGGTGGGAGTGCAAACTGGTCCAACCACTGTGGAAAGCTGTATGGAGATTTCTGGACCTACTAAACATAGAGCTTCCATATGATCCAGCAATTCCACTCCTAGGTATTTACCCAAAGGACACAGAAACATCAATTCCAAAGAACACCTGCACCCCTATGTTTATAGCAGCACTGTTTACAATAGCTAAGCTTTGGAAACAACCCAAATGCCCAAAAATAGATGACTGGATCAAGAAGATGTGGTACATATATACCATGGAATATTACTCAGCATTCAAAAAAGATAAACACATGCAATTTGCAGCAACATGGATGGCGCTGGAAGGGATCATGCTCAGCGAAATAAGCCAAAAAGAAAAAGACAAATACCGGATGGTCTCACTCATAGCAGGAATCTAGAAAACTTAAATAAGGGACCAGGAAAATGAATAACTATAAGAAAGTGAAAATCAAAATCAACAAAAAACTATGAACCAGAGACACTTTTAGGGGGGCGGGGGTGGGAGGGGAGGGATTGGGGTCAGAATGGGGGGGCTGCAATTGTATGGGGAATATAACAATAAAATTTATTAAAAAAAAAAAATAAAGATGTTATTGCAATGTAAAAAAAAAAAAAAGTGCTAACATCTGTTGATAAAGATATTCATGGTGACCGAGAGAAGCAATTAGGCCTGAGGATGTGCCACAGAAGCACCTTGGCTTAAGAGGTCTGAGAACTGACCCAAGATATCCAGCTTCTCAAAGGCAAAGGAAATATGCCTGGCACACAGATCATGAATAACAGGAACTATTAGGTGAGGGATGAATGGGTGGAGCACAGAGGATTTTCATGGTAGTCAAATTACTCTGTATGATACTATAATGACATACATATGTGTGTGTGTGTGTGTGTGTGTGTGTGTATAATTTAGGGTTCACTCTTGTATATTCTGTAGGTCTGGGCAACCAAATATATTTGCCCAGACCTACAGAATATACAAGAGTGAACCCTAAATTACTTTAGGTAATTATGTGTCAATGTAGGTTCATTAACTATAACAAATTTAACAATTTGGTGAACGATGTTGGTAATGGGGGTGGCTATGCATGCGTGGGGGCATGTCTTCATTAACTAATATAACAGAATTTTCATTACATTAATAATTTCAAATGAACCTACCAGACAGATTCCATGAATTGTGGATACAAAGTTTTGTAATCATTGTCAAAATCAATCCATCGGCCAAGTCTGGTAACAGTTGACTTAAAAAATATGAATATTAGTTATTAGATAATGATATTGTTACTGTACACCAATGTATTTTATGTCTATTATCACCATATATGATGATTTAGGGACAATAGTACAATCAGTTGCTTAAGTAAATATATACCGCAAACACACTATACGAGGTTAGAATTTTAGTATCTGAAATTTTAATTGTAACAGTCAATTAATTTATTTGCTAGGACAACGTAGTTTCTGTCATATATTGCAGGTAAATTGGGAAGACCAACCAAGAATATAAAAAAGAGAGAATTTAATTTAAACTAATAATTTAAGCAATAGGACCTCCCTGGTGGCGCAAGGGGTTAAGCACCGCACTATGAAGCAATCCGCAGCCTCTGCAGCACGAGTTCGATCCCCGGCTGACCAGGGAGAAACCCACATGGCGAGGCAGACCTCTCCTCTCTCGCCCACTGCTCCCCTCAGCAGTGTATTTCAGTCAGTCTGCCTGTTCTGTTCCCCACTCTGTCTCTGGTGAATCCTCTCACCCTTCCCGCTCCCCTCCCCTCCAACCCCGGCATTACTGGTCTGTGCCCCAGCTCCTGTATGCATAAATAAATAAATCTTTAAAAAATAATTAAAAATTTAAGCAATAGTTTGGAGAAAAATAAAATATAATAAACAGCACAAAGGATGATAAATTACTGCAACTTCTAATTTAAAAACTAGAGTCTTTTTTCAATCTACTGAAAAGAATCCACCAACATACTTTCCACTCAGTAGAGTATCTCATCACAATTGCTCGGCACTGTTTGTTGTACTCTGCAATGCCCATTTTGGCTACATCTTCTGGTCCTCTGATTCCCAGTGTTTTATCAATTTCATATTCCTAAAAATTTTAGATAAGATTGTTAACATCCCTACCCTATGAAGTATATGCAATTCAGCAACTCTGAAAAACACAAATTTTAAAAAAAATTAATTTTTAGAAATCTACAGAGGCAGATGACTACTTTTGTCCTGTCTGCTGCTCCTCTCAGCAGTATATTCAATAAATTTGCCTTTTCTGTTCTCAAAATAAAGAACAGAATGAAAACTACAGAGAAAATGAATTATAAATTAGTATCACAGAAAGAAAAAGCTTCATTATAGTAAAAATTCATACTTTGATTATATATTTCATTTGATTAATAAAATCCTTAAATTAAAAAATTTTAATACTTTCTTAAAAGAAATCAGAACATTTTAGGACTGGTGACTCAAACATACCACAGGTAAGCCATGACAATCCCATCCAAATCGTCTGTCAACATGAAACCCACTCTGATGAGCATATCTTGTAACTATATCTTTAATTGTCCCAGCAAGAATATGTCCATAATGAGGCAGTCCAGTTGCAAAAGGAGGCCCATCATAGAAGGTAAATCTAACAGAGGTAGTAAAAATGTTACTTTAAATCAGCTGCAAAAATTTAAGACATTTTCTATAGATAGTTCCTATCACAGTGAAGTCTTTCAGGAAGTAGAAAAACAGCAAGACCATGATTCAAAGACATAATTGCTGACATATTTACTAGTGCTCCTTCCTTCAAAAAAGCTAGTTCTGGTGGAACTAGAGTGACCTCTATGGAACCATTCATTCTCTATTCATTAATTTCATGATATAAGGCAAGTTATTCATCCTGATCCTGAGGTATCTCATCAGTAAAAGAGAAATACCTATCTCAAGGTTCTGAGCACAGAAAACATAGTGAAAATAATAATTAATGTTCTGGTTTTTATATGGAAGACTATAGGCAGGAAGCACCCTAGTAGTAGGCAACTACTAGTCTAGGTATTATGAGCATGCTTAAATGATGGTGGTGATCCATGATGATAGTGAAATGAAGAGGGCAATATATGAACTCTACTCAGAAAACCTCTTGAAAGAAACACAATCTATCATAATCTAGAACTCATCATTCACTGCATATCTATTACGCAGTGCTGGGAGAGCAGATTCTGTGTATACAAAGATGAATAAGAGTCTTCCTTAATAGGACTTAGTCTAAGAAATGACTATTTGTAAAGACTCTACTTTTACCAAAGAAATTCACATACCTTGGTCTATTCTTTGATTGCTTTAAGCATTCCTGAAAACAATTAAATTTGGACCATAGCTCCAAGATTTTCTCTTCTTCAGCAGGAAAATTGATGTTTTCTGGAACTTGTTGAACCATTTTGCTGCAAGAAAAATAAAATTTATTAGTTTCAAAAGAGAAGTCTAGGAATAACAGAGTGCTACATGTTAAAATATGTATATATGATTATCCATGACACCACCTGGTACTTACTAAAATGATTTATTTTAGTCATAAAGTTGTGCAACCATCACCACTCTAATTCCAGAATATTTATCACTACTTGCACCTCTCCTTTCCAAAAACCTGCACACATTAGCAGTCATTCTCATTCATCTTCCCCAGTACTCTGACAGCCATTAATCTGCATTTGGCCTCTACATAGATTTTTCTATTCCAGATACTTCACATAAGTGAAATCATTTATATGTAGCTTATTGTGCCTGGTCTCTATTAGACTTGTTTTTGAGGTTTATACATGTTACAATTTGTACTCATACTTTATTACTTTTTATGACTGAGTAATATTTCATTATATGGATGACACATTTTGTTTATCCATTTATCAGTATGGAAAAATGTTTCCATTTTTAAGTCATGAATAATGCTGCTATGAACATGCATGTATAAGTTTTTATGTGGACATATGTTTTCAATTCTCTTCAGTATTTATCTAGGAGTGGAATTCCTTAGTTTAATTTTTTAAGAAACTGCTAAAATGTTTTCAAAAGTGGGCCTCCCTGATAGTACAAGGGGTGAAGTATACGCACTAACAAAGCTATCAGCAGCCATTGTAGCATGAGTTTGATCCCTGGCCAAGGAGTTAACCCACATGTCGTAGCAGACCTCTCCTCTCTTGCATGCTGCTCCCCTTAGCAGTGTATTTCAGTAGATCCACCTGTTCTGCTCCCTACTCTGTCTCTGGTGAATCCTCTCACCTCCCCCCCACCCACACTTGTGGCCCGTACCCCATTCTTGTATGCATAAATCAATAAAAATAAATCTTTAAAAAAATGTTTTCAAAAGCTGTTGCATTATTTTATATTCTTTAAGGAATAAGGATTCCAGCTTCCTACATTCTTACTCCTCATTGTCCATCTTTGGACTATAGGAAATCCTAATGGGTATGAAGTGGTATTTCATCATGATTTTGATTTGTGTTTCCCTAAAGACAATGATGATGAGGACTTCTGCATGTATTAACTGGTCACTGTTATCTTCCTGGGGAGAAATGTCTATTCACCTTTTGCCCAATATCTTATTGGGCTATTTGTGTTTTTATATTGCAGATATAAGTCCGTTTATCAGTTATATGATTTGCAATTTTTTCCTCCCACTCTGTGGGTATCTTTTATGTTCTTTATGGTAGTCTCTGAAGCACACCCCTTTTTTTTTTTTAGATCTGAGTCTACAATGAAGTTGCAAAAAGTTATTTAGTTCAAAAAGATTCAAGCTGAATGGATAATACTGCACATATTTCTTTACTTTTGTTATTTATGAAATATTTGGAACTTATTTGCCAGCTAGAGCTATGCTAGAGAACAGCTTAGTATTGAGTGAGTGAACAAATAAAATTGATTTTTGACTCAGAAAAAGAAAAGGAATTAAAAGAATCATAAAGTAAGGAAAGTAAGGGGCCTGAGATCATTCTTTTACAGAGACAAAAAAAAAATGGTTTTAAAAAAAGTTTCTGCTCCTATTCCTGGAGCAAACTTATAAATTATCCCGAGTGCAAGAAGCACTAAAATAGGAAAGTTATGTACTGATGATAACCTTCAGACTTTTGGCTCTTCAATGTTTTGCTTATTCATTTTTCACCCTTGATATAGCACTGAGAATAATGTGAGGGTTTGGGAAAAAGTATCCCTTAACTTTGTCACCATTTTGTAGACTGTGGTGCTGGAAAAAACTTCTAAGTCCACCCATCAGTCTCATTTCATGTTACAGATACAGCAACTGAGGAGCCAAAATGAGGTGAAATTCCCCAGTCCTTAGTCTGGGGAATGTAGAATTACATGCTGTAAATAGCTCATTCTCATAAGAGCTAGTTCTATGTTTTTGGCATAGTAATGTTAGTTTCCTTTCACACATCCATCACCAAATTCTATTAACCAAGTTGAACTGTGTTTATTGAGTTGAAAAATCACTTCCTTAACAACAGATTATTGAATTAATAAGATATACAAATACACAATGGAGTACTATTCAGCTATTTAAAAAAAGATGAATTCCTGACATTTGTGACAACATGAATGGAGTTGGAAGGGATTATGCCAAGTGAAATAAACTAAGGAGAAAAACAATTACCAGAAAATTTCACTCATGTGGAATACAGAGAAACAAAACAAAGCCTAGAAAAGACTGCAGAATTGGGCCTCCCCTGGTGGCGCAGGCAGTTGAGCCGCGCTGTGAAGCTGTCCACAGCTTCTGCAGTGCCGGTTCAATCCCGGCCAGCAGGCGAGGGTCCCACATGGCGTGGCAGACCTCTTTTGTCACACCTGCTGCTCCCCTCAGCAGTGTATTTCATCAGTCTGCCTGTTCTGTTCCCCTCTCTGTCTCTGGTGAATCCTCTCACCCTCCCTCGAATCTGGCCTGTACCCTGGTTCTTGTATAAATAAACAAACAAACAAACAAATAAAAAAAAGACTGCAGAATTGAGGCTACTGGGGGTTGAGGAGGGGTGTGGAGAGCTGGGACCAAAGTGAGGAAGGGGGTCAAATCATATATGATAAATGGATATGGGTGTTCTGGGGTAGGTGGCATGTGGTGATTCATATCTGAGGAGGTGTGAACCTATTCCTCTGAATCACATATTAAAAAATAATAATGACATAATAATCTTCTTAATCATCTATCACTTTACCTAGCAATCTACTAGCTCTGCCTTTCACTAACTCTGAAACTGAGTAAGTTACTTAACCTGTCAGGACTCTCATTACCCTAAGATCATTAGATTACAAGTGCATTTGTTGAGTCCATAAGCTTTGCCCTTTATGATAGAAAAATGCCTATTTTAGTTTTATTTTTTTAATTAAAAAAAAAAGATTTTTATTTATTTATGCATACAAGAACTGGGGTGTAGACCAGAGGTGTGGGGGGGTGAGAGGATTCACCAGAGTGTGGGGAGCAGAACAGGCAGATCCATTGAAATACATTGCTGAGGGGAGCAGCGGGAGGGACGTGAGAGGTCTGCCACACCATGTGGGTTTCAACCCGGCCGGCTGGGATGGAATTCGCACTGCAAAGGCTGTGGATAGTTTCACAGTGCAGTTGAGGGTGGCCACCAGGGAGGCCCCGGGTATTTAATTTTTCAAGTTGATGTTTTCAGGTTATTCAGCTAGATACTCAAAGTACGTATGTATTTCCACACTAGATCATATGGTATTTCCATTTTTTTTTTTTTAAGATGGGTCTCCATTTTCAGTTTTTTAACATAGGTTTTTAAGATAGGATCTTAGGGTATTTCCATTTTTAAATTTTTAAAATACTGCTTTCCAAAATGGCTACACAAATTTACATTCCTACCAATGGTATCTAAGGATTCTTCTTTTTCCACATATTCTCCAACACTTTTTGGGAGTTTTTTTGAAATACGTCATTGTCACAGGTCTGAGATATCTTGTGGTTTTGATTTGCATTTCCCTAGTAATAAGTGATGATGAACATTTTTTCATGTTGGCCTTCTGTATATTCGCTTTGGAAAACTGTCTTGGATACTGATTCCCTGTCAGTTGTGTTTCATATAAATATCTCCTTTGTAGGGTAAGGAAAAATGTCAGGCTTTTCTGGCCTTCCGCCATCAGGATAGATTATGGATCCTTGCGGTCCTGAATGCATGCCTGATGGCAGGCACTTGGAATAAGGTGTGGGCTGAGGTAGATGGGATTCACCTGGGCTAAGACTGTGCTTTTAAGGGCGGTGTCACGGGGACGCCAGCAGAGGCCGAAAGAGAAGCCGACAGAGAAGCAAGAGCAGAGAAGCAGAGAAAAGGCTGGAGAGCCCAGAATGAAGACCTGCTGGGGGAGCCTACCAGCCCCCCAGCACCCCTGCCTGCTGTGTACCTGGTAATCCCAATAAAAACCTGCAAAACCACTGAGGACTCTGACTCCTAGTGAGCATCATTGAGCCCATTCTGCCTCAAAGCCTATTTTTTTTTACTTCATAATTTTAATAAGGTTTACCAGATTTCCAAGTGAACATATTAGTCTGGGACAGGATTGCTAATATATTGAGACAATAAAGATAGAAAACGTTAAGAATTCAAGAACTGTAACAGTTTGGGTTAAGTGGTCCTAGAAGAAAAGAGACCTATATATCTTAACTGTGAAGAGAATTAAAGCCTAAGCACAGCAATTGATCCATGTCATAAAACAAAAAAGACTTATGAGCAGTGTCTCTCCTTTTCTTTGCTTTTTCTTTTTTGAGATGCACAAGTGCCCCTGAATTTTATTTAGGAAAAATGAAGAGGTGGGCATTTAATTAACTCAACTATTCATTTGCAATTAAATTATGCCAATCAACAGTATTAAATTGAAGTTAAAAGGCATTTGAGATCTGCTAGCTCTTTTTACATTTCCAGGACAAGAAAGACCCAGTGTTAGTCTGTGTGTACTTCACTGATTTATGAGGGATCTTATTGGCTTAGTGACTATTTTATTATTAGAGACCAAATGGAGTATAAGGGATTATATCTGAAACTAACAGATCTTTATTTCTCTCACTTTTAATTTGCTTCTCAAGACCATTCAATCCTGGGGCCTCCCTGGTGGTGCAAGGGGTTAAGATGCAACCTATGAAGCTATCTGCAGCCACTGCAGCACGAGTTCAATCTCCAGTCAGGGAGCTACCCACATGGCAGACCTCTCCTAACTTGCCTGCTGCTCCCCTCAGCAGTGTATTTCAGTCAATCTGCCTGTTCTGTTTCTGATGAATCCTCTCCCCTCCCCCCCACACCTCTGGCCTGTATTCCTGTTCTTGTATGCATAAATAAATAAATCTTAAAAAAAAAGAGACTGTTCAGTACTATGATCACCCCCATCTATAGGAGCTGATAAGGGTATTTTCGCCAGACCCCACTTGGACTACCTCTGAGAACCTGCAGTTTAACTATCCCATGGGATTAATCATGCAAATCAGAGTCTGAGTTGCTACTCTAAAAATTTTTTTTTTCTTTTTTCTTTTTTAATAGAGGCATGTTTTATTTATTTGTTTGTTTGTTTATACATGCACTGGGCACAGTCAGAAGCGCGGGAGGGTGAGAGAATTCACCAGAGCCAGAGCAGGGAGCAGAGCAGGCAGAAGGACCGAAGTACACTGCTGAGGGGAGCAGAGGGCGGCAGGAGAGGTCTGCGTGCCATGTGGGACCCTGCTCCGGTGGCCGGGGAGCAGCCGGGGATCGAACCAGCGCCGCAGAGGCCGCGGGCAGCTTCGCAGCCCAGCGCTCAACCGCTGCTCAACCGCTGCACCACCGGGGAGGCCCATGAGTTGCTGCTCTAGCACTGTTTTGAACGTTAGTCAGGATTATCCATTTGAACTTCAAATTTTCTTAAAATATTTCAGCTTTCTGAGATAATAGTTCATAACTTTAATAAAATTTCTAGGGAGCCTTCACTCCCCAGAAGATTAGGACTCACTGCATTATTATGCCAAACATAATGGTCAAATGTAATGGCAATGACCATTCCAGAAGAGTCATGTATCAGTGACCGGGCTATGGTGGCTGCTGAGAAGAAACAACCCCCATGCATAAATCACAGGATTACTTTGGCCCTTCAAATCCACTGGAGAGCTGTACCTGCACAACAGCATCCAGTAACCACAGGGCGCTGGGGGTGGGAGAGTGAGGCTGGGATCAGGATCAGGGAAACAAATTCCTTTTCTTCCCTAGAGTATAATCCAGGCCCTCCATTCTTCCCTGTTCTAAAATTCCTTTAGGTCTCTTTAGCCTGAATTTCTGGTTCAGTAATTTCTAGATGCTCTCCGAGATCCTGTGTTTATCTTAACAAATCTTGGGAAACACACAAATCAGAGAAAACTTTTTTTGTTGTTTAAAATCTCATAATCTTCCCTGCCACACCTGCTGCCATTTTTTATTTCACTGTCCTACTAGTTCCATTATTTCTTCTATTACCTGAAATTTCTGAGTCACCCTTAATACTACCAGATGATCCCCCAAGTGGATTTAATCTCTATTTCTCTGTTCCCTCTTTTTCATTCCCAAGCCTTCATAATCTGTTTAAGTCAAAATAATCCCAGAGACACGTATATTTCCAGCCTTTCCTGAGTTTAGTTAGATTCTGTAACATAAACTCCACAGATATACTCACACAAATGTACAAAACATATAAGGCATTAACTGAAACATTGTTTCTATAGACAAATATCTAAAATCTTAAATATTCATGAACAGGTGACTAAGTTATAGTACATCAATACCATGTAGCCATTAAAAAATAAATTATATATCATCTACATTACCTATAGATACTGAGAAAGTCCAGTTATAGCAATTTACACTATATTATATCATTTTCAAGAGCTTAAATATATATTAAATCTATGTTTCAGTACTTTTGCAGTTGAATTTAGAAGGTTACCCACCAAACTTAACTGGCTATCATAACAAAATAGGATTAGGAAGGAAAAGAAGAGATTTTTATTTGCTGCATTACACTACTCTGTTTTGATTTTGTTTAGTATGAATTAACTTTATCACAAAAACTTTAAAAAACAAAGAGGGAGCCTCCCTGGTGGCGCAGCGGGTTGAGCGCAGCGCTAAGCTGTCCGCACCCTCTGCAGTGTGGGTTCGATCCTGGCCAACCAGAGAGAATCCCACATGGAGTGGCAGACCTCTCCTGTCTTGCCTGCTGCTCCCCTCAGCAGTGTATTTTGGTCGTCTGCCTGTTCTGCTCCCCACTCTGTCTCTGGTGAATTCTCTCACCCTCCTGCGCTTCTGGCCTGTACCCCAGCTCTTGTATAAAAATAAATAAATCTTTAAAAAATAATAAAAAATAAAGAGAAAAATAAGTACTATATATCCTACATATTCTGTGAATTAATTTTCCTAGTGGACTAATTTCCCAAAAACATTCTGTACAGGCTTTCCAGTGGGAGCACTCAAGGCTGCATGGTCTACTCCAAATTATTACTCTTACTCCTGGCTTTTACTCCTATAAAACTTAAGGTCCAGTTACATCACACCTTTCTGGACACTGCTGAGACACAAAAGACATACTGATTTCCAGTATCAGGCCCTCTTTACAAATACTCTAGGACTATTTGGCTTATAATCACTCCCCTGTGTGGCTATCATCAACCTCCTTTTTCAGAGCTAGTATTCTCCTATCTTGACTCTGTGGTTTATTGGTATTGCATGTCCCCCACACTCCCATTCAAATGTAAACTTATTACTGGCAAAAGCATTTAACTATTTAACCTCCAATGTGCAGTTAGGGAGAAAACCTTGTCAAGAAAACCTCGTCAGCATCCCTAATTTCTGTCAGAGATACTTCTCCCACTTGCCTTTCCAACCCACCTATTGCATGGGCTCCTCCCCACACAGGGTAGTGACTGAGACTGGCATGGAATCTCAAAGTTTTGGTGATATCACTTAGTATGTTCCCTATAGAAAGTTATTTAGTCTTTAAGCCTCAATTCTATCAGCTGTAAAATAAAGTCAAAAATACAACAATCACATGTCATTATATAATGTAAGCTATTATTACTACTTTGCCCACACATTCCATTCGATTGTCCTTGCCCAGTCACAGTATCATCTTTCCAAAAACATTTAGAGTGCAATCTACACTTAGTTGCCTCCTCTTCCCAGTAATTCACTCTTTAATCACTGTGAAAAGACTATATTGTCAACCACTTTACTAATTCTTTACAAGGCTCGCCATAGTACCAGAAATCACCTAAATCAATCAGTTTTATTCCAAGTTCATCTTGTGTTCTCTGCAAATCCTGAATGTGTATGCTAAACCTAATACACTGCCCCACTTTATTAAAATCCATCTTCTCTTTAGATTTATTCAAAATACCACTTCAGTCAAGAAGGAAACAATAAATCCGTATGGCTGAAAGCTAATTCTTAATCCTCAAACACATCCTAAGCTGCAGTGACTACTGCGACTCTTCATCGGAATCAAAACACGCTTTCAAAACCTTCTAATCTTTACTATGGTCGCCTGAAAGCTCACTCTCTACAATTTCTGCTCTTCTTCAAGACCCCAAACCCAGGACAGCTCCTGAGAAGCCACCTTCTGCCACCTCCAAATCCCACTGGAAAGCTGTTTTCCTCCCCTGCTCCCAGCTGCACGTGCACTTGGCATAAGCAGCCGTGCCTGACTTGAGGATGGCAAGGACAGCCTGGGACTTCCGCTTCAATCTTGCCAACCGTCTGAACTCTCCTAGAAAACTCTACCACATCAAATCCTAACAACCGGCCAACACAAGAACCAGTCTGTGCTGAGGAGTTTCGGAGGGTTGCAAACCTTCCGCCATAGAGACCAGTCAGGATGCCCGGCCAGTTCTGAGATTTTAAGTCCACTTACACTGTCTAGAGCTTAGCCTTTGGAAAACAATATGCACGAGACTAACCCACAACCCGGAAGAAACAAACAAAAATCTAGTGTACCGGGGGGGGGTGGGCCGGTGCAGGTGGGCCATGCCTAAGGGGCCCCGATGCTGGATAGGGCGTAGCTAGGGGATCCGGCGGCAGAAAGGGGTGTACCTGAGGGACCCCGAGGGCAGGAAGCGGCTGTACCAGGGGAGCAAAGGGGGCAGGAGGTGTAGCTGGAGGCCCCGCGGGCCGGCGCCTCAGAAGGAACCTAGTCCACGCCGCCACCGGCGTCTAGAGGTGATGCAACGCCTGACAGGGACGCGCGAGGATGTAGGGCTGGTCCCTACTGACCAATCAGAGTGTACCACCCCGCACGCATCAACAAGCCGGGCGCTGATTGGTTTCACGGGCCGGCCACGCCCCTCTGCGGCGCTGCGGTGCACGCTGGGAAGACAGCTGGGGGCTGCGCGAGATCTTGAGGCGGGCGGGACCGGCTGATGTGTACAGTCGCGGGCTGGGGCCGGTGGCGTTTTCTCTTACCACACTCTTGTCTAGCGAACCCGCATGCTGTTGGAGACCCCGGTCGCGGGCGTGGTGGTGGTCGGGTTCCTCTTGACCAAGACAGGGATTCTGGGCGTTTCAGTGCGCCGCGTGGAAGGCTCAGGATAGGCCCTTGGGGACTGGAATTAGCAAAACGCGGAGTCTAATCCTGTTTGAGGTGTCACAAGATTGCAGCCCCGCAACTGCTGGACGCGGGACTCCTGATCCCGGGAAATCGATAACCCCGCTCCGGTCAGCAGTGTCCTCAATAACCCCTCCAGCTCCGGATTTTTACTACAGGAATGATCATAAACGGTCATATGGTGTCACAGGACAAAATAGAAAGGAAATGCTGGCAATGAGCATTCAAATTAGTTTAAAATATTTCCTATAATGAAAACAAGTTGACTTGCTAATTTCATTTATCAGTTTATAATCACAGCATTCACTTAACGGTCACAGGGTCTAGGAATGACCATCTAAGTGTCAGGGATTATAATAGGGCTGAGAGTCCTTCTGCAAAGGTGTATTCAATAACTCTCTTGAACATATGCATTTAGTAGTTTGTATCTGCAACATATTAACTAGAAATAGTTGAAATGTGTTTTTAAGTCTCCAATTCCTTCAAGTTGCTACTTTGCTCAATTCAGTCCAGACAGCTCAGATTACAGCAAGAAAAGAGCTCTCAGACATATGTGTCCAGAGAAAGAGTGGAGAAGACACTTTTAAAATTGGGTTGAGAAACATTTTATGGCACTGTTGGGTTATTGAATTCCAGATTGAATCCAGAAAAACTGGTGAGTGGGAGAGAAAAAGATTCTAGGAAAAGGTTAGATGTAGTCAATATAAACTGCTTGAATTAGAGTTAAAAACCTCATTTTTTACAGTATCAAGGCAATATAGGTAATAAATAGGTCTAAAACTGAAAAACCAGGAAACCACAGCATCAGCATGTTAGGTCAAAATATGGAGATAAAGATGAGATGAAAAGGGCATCCCTGGTGGCGAAGGGGTTAAAGGCACAGTGCTGTCAAGCTGCAGCCAGCCACTGCAGCAAGAGTTTGATCCCAAGCCAGGGAGTGTACCCACATGGCATAGAAGAACTCTCCTGTCTTCCCCCTGCTTCCCTTAGCAATGTATTTCAATGGATCTGCCTGTTCTGCTCCCCACTCTGTCTCTGGTGAATCTTCTCACCCACCCCACCTCTGCCTAAATCCCAGTTCTTGTATGCATAAATAAATAAATCTTAAAAATATCAGAGGAAAAAGCTAAGAATATGGAAGGTGTTTATATCTGGGGAGCAAGAGTGGGGGTGGGCAGGGCTGCTTGTCACTTTTTCTGCCTTAGAGATAGAGGATGTGACATTTAAATATGGTCATAAATTCCTTGACACTCCTTGAGGGTCTATGTCCCCGTTGAGTTTGGGTGAACTGTTTTGACATGTAGAATACAGTGGAAATGGTAGTTGGGAGGTGTAAAATATACATTGCTGAGGTGAAAAACTCCATCTGAAACCATACATTGTTGTAAACTGTTACCTTAGTAAAAAGAAATATATATAGTGACAATGACTTAGTTCCTGGGGTAGGTAGACCTAATAGTTAAGAAGATATATTAATATAAATTTACATCAAGAGAAGGTAGAACATTTGGTTTATGTAGCTGCGTGGTTCTTTCCATTTTCTATGGAGTCTGAAAGCTCAAAACATTGGAATCCCAAATGACTCTTCAGCTAATTCCCTGGCAAGTTACTCAAAAGTATATGTAGTGAGCACCCACTAAGTGCTAGGCAAAAATCTAGGCAGTCGAGACATAATGGTTAACAAACCAGATGACATCCCAGCCCTCAGAGTTTATATTCCATCAAGATGTAAATACAAATTTATTTCAGATATACACATGTGGCTCAATGACAATCCTCTGGGGCTGTCTATATAAAACAATCTTGTACAGATTCTGTCTTGTACATATCTGACTTGAATCCTAGCCAGGATGATTAAATTAGTACCTAGGTTCGGGTATTAAATTTGCTTCCCTATCTGGATGCAAACTCCTGACTCCTAACTGTAACGATGTATCTTTCAGACACTTGTATTTTACATAAGCCTCTGGTCTAACTAGAATTTTTGGATTAATGGGCCTGCCTCCATTAATTCCTAGAAGCCAATGGCAGGAAAACTACATATGGTGTCTTTTTATGGCCCTCAACAGAACTCTCCTATGATGTTAGTCTAAAATGTCTACATTTTAATTAGGTCTTCATTGGGACACAGGTATGGAACTCAAGCTTGTATTTAACCTCTTAAACAAAAACCCAAAATGTAGGTAAAGTGTATTTAGTACAAGCAGAAATAAGTATTTCAAGTAGCTTATAATCCCTACAGAGTCTAACTTGGAAAACACAAGTGCTCTGATCCATATATTTAAAAACACTTTATGTAAACCTTGCATGAGAAGATGCCCATTACTCATAGAGGCTAGGGGGCAAAGAGATTATATACAAAAAAGCATTGTGAGGGACTATCTTGTACGTCATTTAAAAAAAGTTTGAGTTAATATTTTTAAAGTAATTACTAAGAAATACAGAGCAAATCCAAAGAAATTACAGCAACAAGACTGATATCCATCAGCCAGATTTTGAATGTTCCTTCACTCTGAATTATTGGTTATTTAAAATTATTTTCTGGATCATACAATTTCCATGTTTGCCTTATCCGCATTCAGTATGAAAAACCAATAATGGCCTTTATTAGTTTGGTTTCACTCTCCTTTTGGCCTCTTTATGTTTCTTCCGACAATCCTAGAAAAAAATAAAATCAAAAGCCTTTGTTAAAAATAAATTATTATTTTCAAGGTATATAGTAGCTATTAAATAAAATTTAGATTAATATCAGGACTGTGGAAATCATTTTGGAAGTGATCACTTAGAAATATAGGGGGTATTCAAACTTGTGGCTTTTCTTGTTTACAATGGAAACTATAATTCAGTCTTTCAAAAATCTCATAATATTCTGTAATAATGAGCATGGTTAGAACTCAAGACTAGTCACTCAACAGGGCCATTCCTCAGTTGCCTCACCCACACCACGGGGGAATGAATTAAATAACCTCTAAGTTCTATTCCAGCACTGTAATTCCGAATGTTTAAATTATGTTTTCAGTTGTCTTAAGTTTCATACCTTCTTCCCATACTCTCACACCAGGCAATATTAACACAAAGACAAACCATATCTATTTTAAGAGACAATGAATATGAAGATTAAATTACTCACTATGCGCAAGTTGTCTGTTCTGGCCTCCCAAGAACTCCTGCTAATATTACTTCCCACACCTCTCCAGAATAAATCAGACCCTACAAAGGATGAACAAAAAAGATGAGGCAGTAAATTAACACCAAAATGGACAATATTCTAATGTTAGCATCATCAAGGTCTTTGATTCTATTTAAGATCATTTCTTTCAATTTATACTGATTTTCAAAAATTTTCTAACAAAATGAAAAAAGAATTGTTAGGCTTTTACTGTTAATATATCAGTATTATTTTGTAACTTGGTTTTTGTTTGTGCAAGACTTTAAGAAATAAGTTCATGAACAGCCTCAGAATTTTTACATAAACTTTTAGTAGTTTTGTACATCTAGCATCTAAGCAAGTTCCTTAGACCTAAAACAGTGTTGATGATAATTAATGTGTGAGAGAGATGGGGAGTGGGAGTTCCTAGTGCACCTTTGCTTTATTAGTGACATGCATCAGTTTTACAGAGGAGCTAAAACACATGACATTGCAAAGGGTCAAAACTGTGGCCAAACAGTTCTTCCTTGGATATATGCTGCTGTATCAGATGTGCAGTAGTGAGAACAATACTATTTATAACCTGTTATACAACATTTAATTGCAAGATAGACTTACCATTAAGTCTTTCATCAATCTTAGAGAAAAAGAAAAATCTAGTGGTCTCTTTCTCAGGTAATGATACATCTCTGAATCAAGACAGAAAGAGAGAAAGGTAGACATTAGCTGGCTGAGTTCAAAATTCAAGAAGAAAAGTTTACATTAAAAACATAAATCAGGGCCTCCCTGGTGGTACAAGGGGTTAAGACACAACCTATGAAGCTGTCCGCAGCCTCTGCAGCACGAGTTCGATCCCCTGGCCGGCCACGGAGCAACCCACATGGCACAGCAGACATCTCCTGACTTGCCCACTGCTCCCCTCAGCAGTGTGCTTCGGTCAATCTGCCTGTTCTGTTTCTCACTCTGTCTCTGGTGAATTTTCTCACCCTCCCACACCTGTGGCTCTTGTATACATAAATAAATAAATCTTAAAAAAAACCACAAAAAACATAAATCAACTATTTCTTAAATATATCTGCTTTGTGTTTTGCTCATTTTGCCTGAGTTCAAATGACCTGCCTTCTTATTCTCAATTTAATTCCTCTTTTCTATCTGAAGTACTGATGATGAAGTATAAACTCCATCTCCCTCACCACTGCTACCACATGTGCCAATGTTCCCCATAGGGTGGCAACCAGTAAGCTACAGCATCCTCTTTCCAGACCAGAGACTTTAGCATCAGGCTGACTTCCTTCAGCGCATCACATCCAAATGTGATAACCAAAATCTCAGTGCTATCCAAATCTCAAGGAAGTGGAAAAATGCTTCCCATTACAAAAAGCTTAGAGAAATCTTCAAAGGAGTTGAAAGGAAAAAATTAAATTGTCATGTGAGAACAAGCTTAGATGCTTCTAATAATATTTCTAAAGTATGTCTAACCCAGATTTTTACAAATTATGCAATATACCTGCACAAAAACAAATTACTTACCTAGGACTGGACTTCCTGTCATCTGGTTCTTCATTAACATCTTCCTCCTCCTCTTCTGAACTACTGTCATGGAAATGAGGGGCTCCCTGCCAGGCAAACTTCCCAGGTTTTACAGTTTCAACTCTGTAGGTATCTATACAGCATGACAATAAAATATGATAGGATTCTAACTCAACAGCTATGTATTTCTGAACACACTCATTGGATTCTTTCACCATACATATGCATTTCTGGATTTCCAATATCTTAATCATTAATTTAAAATAGGCAGCATCTTTTCACATTTTCAAGTATTGAGAAAAACTACTATCTGTTTTTTGGCATTGCTAAGGTGATCTGACAAGGAATACAGTAATACCATCAAAAGATATAAAAATTAAAGGCTTATAAATGAACAACACAGCTTAAAAGAACAAATAAAATAAGCATGAGATCTGTGGCTTGCATAAGAAACCTAAAATAAAACACAATTCAGTGAAGCCAGGTTTCCCTCCTGCTGATCATAAATGAGAAAAGGAATATACCTTTGTATTTTTCAATTTCCCAAACCTCTTTCTGGAATTGCTGAAAAAATCCAGTGCTATAAGATGTGAACAATCACTGTATGAGCCCCCCAAATTTGCCAGTACCTCAAAGCACAAATCCCAGGTTGCTGAGATGTCTTAGTACTCATTTCAAGGTCAATTTGTCACACTTGGCTCTCAAAGTCAGAAGTATCATAGTCAATGTTTATAGCATGCCAACTCTTCTCAACAGTTTAGGGCTGACCTTGGTACTCAAATGGACAGCACAGCCAAGAGTAACAGAACTGGCATTTGTGTTTGCTAAACACATGGATGCTCTTTCAGTTGCTGATCTTTGAAATAGAATCCTTTGTAGTGAAGTACTCATGTATTCCTGTAAACATCCCTTGTTTTTTGCCATGAACTCCCAGAAAGCTGTACTTTCACTTGAACTCTAGGAGCAGCCTCCTAAGAAACTGGTGTTTTTAACTTTTAGCCCATGTTGGCCTTCAAAGGTAAACCTGAAATAATGTTCAAACTTGAGTTTATATTTTTCTCTATGTTCTGAAAAACCTTCAAAGGATAAAGTTAGAAACAACTGGCATACTGATGACAGAGCAGATCTGTATAAAACTAAGGTTACATAGTTCTTCCTACCACATACAGTACTGGTTTCCAAAAGTCATGGTTTCTCCAACTGCATTTAAGATGATGCTATTAAATATACGTCTTACTATACAACTTCGTGACTATTTCTACTCAATAGAGGTCTGAGCACATTCTTCTCTGACTTCCCTTCATATTTCAGCTAGCTATAAATTTGCTCCCTTAAATGCAAAAACAATTTGCTGTTACAACAAACTTCCAGGTATATCACATTTATTACTGAATCTCATATTGCTTAGCTAGGTGGAAGAAAGGATCTTTTCTTCAGCTTGCACTTAATTGCAACCACATTGCACTTAATGTGGACTCAATTAAGCTCAAACTACGTGGAATGCAGAAGGAAAAAAAAATGAGTACCTTCCTTTGCATCTTTAGTATCTGAATCAAAAAAGGAGAATGTGAATCCTCCAGGTTGCTGGGTCCCATTCAAAGAAGCTGCAGAGTCCTGGACTTCCTCTCCAGAACAATCCTCATTCCAGGGTATGTTGTCATCCTTTTCAGTGGTATCTTTTGTAGTTTGGAATATTTCTTTTAAATCCGTAGCAATGTTATAATACATTTCTTTAGACACCTCAGGTAGCTTCTCAGCTTCCTCCCTTTTCTTCTTTCTTTTTGCTTTACTGCAATGACATACATAGACATGTGTACCACAAAGAAATAGTTGGCTTTGGGAAAATTTATAAAAAACAAGAAAACACCTAGGATAACTTTAATTCCATCCTTCCAACAACTGAGGAGCCACATATAAAATTCTACTGGTGAAAGGAAAACCTTGATCAATAAATTTTCTATATGCAAAATGACATCAAAGTTCTAACTATTAATCTACTTCTCCTCTGAGCTACATTTTAGAAATTACGCCTAAGATATTAGCTCTGAGTAAAATCACTCAACCACAGTGAGTCTCAGTTTCCTCATCTGCAAAATGTTAAAAGAGATGGCATCTATAAATTTTAAGTTCCAAAATATTTTGAATTTTATAAAACTGGCGTAAAAGAATCTAGTTAATTCAGTTTTAGAAATAATTGTAAAAGTGAGGCTTCCCTGGTGGTGCAGGGATTAGGTCTCAGCTCTATCAAGCTATTTCCAGCCATTGAGGCATGAATTCAATCCCCAACCTGGGAGCTAACCCACATGGCACAGCAGACCTCTCCTGTCTTCCCCACTGCTCCCCTCAGCAGGATATTTTTTTTAAAGATTTATTTATTTATGCATACAAGAATTGGGGTATAGACCAGAGGTGTGGGGTGTGAGAGGCTTCACCAGAGACAGAGTGGGGAACAGAACAGGTGGATTGACTGAAATACACTGCTGAGGGGTGCAGTGGGCGAGACAGGAGAGGTCTGCTGCACCATGGGTAGCTCCCTGGCCGGGGATCGAACTCATGCTTCAGTGGCTGTGGATAGCTTCATAGGTTGCGTCTTAACCCCTTGCACCACCAGGGAGGCCCCCCTCAGCAGGATATTTCAGTAGATCCACCTGTTCTGCTCTCTACTATTCTGGTGAATCCTCTCACCCCCCACACCTCTGGCCTAGACTCCAGTTCTTGTATGCATAAATAAGTTTTAAAAATAAAAAAAAAAAAAAAGAAATAATTGTAAAAGTGCTATCTACATATAGTTTGTTCTGGAATGAAAATTTTATATTACAATAAACCTGTTCTGTATTCAGAAACATGCTTTTCCCTTTTTGAGACAAGAAGTTACATTGCAGTTTCCAATATTGAGTTTTAATTCAGTAAGATTAAAATCCTTTTTCCTATTTAGAATTCACTCTATATATCATAAATAACATCAGGCCAAAGTTCTAGTTGTATAACCTAAAATAATAAATGGGCAAGACATTCCAAATAATCATCTTATTGACAGACTAATTCAGTGAGTTGATCTCTTTTTACTACATTAAATAACAAATCTGGATATTTTTTTTTAAATATTTATTTATTCACTTATGCATAGAAGAACTGGGATATAGGCCAGAGGAGGCAAGAGGATTCACCAGAGACAGAGTGGGGAGCAGAGCAGGCAGATCTACTGATATATACTGTTGAGGGGAGCCATAGGTGAGACAGGAGTGGTCTGCTGCACCATATGTGGTCAGCTCCCTGGCTAGAGATTGAACTCAAGCTACAGCAGTAGGCCATCACAGTGATAGTGCTAAGACTTAACTCCTAGGCCACCAGGGAGGCCACTTTAAAAGGACACATCAGCTGCCCAGTAAAGAAGCCAACAAAGTGAGGAATAGGCCAATAGTCCCGTATGAGCCATCCTGGAAGCAAATCATCCAGGTTCAGTCATGTTTTTCGGAGACGAAAGCCCCAGGCAATGTTTTGACTACAACTTCCTGAGAACAGAATAATCCAGAGAAGCTGCTTCAAAACACTTGAGTCACAGAAGCTCCGAGTTAATAAATGTTTGTGGTTTTAAGATGGTAAGTTTTGGGGAATTTGTTATGCAGCAACAGAAAACTACTACAAATTAGATGTAAATAAAAACAAATCTATTATTCCTACTTATATACCATTTTCAGTGTGTATTATCTAAAATAACATACAAAAATTCTATATTACAGGGAACGTTTATATTATTTCTACTTTGGTCTGTTATATTATTCCATTTAAAAGAAAACTTCAATTTTGAAACAATTTTGGATTTACAGAAAAGATGCAAAGAAAGTACAGAATTTCCTAATAACCTTCACCTAGTTTCTCCTAATGGCAGCAATTTATATAATTATGACACAATTGTCAAAATTTTAAAACATAAACCTTGGTATATTACTATTAACTGAACTCAAACTATTTTCAGTTCATCAGTTTTTCATACATGTCATTTTTGCTCCAGGAACTAATTCAGGATAGCCCACTGCCTTCAGTAATTTTAGCAGAAGGAAAATGAAGGAATTAATCCAGACAAATAATTGGTTGATCCACATTTATCAAACTGATAGCACGTCTTTAGGAAATAGGAGCTGCTTTTTATATTCCACTAGCAATTGAATGGTTGCTCCCCAAAAGGTATGCCCAGGTCTTAAATCCCATAATTTGTGAATATTACCTTAATTAGTAAAAGGGTCTTTGCAGAGTAACTAAATTAAGGGTTCTCCAACTAAGATTATCCAGAATTATTCAGGTAGATCCTAAATGCAATCACAAGTATCCTTAGAATAGACACAAAGGTAAGAGACACACAGAAAAGAAGAGGCGGCCACGTGAAGATGGAGTAAGGAAGCCACAAACCAAGGAATACCAAGGATTGCTGGTAGCACCTGACATGAGAGAGATGTAAAACTGATTTTCCCCTGAAACCTCCAAAGGGAACATGTAGTCCTTTCAATAACATAGATTTCAGAATCCTGGTCTCTAGCACTGTGAAAAAATATATTTTATGGTTTTTAAGCTTCTGAGTTCGTGGTAATTTGTTACAGCAATGACAAGAAACATATATTAAGTTGGAATATATGGCATTTACACACGTGAGGTTCTTTTGTGAAAGGTTAAGACCTTCTCTACCAGGTTAATAACTCTGTCTTAAAAACAGTAGGGACCAATAGATGGGATGTTGGTTACTATCTATTTTGTTCACTATCTGAAATGGGATTAATTTATAGGATCCTGCTAATTAATGAAGCAGCTTGATTTACCTTTCTTTTGGCTTATCATCTTTCTTCCTTTCATAAGCAGCATGGTCATGCCTTGTTGGATCATAACGTACAATGTCCCTATATAAAAAAAGGAGAGAAAGAAATTGGAAAAGAGAAACCAGAGTTCTAATGTTTGATTAATAGCAAATTACAATTCAACACAAGACCTATTCTAATTTCTGAGTAAGACATAGGTCTTTATTAGGATATTGTTAAAAAGGATTATATTCTCAATTACCTAGTTTTGAATTTCAATGGATTTTTTTTAACTTGAAAAATACATCATACTAAAATATATACAGATAAAACGACATACTACTGGGATTTGCTTAAAATATCCCAGTGGGGAAAGGAGGGAGTGGGTAAAAAAGTATAGAAAACTGGTCATATGTTGATGATTCTGTGAGCTGGATGATGGTGTACAGGGGTTTTGTTATAATAGCCTTTAAGATGTTTAAAATTTTCCATAATAAATAGAGACATTTATATAGTTTTACAGCTTACATTTAAACCATTTTTCAATTGTGTCATTTATGGGAGCAATATTGCCATGATACCCACGAACATAAATACAAAAATAATTTAAGATTAGTTTCTTGAAATGAATCATTCGATTAAAAATAAGTACATTTATAAAGGTCAGATACTTATTACCAAATGCTCTCCCCAAAAGCTTAAAATGGCCTAGTTTTAAACTGAGTTCAAGAAGAGTTCAATTATGGCAAAGGAAAATACAGGATGTGATGGAACATAAGCCATACTTAAATTTCTTAGCAGCTACTGGTCCTTTGCTTGTAGGATTGTTCAAGTTGATATGCAAAACACTCTGCACAACATTCAGGGCTTTCAGTTTTTCTGCCGCAAGCTCTTCTTCCTCAGCAGTTTTTCTTTCATTTATTTCTTAGAAAAAAAGGGATAATTAGTAATCTCCTGGCAAATATAACTTGAGAAGCCTCAATCATCAAATATTTACCAAGTACCTAAACATGCACAAAGCACATTATGACAGGAGGAAAATCTAAACCTCATTTTGCTATCCTTCCTATCCCCAGAACCCTCAGTGCCACAGCAAATTCAGAAATTGCATGACCAGCAAACAGTTTCACTTCTAGTTGTCATTTTGTGAAAATAAAAAGATTTGGGCCTCTCTGGTGGCACAAGGGGTTAAGAAGCAACCTATGAAGCTATCCGCAGCCACTGCAGCACAAGTTCAATCCCTGGCCAGGGAGTTACCCACATGGCGCAGCAGATCTCTCTTGACTTGTCTGCTGCTCCCCTCAGCAGTGTATTTCAGTACACCTGCCTGTTCTGCTCCCCACTCTGTCTCTTGTGAATACTCTCACCCCCCCTCCCCATACCTCTGGCCTATACCCCAGTTCTAGTATGAATAAACAAATCTTTAAAAAAAAAAAGGTAGATTTAATGACTTCAGTAGGAAGTTTAAAAGTTTTTCTTTGAAGGAACTTGTTTAAAAAAAAATCAAAGTTTTAACAATAAATATTAAATGCAACAGAGTAAAGATGCTAATTACAAAACTAAAGTGATTACAGATGCTTTGATTACTTTAACATGGTAAAAATGTAATCCCCACTGTCTTTGGTGAAATGGTTATTCACAGCTCTGATGTAATATATACCAACCAGAAGAGCTGTAAGGAGACAAATGGCAGAAATGAAGTAACCTCATATGAAGTTTCCATATGTAGGCTATTTCCAAGCTTCTGACTGTTCCTATGCTTTCAACATGGAATTTTGAGTGAGAAATTCTGAAACCTAACTTGGTGTGGAGACTACAGAATTTACTTAATCCTGGCTTCCAGAAATGTATAGTACACATAATAATTAGTTCAAAGAATTGAAAGCATCATAGGGAGTTACCTACATGGTGCAGCAGACCTCTCTTGACTTGTCTGCTGCTCCCCTCAGCGGTGTATTTCAGTCAATCTTCCTGTTCTGTTCCCCACTCTGTCTCTGGTGAATCCTCTCACCCCCTGCAACTCTGGCCTATATATCCCCCCATTCTTACATGCATAAATAAGTAAATAAAAATAAAATCTTAGAAAAAATTTAAATTAAAAAAAAAACAAAGCAGAAAAGTTTGGAACCAATGCCAAATAAAATGCTCCAGGAAGTGGGGAAAAAACAAACCAACTGAATTAGAATGCTTGTGAGAGCCTCACTACTTCTAAACATATCCAAATAAGGATGAATTCAAACAGAATGGCATTCAGCATTACAATGCTCTTTTAAAAAAACTACACCTGGCAAACATACCGCAAGGAAGATGAATACTCTTCCTTTTAGAAAACCAACTGTGACTTAACTATCTTCCATGGCCTTACTAGGGACTGCCCCTCTAGTGCTAGTGCAGATCTCGTCCTCTCTCTGACACCAGGGATGGGACAGAGGAAGATGCTGCCTTTGAATGGATGCTATGAATTTCTGTCCTTTCTGGTAACTTCAAGTAATTACAGTTGTTTAAATGCACAAACAATCTCAGAAAGTCTTAGATTGTGAGCTCCACAATTTAATGTTCTGGGTTACAGAATTTTTCCGTGTGTTATGCAAAGACGTGAGACTAGATGACTTCTCAGAATTCCCCAGCTTTGACACCAGGACTATATGGACAATGGGGCATACCGTCCTGTTCCTCTTCACTGTCACTTTCTAGAAATCTGGAGTCCATGCGAAATCTGTCATCAGTGCCAAAGTGAGACTGCAAATTCATGAGCTACAAAGACAAAACATACACATAATTGATGGCCATTTTCCCAAGAAATCACTTCTAAAGAAGATGCTCCATTTGCACTTCCAATGTCCTGAAATTCACATTAATGTTTGCATAACTTCACATACCCATGAACTGATCAGAGAGGGTCATGGAAGATTCAGTTCCAAAATAATACCCAAATCCAAAACACACTGCTGGAGTGTGGGCAAAGGTCTGCTTGCATTTACCTAGATTTAAGATCATGTTAAAAAATAAGGACATGTTACAGGTTTTATTTTCAGTCTTCACTAACCTTCTGTCCAGCTTTGCCCTCAAACTGAGGTTTAATTCTGAACCTGTTACTGTCATCTTCAGGACCAGATTCCTCATCACCACTGCTGTCAAACAGCTTTCCTGATGCTTTACCAGCAGATGCCTATTACACAGGTGAAGAGATGACAAGAAGGTTTATTAATAACTGAGACAATCAACATTTTCTTCATTATGTAATCTTCCCCCTCACATTTAAGAATCAACAATCCTGATGAATCTCCCAAGAAAGGGTGGATGATAAGTAGAATGAGAACTCCTAACACAGTGATATCTACTTGGTTTTTTGGTTACTAATCCAGAGGTCCCTAATGCAGCTTGAAGTGCAAGGAGAGGAGAAGGGGGGGTTACTATACATGAGAACACTTCCTGCAGGGTTTCATTCATTTAATGCCACACTGCAGATGATGTGAAGAATAGATTCACATGGGAAAGAATCTCCAAGGAACCCATGGACTTTGTGTCCAGTAGCATGGGGAGTCTCCAGTCTCATCATGGCTTTGAAGAATTTTATGTTGAGCTAGTCTGTTGTGTGGATGTGTTGGTATGCAATTTGCAGAAATGGATTTGCAGAAGTAGAGTAATGCCCATAAGGATATTCTGAATATCTTACTTTCACTGGTTCCTTTCCCGGCTGGTTCTGCTCCTGAGTGGATATCACCTCTGTTTCACTTTCACTGTCAGAACCAAAGATGATATGTGTTGACTTATCCTCTGGATGACCATCCTAGAGTGATCATCAAAAGCATTATACAATCAGGCTTCTCCTGCAAGTCTTCCCAATTTTTTTTTAATCCAATGAATGCTGTCATCACCCCTTATTTCTCAAGTAGAAATTTTATTTCTGTTCTCTTTCTCCATATCCTATCATCAACTGAACTTTTTGGGTACTTTTACATTTATTCCTACTATCACTAGCTTGGTCATGACTTCCCAAAGGCTCTGGCTTATTCAAGATTTGTCTCATTCAATTTGTTCTTTTCATCATGATCTTTCCCAGAGGTTGGCAAGCTTCCTATAAAGAGCTAAAAATATTTTAGGTTTTGCAAGCTACACAAGATCTCAGTTCTATATTATGCTTTTTTCTTTAAATAACCTTTAAAAACAAAGTTACCCTGAGCTTGGCAGCAATATAAATAAGCTGTGGGTTGGCAGCTATAGTTCACCAAGTCCTGCTCTGATAGCTACGTAACTAATCCTTATTCCCTTGCTTAAAGTTCTTGTCTTTTCACAGCCCTGAGAATAAAGTGCAACCTCCACAGTCTCTTCATAACTTAACTGCTACTCTCTTTAGCTTCATTCTTCATCGCCCTTTTGTACAAACTGTCTCCCTTTCAAGGACTTATCTTTCCTCTCTCTTCCACCATTTTACCTCTCCTCAGTTAGTTCCCACTGACCCTTTCAAGGTTTTTCCTCCTGACAATACAGAGTGCCCCCTATATACTACCAGGACATGAAACTTAACCATGACACTCTGCCCACAACATTATGGGCCAGTAACTGCCTGAGACAGGGACCATCATTAGAAAATCTAGCTCCTACTGTGAGGCCTAAAGGCCTAGAACTTTTCAAGTATTTAACAACTGTCAGAAAAAAATGAATGAGGATTCACTGCAGTCAATCTTGACTAGGCAAGCTATAATCATTGGATAAGCAGACATTGGATATCATAGGAGATATCATAGGATATCATGTAACTACATTTTACATGTGGTTACACACCTATAGCTTCTAAAGGAAAGGAAATTATGAAGAAAACTTTAAATATAGGCAGATGGATGTTTTTAAGTTAAATCTCACTTCCTCTGGGGTATACTACAATTATATATGGTGATAAAAGTTTTTAAGTCAAGGACATGAAACAAAACCGGAGCTCTACAGGGGCATAACATCCTTCATGGGTAAAAAAGCTTAGACTTTGAGAGGTCTACTTAAATCCACAGACTGAAAATCCACTCACCAAGTTTGCCAGAGCATCATGAACCAGCTTCTTTTGTACTTCTTTTGCTTTTTGCCTTGCCTCTAAGGCTGCCAAGCGTCTCTGGTTATCTTCAGCATGCTTCTGCTTAGCATTAACATCTGGCAAACTATTAGCAGAAAGCAGGAAATCAGTTTTGTTTCCCTGAGTATCTCTCCTGGAGGAGACTGCTGACGATTTCTCAGGGGCTGCTCCACTGCTCAGATCAGGCTTCTTTTCTAAGTCCTCTTCTGTCTTTGTGGTCCTATGAAAACAGTCTTCCTCAATGCCCACTTTGGGAGTCTTTGCACCAAGACTTAAAGATTTCTTATTGTTTAATGGTAACATATGAGAAACAGGATTTTTACTTCCCTTTTCTGAACTGCTAGGGGATACCACCATGAGATCCTGGCTCTTAAAAGTGGACTGTCTCTTTTGAGGTTGAATACAGTTTGGATCATTTGCCTTCTTTGGCTGTTGGAATGGAGTCCTGCTTGATGAGCCCTGAGTCTTTTCCAGAGCTATGCCACTAGTATCCTCAAGTTTCATGGAATCCTGTTCTTTATTAACATTGTTAGCAGCAACACCCTCTTTCAAGGATTTTTTCATTGATTCTTTTCCGTAGAGACAGGCTACTCCCTTGAAAGCCTGAAATTTTGGCTTTAAGTTGCCTTCCTTTGGTTTCAGTTTTCCACAGGTATTCTCTTCTCCTTCTAAAAGGGAAGCCACAATTTCCTCAGGATGAATACACCGTCGGCCTCTGTGGAAGCCACTGGGAGTCCTTGGCTTCTTGGAGGCCCTGTCAAACATGGCAGTGGTTTCCTGGACACTGACTTCAGTATCTTCTCCTGGAGCCTCCGGGTCCCTACCAACCAACTGTTCCAAATCAGCCAAAGTAAGATTCACATGAACACAGTTTTTCATCATAGCGCTATACTCCTCATCTACAGACTGAGCTGATTCTGATACAGAATCGGCATCTTTACTGCCATTGGAGGTGGGTGGAGATTTACAACCAAGAGGCTTAACTCCTTGATGGATGGCTACTTCTGCATTATTTCTCTTTTGTACTTTAATACAACGATCAGAAAGCTCACAGTCTTTTCTATTTTTCAAAGTTTTCTTGTGCATGGTCTTTTTCATTTGTGAAAATTCTGTACTGTTTTTAACCTCACCAGATTTTTTTTTCACTGCAATGATTTCATCTGTATCTCCTGAATCATAGTCACAATCATTTTCCATAACATTATCATCACTATCAAGGCAAGAGACATCATTTTTGATACCTAAACCTGTAAAAGAACGAAGCTTATGAACATCTGATTTGAAATCCTCCTTAACAACCTCAAAGGGATCATTTTCAGATTCATTTACTGAGGACCTCCTAGTTTTCTCTAAGTTTTCCTCCCTTGCAATCAGTAGTCTTAATTCATCCTCAGAATCAGTATCATCATCAGACATACTAATTTTGTTTCTAGTAGTTTCCGAGCTAGAATTTTGAAAAAATAGTTTTTTAAGTTTCTGAGTATCAGAATCAGGTACATAGGTTGATTTAGAAGTAACAGAATCATAAGATGTTTTTGTTGCAGACTCTTGCTGTATAAAACGTGGATTCTTCATTATCAAATTGGGTTTTGGTCTCATAGTCAGACACCCAGGGGAACCATCATCCTTCTGCACTTTTATTATCTTCTTGGGAGGGTAGTGAAAGTCAGAGAACTCTCCTCGCCGTTTCTTACTCATAGGATCATTCCCTCCTTCCAATTCCCAAGTGAGGTTGGATATAGGGATGGTATCTTTGAAATCCTCCCCTATCTTCTTTAAGTTGTGGCAGTATTTTGAAGGGTCATATTTTATGATGTTACCAAAAGTCAAGGAACAAAACAAAATCACTAGGATTCATCAATCTGATGAAGCAAAAGAAATACTATTTAATTTTGATTAAGTAATTTGCTTCAGCTTACCCTCAGTTTCCTATCCAAAAAAATGAAGACTTTGACTTCACTAGGTGACCTCTGGGTCTTTGGAACTGAGTTTCCTATGGCATGTCCAGAGTTAAAACCAAGCATCATAACTGTTAATTGGCAGAAACTACTTGGGCTGTATATAGACATTAAAGTAAATCCATTCAGATTAAGTTCTAGGCACAGAGGCCACAAGACTTTTCTGTAAATCCAAGATCTCACCTCACTGACCTGAAAATATAAAGCAGAATAGAGGGGAGCCAAAGGGGCACAGCTAGCCAAACACATGTCCTTTCAGTATCAAATTCTTCTGTCCATTCCTATCTTCTCACTATTGTCTCATTCTAGCTCTGATTCTCCTAGCCTAACATCATCCATTTCATATTCTACTCACTCTGCAGAGCATTTTGTAGTCTTTATTAGAAAGGTAGTAATTCTTTGCTAGGTCTATTTGTTGCTAACAACATTCAGAAAGATTCAAGTTAATTTTAAGTATGTTGTAATGACAGCTGACATTTGCTGATTTCCTAAGACATACTAATAGGCAAGTGTAAGTTGCATTATCACTTCTGAAAAGTCCTTTGTTCATTTAGCAAGTATTGAACACATGCCAAATACGTGAAGTATGCCCAACAATGTCTACTGTCTTAGTTTCATGTTGACCTTCAATATCCACCTCTTTATCATTACTGGCTGCCACTGGTAGGAAGCCAAGAGGTGAAGGGAAATAAAGTTACTATCAGTATTACCTAGAATTTAGTTCCACTGGCAGGAAGAACAAAAATAGCAAATATGGCCAGTGCCCTGGGGGCCCCAGTGTACTACAGCCACAGGGTAGTAGTGACTTGCTGCAGTTACTAATCTTTAGACAAATGGCCTACTGGCTTCTTACTCCTCTAATACTTTTTTTTAACAAATTGCATGCATTATATCTCCTCTGTCTGTAACACCTGGAACTGCTTCTCCTTCCTTGACTGACACATGGCTAGAGTTAAAAGATATACAATATTCATCCTCTGCCCAGCCAGCCATGGCATTAGGAATTGAAGGCCTTAGAAAATCTGACCTTATTTCCTCAGCAGATCAGGCACCAGAATTCCCTCATCCTGGGTTCAACACTACTTCCCCAGCCACCATTCACCTGCCTGTCTACATATTTGTACCTCCTCTTCCTCTTTCATGGACTTCTTCCTATAACTTTTCTATTGCTGTGAAACCTACCACTGTTACTCCAGAATCTTCTTTAACGATGAACCCTGCTCTCTTCCAGTTCTTCAGCTCCTTTAGCAATTTGATATACAGCAAATGAGGAAAGATGTGAACATCAGTAAGTGAAAGTGCTTTTGTGACAATCATCATTTGCATCACTTACTCATATGAAACCTCATAATAGTTTCTCATTATTCTCTAATTACTTCATACATGTAGGCTGATCAATCTTACCTTGCCTACAAATTGGGAACATAAAAACTGTTAGATAAACACCTAAAGACTTAATGACAAAGGTAACTCTTACAAGTATCATTCACTGTGATAAGTAATAATTATTCTGAAAGAGGATTGCAAAGGATATTTTACGTTTATGTTGATTCTTCAGGTGAAGGACAGGTAAGACTCTTCCAAATTTACTAACAACCCAATTCTAAAAGACAAGAAAAACAAGAAATGTATTTATATTACATGATACAATGGAAAAAGATTAACCACATTGTGTAAATGTACTATTTGAAAAAACTGAACTCATAGTAGCTATGATTACTGTTAGGTTTACTTTTCTGATAATAAAAATGAGCTTAAAAAAGTCCGTGGGCAAAGAGAAAAGAAAGAAGGAAAATCTGGGCAGGTATTGATCTCACATAAATTATGCAGAATACTATACAAAAACACCAGTTGTTAAAAACGCAATTTGGACCAGTGTGTTCTCCTCACCACCTAGGTCCCTTGGGCTTGACTTCTCTCTCCATAAAATGGAGAACTGTGCTGATGCCAAGAGTTGTAAACGCACTGTGAAGAACAAAAGTACTACCTACGTTAACTACTTTAAAGCAAGGGTGAAAGGAAGTGCTTTAGAAACATGATGCCCATATCATGTGGTCTCAGGTATCTGGCTAGTTAGGCAGCAGAGGAGACTCACTTTATGCCCTGGTACTTCTGTTCCAGGAACAGCTTTTATATATAAATCTATCCCTCTCATCTTTTCAAACAAGTTGGTGTTGCCTGTTGATTTTTCTTTCATTGATTTTGCTGCTTCTCTCTCTTGGGCCAATCTGAATCAAAGAGCAAAATATAAATAAAAGAGTTAAAATAACCAATCATGCTATCAACAGTGCTTTTGTTTCATTTTGTAATTTCATACAGATGTTTAACTTAATAGTGATGATTTCAGGTTTCTTATTTTTTTCCTTTTTAACTGCACTTTTGGCATTTTATCCACCCTTAATTCCTTTACTCTTTCCTATGAGGAAGAGGTGTCTTTCATAGCTCAATTACCCAATCTTGATGATTTATACTCTTATAATGAACAGAATGCCACTGTACCCTTCTAATTAACCCCCACCACCACCTTAATCAGGTCTGGATAACTGTCATTCACTACTTTACATGTGGTCTTCTACTTTCCTGACACCTTCTAGAATGACTATCAGACTCGCAACGTTTAGGCATACCCACACAATGCCCCAAGACAACAACATTGCAGGTCTACCTGCTCAGGACTGAAGCCCCACTTCCTGCACATGGTAGGCACTAAAGTATAGCTGAATAAAGTCACATCACCACCCTGTTCAGAGATGCACTCCCCAACCCGTGCTGGAGAAAAAAATTCAGATCTCGCCTTTTTCACAAGATCATACCCTCAAAGCACATCTCCAGTAGGCTACCTGACACCTAATTAAGGCATTCTTTTTTCTTGTGCCATTTCTTTGGCCTAGAACAATCTTATCAACTCTTGTGGTCACTCTATACATTCCTAAAACATTTCTTATTTTGAAAGCGCCCAAACTCTCATAATCTTTTCTCCCTAAAAGTACCTCAGGATCTTAAAATGCTACAATAGTTGTTAACTGTCTTGTTCTTAAATCACTTGAATAATCTGATGCCTCTCATATAGAGATTCCATATTACCTTTATATCTTTGTGTGTGACATCAGTATCAATACTCAAAACCAACACAAGTAATTTGGTGCCTTCTATAATAATTTAAATGTACATGAATTAGCACGTTTCCTTGTTGACATAAACACCAGAAGAACCCTTCCAGGAGACATTTGCAAACGTCATCTATTATCATAAAGAAGTGGAAACAGTCTAAATGGCCAACATGATAAAGCCATTTTCTGAAATAGTAGTAAACAGTTGTTACAGAGAAAGGGGAAGACATATATTACCACGAAAGGTTATGCTAAAAAAGATGAATTTTATTTTTATAGCTTAAAATATACATTTGTACGCATTACCATTTTAGTGTTGGGGGTCACAGAGTCAGAGTTCAAGAGGGATTTTATTTGGCTCTACCTATAATGCTTGAATTTGCTAAAACTGTTATATTACTAGAAGAAAATATAGGCAAAACACTATATGACATACACCTCAGTAACATCTTTAAAGACACATCACCTAAAGCAAAGATAGTGAAGGAAAAGATGAACAGCTGAGACTACATCAAATTAAAGAGCTTCTGTAGAGCAAAAGATATATTAACCAAAACAAAGAGACACCCCACTGATTGGGAGAAAATTTTTGCACACAGTACTACTAATAAGGGACTGATCACAAAGATCTACAAAGAACGGATGAGACTAAATAAAAACAAAGTAAACAATCCAGTTAAAAAATAGGCGAAAGAGCTAAAAAGACACTTCTTCAAAGAGGAAATGCAAATGGCCTACAGGCATATAAAAAAATGTTCAACATCTCTTGTAATTAGAGAAATATAAATCAAAACCACAATGAGATACCACCTTACACCAGTGAGAACGGCACATATTAAAAAAAAAAAAAAAAAAAAAAACAGGAAACAACAAACGTTGGCAAGGATGTGGAGAAAAAAAAGGAACTCTCCTACACTGCTGGTGTTGAATGTAAACTGGTCCAACCACTATGGAAAGCTGTGTGGAGGTTCCTCAAACTACTAAAAATGGAGCTTCCATATGATCCAGCCATTCCACTCTTAGGAATCTACCCAAAGGACACAAAAACATTAATTCAAAAGGACACCTGCATCCCTATGTTTACTGCAGCACTTTTTACAGTAGGTAAGCTATGGAAACATCCAACTGCCCAAAAATAGATGACTGGATCAAGAAGATGTGGTATATATTCACAATGGAATATTACACAGCAATCAAAAGAGATAAACTCATCCCATTCACAGCAACATGGACGGAGCTGGAAGGGATTATGCTCAGTGAAATAAACCAGAAAGAAAAAGAAAAATAGGGCCTCCCCGGTGGCGCAGCGGTTAAGCGCTGGGTTGCAAAGCTGCCTGCAGCCTCTGCAGTGCTGGTTCAATCCCTGGCTGCTCCCCAGCCACCGGAGGAGGGTCCCACATGGCGTGCGGACCTCTCCTGCCGCCCGCTGCTCCTCTCAGCAGTGTGTTTTGGTCCTTCTGCCTGCTCTGCTCCCGACTCTGGCTCTGGTGAATTCTCTCGCCCTCCCGCGCTTCTGTCTGTACCCAGTGCTTATATAAAGAAATAAATAAATCTAAAAAAAACACACAAAAAACCAAAACTGATGGTTTCACTTACAGGAGGAATGTATAGGAAACAAATAAGGGATCTGGAGGGGGTGGGGAAATTATAATAAATTAAAAATCAAAATCAACAGGCAACTATAAATTAGAGACATTCTGCAGGGGAGGAGGGGGATGAAGGATCAAACAGGGATGGAAGAACACAAGGGACTATGTTGATGGGACATGGGTGAATTGGTGGTGGGAATTTCACAGGGAGTACACCTGAGAGGAGAAAGCATACATTTTACAACAATGATGTAAAATATAAATAAAATAAACAATTGATATATTACTTTATAGTTTTCAATTCAATTAAGTGAATATACAAAATCACTTATAAAGAAATAGGATTTAAATCCATGTAAAAAAAATCTTACCTGTGCAAAAAGCTTTCTTTTGCTAGCTGAATTTGTAGTGTTCCACCTTTCCATTTTGTTTTATTTAAAGCAGACATACCTATAAAGTAAAGAATTATCAATAAATACATGATGATGCACATATTTCAGAATGTGCTTCTGCTAATTATTTAGAACCAAGGTAAGTAGATTTGTTTACCATAGAGACAGAAGAAATGAAGAGAGACCCGGAGAGAGGAGGCCTAGGGTCTGGTCTCATCTCTAGTACTTACCAGGGGAGCCCTTAAAGTCCCTATCTCCCAGCATTACTGGAAGATTTGAATCAAGCAAATGAGTAAATTATAAAGCAAAATTTGTTTGTCAAATGTTTATAAAGTAATGTCAGGAATCTCTGGTGAATGAATACATTTATTTAACATTTTAATAGTTATTTCCCACACTAGAACCAGATACAATGGCAATCTTTCCAAAATCAATCAGGGGACACTTTGATGTCCTACTGCACCTCACTTTTATTCATCAACTTTTATTCAAATTAGTTATCACTTCGTTACTTGAAAACAAATTTTCTACACATGATTCAATTGTATATGAACTACTATGTGCTAGTAGTCAATTTTTCTGAGCAATCTGTTACCAGCTTTCTTAAAAATAACCATCAAAAGATAGACGTTTCTATTGGTAGATAATATGTTAAGGACAAAGGTCTTATTCAATTTAATCTCCACAGCAATATCCCAAGAAAACAATATTTTTGTCATACAGCAGGTAAGCATACTGGGGCTTTGAAGTTTAAATAACTTACCCTCAGGTCATATAACACAGCTTACGTGTTCTTTTTTTTTTAAGATTTATTTATTTATGCATACAAGAACTGAGGTACAGGCCAGAGGTGTGGGGGAGTGAGAGGATTCACCAGAGACAGAGTGGGGAACACAACAGGCAGACTGACTGAAATACACTGCTGAGGGAAGTAGAGGGTGAGCCAGGAGAGGTGTGCTGTATCATGTCGGTAGCTCCCTGGCTGGTTATCGAACTTGTGCTGCAGTGGCTGCAGATAGCTTCATAGGTTGCGTCTTAACCCCTTGCGCCACCAGGGAGGCCCTTATGTGTTCTTAACCATAACATACTTATTATAATTATTTATTCACTGAACAATAAAACAATGTTTCCTGTAAATGAAATTACAAAAGGTTGATAGTCTTCTTTCTCTATTAGCATGTTTCCTTTTCAGTAACTGTTGACATTTCAGCCTCCAAATGACTAGAATACATTGCTGCAGGTATGGAATATCTCCCTTTCTTTCTCATCAAAAGTCAGGTTTGCCTTCATTTTTATTAAACTTACACAGATTTAGTGATTTCAAGAATATGGTCTTAAAAGGACATGACCTACAGCCCTCTCCTAATATCATTTAATAAAAAGACATCTGCTCAAGAAATAAACACACTGGGGAGGGGCAGTTGGCTATATGTCCAGTGGGATGTGTGTCCCACTGGGATGCATGTAATACAATTGTCCAGTGGGGTGCATGTAATACAATTTCTATGAAAGTTTGGTCCATTGTCCAAAATATTTTATAAAACCATTTTGAGCAAACCCACTAGGAATGTGCTACCATGTCTATTGATTCCAAATGGTATGGCTCTAAACCTGCTGAGTTACAGGATCTCAGAATTCTCTTGATACTGGTTGTCCCTCTGAATGAGTTGAAATTAGCTTTTGAGGTGTTATTCCAAGTTAAAAACAGACATGATCTGACAAACAGTATGGAAAACATGATCTTACATTTCTTCAGGTCTGCTTCTGCTACTCTGATGTTGATATATGCAAAGACTTTCTGTGGGTTTCCTGTAAAAAATAAATAAACTTACTTAAATCCTTATCCAGAGAATAGCGTACAAATTAAGTTTCTAAATTTCAAAAATGAGCTCTTGAAAACTGACTCTTTCAAAGAAAAACCTGTACAGCTAATACAGTGTAGATTATTTTTCAGTGGAAACAAAGACTATACTTTTCTAAGTTACGAATTATCAAAACATACCAAAAGAAAATGAACATGAGAGTAATATCCAGTAATCAGTTTAGGGAACATTTTGAGTGTGTGTTTGCGATATTCCACTTAATAGGAAGCGTCAAAAGTTACAAGTTTTAGAAATTGGATGTTTGGGAATTTAGCATTTTTTGGACTTCTTAAACATTAATTTGGGGCAAGTTCCACATCACACATGACAATTCTAGGGCATGGGGCAGGATATACAAGCCAGTTTCCCATAATGTAAGACAACACTTTCAGTGTTTAGGACTAACATTCATCTTTAGGAATCCTTTATTTTGTGTCAACTGGTCTAAGTTATAACTGTTTTTACTTGCCCACGAAGACTATAAATTTACCTTGGCTATCTTTCCGCGTGATGATCTCCACATCAGAAACTTCTCCAAATCTGCTGAACTGATTTTGTAGGTCAGCCTCAGAAATGTTCTGGCCAAGGCCACCCACATAGAGGCGCTTTATGTCTTTGCTGGCTTTCATGAAAGCTGGGCATACACTCACTGTGGGAAATACAACTTTTTTTTATCTACAGAGAAGAATTATTTATATTAGTTTCTCAAATCTAACAATCTACCGTTTACCCTAAACCATCTATGCATATTAGTCATCTGGTCCTGTGCATCACTTATTATTACATTGCTTCTAGATTTTATTCCTGGAGATTCTGTTCAAACTCTATATCCACATTCTCTATGATCACACTTTGGAACAGCATCTAAACACACATACAGACATAGGTGGCACCAACACAGGCAGATGCTTTCCCTCTGAAGAAACACAATATTATAGAATATATCCTCTCCATTGATTTATCCAAGTTGTTAGGTGTTTTTCCTTTACTGAATACATATATTAATTTATTCACTTTAACAAACGCTGGAAGAAATGAGACGCAGCAGGTAAATATGCGAAAGGGAACAAGGAGTTCTCCATTCTGGAATAGCTCATTGTCACATATAAGAATTAAGCAAACGCTGCAATTACAGTACTTGGTCACAACAGAAGTGTCTCTTAAGTGCTGTTTGGGCACAAAGAGAACAACTTCTATTATAGCTAATACAGTACAGATTAAAAAACACAAAACAACAAAAACCCCAACTGCCTGCGTTATACGTAGTAGTTTGTATGTACCTCCTTTTAGAATAAGGAGAGGATGTCACTTTCCCAACGTCATTCAGAAAATTAGCGGTGAAGAGAGGATTACACACCAGGTCTAATTCCAGAACCTGTAATTTTTAATAGCATGCTACGGAGTTTGTTGGATTAGGAACTAGGAAAACGTTCTCAGATGTATCGACATTTGAGGCTCATCATGAGATCTCTCACCCCATTTAGTACCTAGCGGGCGCTCAGATCTACCTTCCTCTTCCCAAGAGTTGACAGACTCTTCCCACGCGGATTCCCGAAACGGCGCTACAGCGGAAAGCATGGCTAGTGTTCCGGGTGTAAGCCATCACCTCAGCCTCCTGGTCACCTCCCCCGCCCCCAACCGGCCCACACCATTCTTCTTCCTCCGAGAAGAACCATGACCAGGAGGGTTACGGTAGGCCAAACGGTTCACTCATCTCCCAATCCCCTGACCCACTGCTCACCGACTCCTCTGCTCAAACCAGGACTGCCAAAACCATTAACTTCCGGTCACGTGTCCCAAACAGGCACACCTCTTTTCCTTCCTACTGGATCTCCAACCCAGCCTTCTAAGGTTCTGTTACCACATTCAGTTCCGGAGTGCTCTTCCTTTCGTTTCCCAGTCTCTGGGATAGCGTGATGTCCCCGCCACTATGCCTCCAACGTCCCCCAAAGACCCAAATCAAAATTCCTAAATCAAAATGAAGAGCGACAGCGCCTTGTATTCACTGAATCCTAAACTAAATCGGTGAGGGACCGGAAGAAAAATAAAGAGGCGCCCATACACGTGTTCCGGGAACTCTTAATTGACGTCCGCGTCCCGGAATCTCCAAGGCGTCGCCTGGGCAGGGTGGATCATCTCGCCCTCGGCAATTGGGTTGGAGCGAACCGTAGCTCTCGCAGCGTCGGAACTTAGAAAGCCAGCTGTGGCTGCCTGTGCAGGGACAGCGACAAGTTCTGTGCGCTGTGCAAGCGCGGGGTAGGGCCACTGGACCCGGGCGTCTCGGGGTTCCTCCCCCGCCGAGCTCCGGGGATGGTCGGTGCCCGAGCGCGCGCGGCTTGAAGAGCCGGGCGAGGGCGCGAAGTTTGCGGCTTTGGACCAGCTGCGTCTCATGGATCCGGGGCGGGCAGAGCTCCGCGCCCCAGACATCTCTAGTCAGGGCCCCGCCACGGACGCCGGGACGGCTGAACTCTGCGCTCTGGACGCTTCTGGGCAGAGCCGATCCATGGCAGAGCTCCGAGCCCTGGAAGCCGAGATCGCTACCCTGCAGCGGGCGTGCGAGGAGCTGCCGGCGCCCTGGGGAGACGCCCCCCGAGCCAGGTTTGTGAGTCCTCAGGTCGATTGGGCTCCCCCATTGACACCCCGGGGCGTGGACGGGCGGGACTCGCGACGCTTGGGTGACAGTAGGGCCAGGTCCGCGGAAGGCCGAACGTGTTCCTAATTGGGTTGATGACCATCCGGGAAGTTGCGTTCTCTTAAATTCTTTCTTTTGCTGATGGTTACGGAGAAGAAAGTTTTGCTCACGTCATTAGTAATCTGGCCTTTGGTGGGAAGCATTATTTAGCATTTGATACCTGTTGGAATTCACGGTATATATTGTATGGGTTATCTATATGGTGGGTGGTACAAAATTTTCTTAAAAACTAGGTAACAAAGTAACTTGATGTAAAGAAAAAGAGTATCATGAGTAAGGTTAATATGGGAACTGCCACAGTCTTCAGTGGAGGTTAAGTGGAGGAGTCTAGTGAGCTGTAAAGTCAAGTCAAAAGTAGGAACTGTAGTCTCTATAAGTGGAAAGGTTTTACCCCAGCATGATGAAATCAAGATTTTATGCCTTCTAACTTTAGGACAGAGGGGTAATGAGAAGGACTATACAGGGCCCATCACATCCTACAAAGGTTGCAGTTGATTCACAGAATAAGGACCTTTCCAGGTCTTCGGAAGCATCTGATTACTGGGAGAGTAATTAGGGAAGGAGGGTGGAGGAGCAAGTCAAATGCTACAGCCTATCAGAAGCAAACTTTTGAGAAAGAGTTAGATATTGCAGTTTAAGGAAATAACATAGTATCTGATACACTGGTTATAAATTTCAAAAGTTGGAGGCACTCCTTCCACCTTTAACCTGGAGAAAAGGTGTCCTGTATAAAATTTCAAAAGGAATAATTGGCAACTTTCTTTAGGGGCTACTCAGATTCACAGCAGGGTAATAGGCGTACTGTACTCTATCCTATCTCAAGTTTGTCTCTTTACAGACTTTAGAAAGTGTTTAGGAGTGTGATTCACCCTTTAACTTTTCCTGAGGGAAAACACCTTGAGAATTTCTGAGTTACTTCTGAGTTAAAGGAGGAGGCATCATCACTCTAAATAGAAGCAAGGAGTCCAATCTTCAGAATAATTTCCATGGAGTAGTGTTTTAGTTACTTCTAATGACTGCTCTGAGTGGGAGGGGGAAGCTTCCACCCATCCCAGAGTATGCATGTATATCAAGAGATATCAGAAAGTTCCTGGAACACCAGCTGTTATAATAAAACCAACTTGCCAGTCTTCACTAAGCAGTGTCCCACCATTGTACTCCAACAGACATTCCCTTTGTACTCCAACAGACATGTCCTTTGGCAACTGAACAGTTTGCAATTGCTGTCTGAATTATTTGTGAGAGTTCTGGTTCAGCTATGTAGGGCTTCACCCAATTGAGAGTGGTATCTCTTCCATAATGGTTGGTTTGGTGAATATATTTTATCACTTAACCAATAAGATTTTCTGGCAGCAGCAGCCTCCCTTCAGGATATGCTAACAATTTCTTCCTCCTCCCTTGAAGTTACCCATTCTTTTGCCCTCTGGAGGTTGTTATCAATATATCCTGGATGAAGAGTCCAGGTTGAGATTCAGAGAGGATGGATGTTCAGTCACAAGGAGATAAGCTGCTATATTGACTACTTGATTAGTTTTTCTGTTTCCATGGGCAATTTCACAATCTAATTTTTGGTAACATTAGCAGTGCATTATATCCACAGTGTTGGGTAGATTTATACCTTCGGTAAGTTGGCTAATAAAATCCCCATATTTAACCTTTCGGTTATGTGAGGTTAACATTCCTCTTTTCTTCCAAATGGCATCATGTGCACGAACAATTACAATAGCATACTTGGAACCAGTGAATATATTTAATACTCTTCTTCTTGACTAAATTAAAGGGTCACTTGTAAACCAGCCCATCTCTAAGAGCTAGGTTTATTAAGTTTTGTCCTAAAATCTTGCCCTCAAATGGTAGGGGAGCGCTTCAACGCCTGGGTAAGGATCTGCCTTGGTGGCAGTTGTTGTGACACAGACATCTGAAAAGGTGTAATCCTATATGTCTGAATCACATGCAATGCTGTAAACCAATGTTATCTCAAAAAAATAATAACATAAAATAATTTGATATGTCTAGGATATCAAACATTTAGGTTGGAACATTTTAAGCATTCCAACCAATAATAGATACTTTATTTTGCAAAATACAGCTGTTATAATTTATTTTACAGTTGTTTCTAATATGAGAAATATGATAGTATAATTTGGCTGTTTGTTTTATGTTGAGATTAAATAAAGATTGCATTGCCAGTAGTCACACTGGTGTTGAGAAAATTCTTAGGTGGTTTTAATGGAAAGGACAAAATGAGAAAGGTTTTATGGATTATTAGATAAAGCACTTTCAGTGGTTTCTTCATTGGAATAATTATTTCTGATATTTGCTTTTCAGAAAATCATTTAAAGAAATACACCAATCAAATTCTGAAGTATGGGAACCTTCAAAAGATCTGAGAAATTGTGTTGGACATTTAGAATCAGAACTTAAGTTTCTAAGTACACTTACTGGCATCAATATAAAAAATTACTCTAAGAAGACGGAGGAGCTTAAAAGTACTGAGATGGCAGAAAATAGTAAGTGTTAATTTTAATCTGGGAATGGTTTCAAGGCTAAGTATTATACATAGGAATTGGTTGTTGTATAGTTGAATTAAAATTCTGCAGGATAATTATTTGAAAATATGCTTGTGGTAAATATGCTTGTTTAGTCGGGTGTTTTTTGAGCATAACAGTATGCAAATATACTCTTATTTTTATTTATTTAGTTTTTAAATTGAGTAACTAAATACTCAAGTAACAGAGATACGTGATTATAAAGAACACCACCACAATCAGTTTTTAAATATTAGGAGTTGTTTGCACTGACAGAAAAGCTGTCTCAGCTGCATTGCTCTACTCCTAATGAACAATGTGGCCTATTGCCCAGATCAGTTTCAGCCACTGGGTCATTGGCTCGAAGGATGGTTTCTGGTCCCAGTGACTAAGGTTTATTGCCAAGGATCTCTAATGCATGGACAGATAAGGGGAAGGTAATTCATCAGTGCAGTTGGATACCAGGAACATTGTTGGGACAAGAGTAGCATTCCCTAAAAGGAGAATCACTTTTAGATATGGCTTTCTGGTGTTTGCACAGAAATAACTTTCATGACAGAAGAGAAGAAGAGTGACCCTCAATGGGCCTTAGACAGTGCACCACAGTTTGTATTACATATAGAAAGGGGTGATGGAATTTTCAGTTACTTGGTAGGAAGAGATTGAGTACAGAGAAGATGGAGGTTGAGGATAGGCTAGTTTAAAGAAGTTTTTGGTTGTCTTCCTATTTTGAGCTTCAAGTTCACCCCCTCTCTACAGGTATTGGTGCCACCAATTCAAAATGCCTTTTTGGTATTCTACTATGTAAGTGGGCCAAATTCTGAATTTCCCCCTTTGCTGGCTTAGGTTTCAGTGATTTCCTGGGTTTTCCAGGTCACCTTCATTTGTTCATATGCTATCTAGCTCATCCATCTGATTTCCATTTTCCAAGATTGGATTACTCTCATTTTTCTTCTCTTTTATCTTTGTAGAATTGTACCCTTCTAAAAATACCTTCATAGCAGAATGAGGTGGTAGTAAAATCAAAATAGTAGTTATATCTTGCGGTATTGTGTATAGCTTGGGAAAGGGTATAAAGAAACCATAAGGAATACTATAAAATTTCTGTATTTTCTTTTGGGTGGTGGTTATATAAGAAGCACATATGTGAAATAATATTGAGCCATATAGTTAAGATAGGGCATTTTATGCATTTAAGTATATTCATGTTATACCTAAAAAATAACCTTTAATTATCTTTTTTAACTTAGGATATTTTTACTTCTGACTTTTATCTTTGGTATAATTGACAACTATAAAATATAAAATGTCTTTAATCCTCAAAAATAATCAGTTTGGTGAACATTCTTTTAGATATTTTCATTGCTAACATATACTCTCACACTTATGCCCACATATATTATAGTCACATAAAATTAAATAATAGCTATTTAAGGAAAATTTTAATTTGTAAATAAAGGTTTGTTTTTTTGATTTACAGGTGTAAAGAAAGTTCTTCAGAGACATAGATTATCAGGAAATTTTCACATGATTACATTTCAACTTGAATTTCAGACTCTGGAAATGCAGGTAAATTAGGGAGGATCCTGTGATAACAGAGACTGTTGCTGTGAAATAAAATCCCACTTCCCAACCTCCAGCAGCGACAGAACTAAGGAGGAGTTTGTGAGCCAGGACCCTCTGGTAACACATCTGTACAAAGTTGTGCCATTAAAAAATTATTTTAAGGTGTATGTACCCTGGCAACTGTGCTGTAGACAGGACAACCGATGAAGTTCTCTGCCATTACGAAGACTTGGAGTCTAAATGAATTTGCAATAGGGGGAGGCTGGGAAGAGTGCCATCAAGAGCAGTTCTGCCTTTCACTCTCCCAGCCAAAGCTTTTATTTCAGATATGAACGGAGGAGCAAGAAAATAACACGCAATTGTGCTTTTGCTTATACAGATTGATAAGTTATTGCTGAAAACAAGCTTTTCTAGTTAGTAGGGAACATATGCACAAGCCAGTATGTCCTCAAACAACAGGAATCAATTCTGGGAAGAAGTTCTGTTTGCAGAATTTCTAATGTCCTGGAACTCCACATGCAGAGTAAACAGGTATTCTGCAACAACTCTAGCTCCCTTTAGGGCAGCAGGCTCCCCACACAACTGCATATGGTAGCGTTGTTGCTGAGTGAACAGGCGTTTTATTATTGAAGGACCCCTGGCTTCTAGTACAAGTCCCAAGGTCATAGGAATATCCAAGGCAGTCATCCGATATGCCAGGCATCTAATATTTATTAGTTATCTATCACTGTTTCACAAATTTTTCTAAAACTTAATTACTTAAAATGACCAAAAGCATTTTATCTCACTCATTTTTTCATTGGCGCAGAATATGGGACCTGCTTGGTTAGGTGTTCTTGCTCACAGCTTCTCCTGAGGTTGTGGTCATTTGGGATCACACCTGAATAAATTAGAATTAGTTGAGCTACACATGACAAGAAAACTTAAAAGGTAATTTAAAGTACTAGTTTATTTCTCTGTTGCTTAAACAGAATTTTAGTTTTCAAGGGCTAGGTCAGTGACTCCATGACCATTAAGCTCTGCCATTACAGTGTGGCTTCTACCTCATCATCCTGTTACCATGTCAGCATTCCATGGGACAGGAAGGGAGATGGGCAAATAGGGCTTAACTTTTCCTTTGAAGGACACTTTCTAGAAGTTGTAATAGCTATCATTTTCAGTTAATGTTCTATTAGCCAATAAGTTAGTGTATGGGAAAGTTTGGTCTTCCTTACATGGCCATGCAACCAGTGAAAAATTGGGGCAAGAAAAAAATACAAGTTTTGGGAAATACCAGCAGTTTCTGTCCCATATGCTAGAAGGAATTCAGAAAACAAACAAACAAAAAAACCCTAAGGAGCGAAAGATATAAAACAGTAATTGCTGAATCTCTGAAGAGGCGTAAGTTGACGTTCACATTTCAAAGTAGGTAGGTATTTTTTTAATTTCGGAGTTTTAATTAATTTCCTACAGAATGAGCATGTTATCCCTGGCTATGTTTAGAACAATCATTTCCTCTCTGCACTTTTCCAATTTTATGATTCTTCTTCAGAGTAGATGGGTAAGCAAGATTAGAAGCAATTTCAAATAACTAAAATTAGTGAGATTTCAGGGAAATTATGTATGTGGGACTCAGTCTTTCTTAGAGAAGAAAAGAATAAAGGACTACCTCATTTTTTTTGTTGTTGTTTAGCATTCTGATATATTAGTGTATTGAGAATTTAAAAGAAATTATTTAATGGTAAATCTTTACATATTCTAGGCCTACTTGTATGACTATATATTTAGAAATATATCTTTGGTAGAATTTCTGGGTCAGTTCTTATTGCTAGTAAATTCTGAATTTCTTTCTAAAATGGCTTTGCCATTTTATATGTTGAATAGATTTTTATAGTTGACTGATAGGAAAAAACAATATTGAATTCATGGCAACCTTCAGTGTTCTAAAACACATTTTTAAAAACAAAATTTCCACTAGAGGGAGATGTTTAGCTATCAGAAAATTTAAAAGTAACCTAAAGAATAAAACTATCTTACAAGATAGATTGTTTTAATTAAGTCGGAATAATACAATGTTAGAATCAAAGTGACCTAATCAATAGAATGTTGGAACCAAAAGTGATATTATAGTTTATCTAGGTTAACCTTCATTATTTTACAGGGAAATATAACAGGAGAATTGCAATGATTTCTCATGTGGGTATAGCTACTTTAAGAGGTAGGCAGACTATACAGCTCTGTTCCCCAGATTTACTGTGTTATTGTTAGTACTGCACTGTTTGTTTTTGCACAAGCATCAGAATTAACATATACTAGCATTCATAGTTCTTGCAGCATAATAAATCAGATAGATGGGAGATTTTTTATAAAGTGACAGATTAAATATGTTTACCTAACTTCTCCCCCGAAACCCAATGAAATGAACTAATCAATTTAGAAATTGGGAATTGTCTTCCCAGAATATATTCTGTATCACAGGCGCAAAAAAAGTACCTGTATTGAGCTATAATTAACATACCATATAATTCATCCATTTGACATGTCTGTTCAATGATTTTTAATATATTCACGCTTATACAGCCATCACTACATCAATTTCAGGACATTTTCATCACCTTATAAAGAAATTCCAAACTCTTTGCACCCCTCAGACTCCTTCTGCTCATACCTGTGCCAACAGTTAACCTTTTGTCTATGGCTATACCTATTCTGGATACTTCATGTAAATGAAATCATATGTGATCTTTTTTATTTGATCTATTTTAGATATTAACTCTCTTTTTGATCATTTCTTTTACTTAGATAATGTTTTCAAGGTTCTTTTATGTTATAGTATGTATCTATACTTCATTCTTATTTTGCCTGAATAATAGCACATTGTATGCTCTGACATATAATTGTTTTTCTTTATTCTAGAATAAGGAGAGTTTATCTTCTGTTATTACTGACCTCAACATAATAATGGAACCTACTGAATATTCAGAATTAAGTGAATTTGTGTCTAGGTAAGCTATTTTATAAGTCAGTTTTCTTAGGAGAGGTTTTCGCTCTAAGTTTTACGTTTATTTTTTCTTCTTCTTGATAAGTGGCTTTATTGTGGCTTATATTTAGGCATATGTTTTCCCTATCATTCATTCTGTGGACATTTAATACGCCATGTACATTAAAATGAATATGTGTGCAAAAACAAAGTTATTCCTTGATATGTACAGATTTTTTAGCCTAATGGCAAAGTCAGATATTAAATAATTACAGAAGGAAATAAGAACTGTAGCTGTTAAATACTACCAAGAAGAATTACATAAAGTGTCATCTGAAAACTGAGTAGGCATAACTGGTGCATAGGTTCTGTGCTAGGATGGAGCATGGCATCTCTGAGCAACTGCAAGGGGATGAGAATGTTTTGAGGAGGGTGAGAGCACGGGCTATAGTATGAGATAAGACTGACAAGTGTGTAAGGTCCATACCACGTAGAGTTAAGTCATAGACTTAACATCCAGTGTGAAACTATTAAAAATTTTTAAGCAGAATCTAAGGACAACAGAAGTATAACATCCTATTAAGAATTATTTTGGATGCTGTAAGGAGAATGAATTGAGGGGATATAGTAGATACAGGAGTATCAGTACCTGCCTATTAAAACAGTTCAGGCAAGAAAAGTGTGCAGTATATTCTAGAATAATGGTATTTGAGATAAAGAAAGATGGATGAATTTGGGGGATATTTAGGAAGCACAATTGTAAGAACATGTGTTTATTGAATAAGAGAAAGTCTGGAGCCATTAATAGGAAATAACTCTTTGATGATGGTGATTGCATTTGTTGAGATAGGATATGTTGTAATAGAACCATGTCAGGTTAGATTGTGACTTCAGTTTGTGCATGATGAATGTGAGTGTCTGTGAAATAATGGAGTGAAAATATAAAGTAGGCAGCTCAAAAGAGGTATAGGTAAGTGTATCTACCAGTGGGTAGAAGTTAAAGCGTTGAGCAGAGGTGAAATAGCCTATGGAGAGAATACAGAGTGAAAATAGAAAAAGAACTGGAACTAAACCTTGACTTTCTAAAATGTACTGACTGAATATAAAGGAAGGATCCTCCAAAGGGATTCTGAAAGGAACTATTTAGGAAGTGGGAAGAAAACCAGCAATGCGTTGTTGACCATTGACAACTGGGTTGACTGTTTCCTTTCACATCCTAAAAGATATCCTTGCAATATCTTCTGGGTTGCACTGGTTGTGACAAGACGTCTGTAATTAGTGGGTTTATTTTTCTAGGGTGTATTTGTGTGGAAATTTCTAACTATATCTTTTCAAATACCATGTCTATCCTGTTCTCTATTTTTCTGTAACTCTACATACATGTTAGAACATGTCATATATTGTCTCAAATGTTTGGAATCTCTGTTTCTTTCACTCTTTTTGTTGTTGTTTATTTGCACTTCAATTTGAATATCTTCTGTTATCCTATCTTCAAATTAATAAATTATTTCCTTAGCTTCAGTCTAGCCAGTGAGGCTTTTGAAGGAATTCTCTAATGTACTGTCCTTTAATTCTAGAATTTTCATTTGATTCTTAATTTCTCTCTGCTGAAATTTCCTATTTGTTTATGCATGTTATCTAATTTTTCACTGTATATTTTAATAATTGTAGTTATTTCAATAATAACCATAGCTTTTTTTCTTTAATGTTTCATTATGGGAAATTTCAAATATGTAAAAATAATAGTATAATTCATTGGCAATTACCCATTGGGCCCCTTCAACAGTTATCAACATTTTGCCAATTTTATGTCATTTATTACACTCACTTATTTGTAAACTTTTTATTTTGAAATAGTTACAGGTTCACAGGAAGTTTAAATAAAAACCAATATACAAGGAGATTCCATACGACAGTGGAATTATCTTGTGTAATTATAATATACTGTCAAAACCAGAAAATTGACATTAGTATAATTGTTCTTTCACATTTTACCAGTTTTAGAAGCACTTATGTGTGTGTTCTGTGTAATTTAATTTCCTATGTAACTTCATGAAACCACCATCACATTAAATATATAAAATTATTTCATATTCTTTTGTACTAGCTCTTTTTTCCTCCAATTTTTTTATTGTAGGAAAAATATTGAATCATCTTTGAATCTGATTCTTTTTATTAGTTTTTTCCCTCTTTAATTTTTATGTCTCAATTTTTTATTGATTGCTCCTTTGCTCATTTTTAAATTGAATTGTTTGTTTTTCTTTGCTATAGAGTTGTATGTGTCCATATATTTTATTTATTTTTTTAAAAATTTTTATTAGCATTTATTTGTTATAGAATAATTATTTTAAGATAGATTTATTTATACAAGAACTGGGGTATAGACAAGAGGTGTGGGAGGGTGAGAGAATTCACCAGAGACAGAGCAGAGAGCAGAACAGGCAGGCGGACCGAAGACACTGCTGAGGGGAGCAGTGGACATGACAGGAGAGGTCTGCCATGCCATGTGGGTAACTCCCTGGCTGGCTGGGAATCTAACCCACGCTGCAGAGGCTGCGGGCAGCTTCACAGCACGGTGCTCAACCAGGGAGGCCCTCTTCATATATTTTAGATATTAACTATGTTAGATACATGATTTGCAAATATTTTGCCCCATTCAGCAGGTTCCAGGATATTTTCTTTTCCTTTACTTTTCAGTGGTTAGATTATCATGAGTTTAGGCATGGCTTTCTTTGAGTTTATCCTTTCTGAGGTTCTTGAATTTAGATTTACATCTTTTATAGCAAATTTGGTGTACTTTGTCATTATTTCTTCAAGTATTTTTCTCACTCACTGCGGTTTCTGTTTCTGGGTCTCTGTACGCCAACTTCTTTGCTCAGCATAATGCCTTTGCGATTCATCCATCTTTTCATTTCTGAGTAGTAGTCCGTTGTTGGATACTAGTTTAGCCATTCATCTATTGGAGGACATTAAGCTTATTTCCAGTTTTTGGTGATTATGAATAGAGGCATTGTACACATTCATTTAGATTTTTTGTGTGAACATAAGCTTTCCTTTCTCTAGGGTAAATAATGACAAGTAAGCTTGTTGGGTCATAGAATAAGGTTATGCGTAAATTTATAATAAACGCCTCAGCTGTTTACCAGATTGACCATACCATTTTGCATTTTTACTGGCAATAGATGAAAGTGACTGATAACACTTTAATGAGTTGAGATGATATTCACCTGTTTTTTCTTTCCTAATATTATGAGGAATTAATTTTTTGAAGTTTAGAATTTTTGTTCTAAATTTTTCTTTGTTTTACTTACCCTTGAAAAAGAGACATTTGGAGTTATTTTACTAGTTGGAGTTTGCTAGTTGAAGTTGAAACGTGTTACTGCCAACATTTTATGAAACAAATCTATAACATCTGTTTTACATTTAGTGAAGTTTGGACTTTCCTGGGGAAAAATAGATAAATAACAATCACTCTTACTTCTGTAAGAATCAAAATATACACACAATTTCTTTCCATAGTGGAAAACTATATATATACTATAATAGAGTACCCTTTATGGAGATGCAAATGGAATGAAGGAATTGTGACTTACTGCACTTTCAAAGTTGTTTTTAACAAATGTGCATAACAGAACCATCTTTTACTCTGAGGGTTTATAAAGTATATATATTGTGTTTAAAGTTGGCTGTTGCAGTTTTTAAGATTTTTTTCTTGACTTACTTTCTCATATGAGGTTGAGAGCTTATTTTCTTCTCCCTTGGATCATGGAGATTAAAATATCATGTCATGTTAACCCATAGGTTTTAAATAAATAACTGCTTTTCTTTATAGGCCCATAATTTTGGAGAGTAATTTGTTCTCTCAGGAATTAAAAAAATATATGTCATATATATCAGAGTAAATTTTAACACTTAATCTCTACCACTCCATGCAAAACAGATGCTTTTTAGGAAAATGCCTTCAGACCCTCTGCTTATTTTTAAATTGGATTGTTTGTTTTTCTTTGCTAAAGAGTTGTATGTGTTCCTCATAGATTTTGGGTATTAACCTCTATAAGATATATGATTTGCAAATATTTTGTCCCGTTCAGTAGGTTCCTCTTTATTTTGTTGATGTTTTCCATTGCTATGCAGAAGCATTTTTGTTCGATGTAGTCCCATGTACCATGTTTATTTTTGCTTTTGTACCCTTAGCTTTTGGTGTCAAATCCATGCTTTGTTGTCATTACCAAGACCAATGTCCTCTTCTCATCTGGCATAACCTCTGCTGGCTAGAGAGAACAATATTTTCCAATGCCTTTTGTTTTTTTTAATTCTACTCTTTGACAGTTTTGCATTGCAATCTGCTCTAGCATTCATATTAGAAAATATAAGAGGCAAAAGTAAACCCAGGAGAACTTGTCACAGGTCCTCCCTGAATTCCTAAAGTACCCATTCTCCTTTCTTCTATGTTCAGAGTCTTCCAATATTTGATTTATATATTATATCCTTGGTTCTAAGTTATATTTATGTGAGCATACAGATGGATTGTGCTTAATTACTCCATCATGACTAGAATGGAAACTCAGTTCCCACAACCCTTTGCTGAATGAATGATTAGATGAATATGTGTGGCTTGTCTGCAAGTTGCTCCTAAGTGTTTGTGTGTGTCAGTATAATAATAGATACACTATTGAGAGTATTAAATAAATTCCTATGGCAGTACATAGGAGTGCAATTGTGTCTTGCTGTTTGGGAATAGGATATATGGTGTGGTGATAAGGTCATTGTTCTGACAATAATTCTCTGAGTGTCCTATAATTCAATTCAATCCTAATACTAACTTCCTGGACTTAGTGCATACCCCACAGTTTCAATGCAAAGTCGTCCAAAAGGGTGCCCCCACTGTAGTTGCAACCACAAGTCTCAGGGACCATATGTAACTTCCACCTTACTGCCTATAAATTTAGTGGTTGTCATGACTCCCTTATAGTCAATAATTTTCCAGAAGGATTCAGAGAACTAATTGAAAGTGCTATACCAAAAATTACAGTTTTATTTAAAAAGTTGCAACCCAGAAACAGCCAAATGGAAGCAGTGTGTAAGACAAGTTGGGATGGAGTTGTTGGGCATTAATAAAGATTTTCTGTGCCCTCTCCTTGTGGATGTGAGAACATCAGCTTTCCAGCACATCAGTGTGTTTAGGTAGTTCCACTAAGCTTTATTGTCCAGCGTATTTGTTGGAGTTTCATTACATAGTCATCCTTGATTACATAATTGGCTGTGTCAATGAACTCAATCTCCAACACCCTTCTCCCTGGAAGTCTTAAGGTCCAAACCTTTAATCATGTGACTGGTCCTGAAGCTATCCAGGGGCCACTCTTAAGTCACCTCCTTAGCATAACAAAGATTCTCTTGGCACTCAGAAATTCCGACAGTTTTTTAAATTCTGTGCAAGAAACTAGAAAAAAACTAGGTACATTGTTTATTACCACAGTAATCACAGAAGATTTCAAGGAGAATGTGGTATTTAAGTGATATATGAAATAATGGATAGGATTTAAACATTTGAGGGGTCTCCCTTGTGGCGCAAGTGGTTAAGACACAACCTATGAAGCTGTCGGCAGCCTCTGCAGCATGAGTTCGATCCCCAGCTGGCCAGGGAGCAACCTACATAGCGCAGCAGACCTCTCCTGACTGCCCGCTGCTCCCCTCAGCAGTATACTACGGTTAATCTGCCTGTTCTGTTCCACATTCTGTCTCTGGTGAATCCTCTCACCCCCCACACCTCTGGCCTGTACCCCAGCTCTTGTATGTATAAATAAATAAATCTTTAAAAAAAAAAAAATAAACATTTGATGATGGGGAAAGGGAGATTCTATGTTGAGAAAGTAGCTTTAGCATTCACACAGGACCACATACACAACAGTGCAGGCAGGGTTCAGTATATGGAAATAAATACTTTTTGTAGCTTTAGTGTATAAATATAAAGAGCAATGATAAGAAATAAAACCAGGTTGGAGGGCCTCCCCGGTGGCGCAGCGGTTGAGCGCTGGGTTACGAAGCTGCCCACGGCCTCTGCGGCGCCGGTTCGATCCCCGCTGCTCCCCGGCCACCGGAGGAGGGTCCCACATGGCGCACAGACCTCTCCTGCCGCCCGCTGCTACCCTCAGCAGTGTACTTTGGTCCTTCTGCCTGCTCTGCTCCCCGCTCTGGCTCTGGTGAATTCTCTCACCCTCCCGTGCTTCTGACTGTACCCAGTGCATGTATAAACAAAAACAAACAAACAAACAAATAAATAAATAAATGAATAAAATACGTGCCTCTTTAAAAAAAAAAAAAAAACAAAACCAGGTTGGAATTCTCATTTAATGTTGTTTATTAATCATAGAATTTTTTCTCCTTCAGAACAGAGGAAAGGAGAGATCTCTTCATGTTTTTTCGAAGTCTGCACTTTTTTGTGGAGTGGTGTGAATATCGTAAGCGCACATTTAAACATTTCAAGGTACTGTCTAAATTTTTTAAATGTAAACATATATGAAAAATGAAACTGATGTCAGTTTGGAGATTTAACATACATTCTTTCCCTAAAGCTTTCAAACAATACAAAATATTTTCACTGTCTTCTAGAATTTGCCGTACTTGAAACGAGAAATGGTTCTGTATAATTATTGAATCAATTATAGTATGATTTGTTGTCCAAGAAATGTAGGTATATTCTTACTTATTTTGAAAAATTGATCTATCAAGATACTGATCTACTTCAAGTAGAAAATGACAAATGCTAAGAATATTATCGTAGCAGACTTACCAGATAGCAGTTTTGTCTTTATTGCTTGAGTCAGTGTCTTTAGAACTTCTCAATTGTTATATATGTCAAGTTTAATATTGAAGCCTGATTTTTATGAAGTAACACTTCTTAAGATATACATATATTCTAAGGTTTCTTTTTGCTCCCTTTTTTTGTTTTCTGGAATGGCTGAAATTATGCTTGCCTGAATGGTAATTCCCTAGGCCTTGCTTAGTTGAGTAGCATCAAACTATAAGAGATATTAGAGATCCACAAAAAAATTTCTGAGTTAACATAAATAGTATTAAAGGTTCAGGTTCCCTCAGAAGCCTGTCTGGTTAATGACTGTTGCCTTTGGGGACTGGTACAAACTCACCTATAGTTTTTGCAATTTTTATTAATTTATTATAGGCATCTATTTAGTTGAACTAATAAAATCTGTCAGGTATAGGATTTTCTTTAGAAAGGAACATGATGGTAACTGTACCTGTACTGCAGTACCTTGAGTAATCCTTATGATTGTTTTTTATTTGTAGTTGCACCAGAACAATTAAATAGCTCTTCTTCACAATTGGTAAAATACAGTGATGGCAGTATGGCAGTTATGGTAATGAATCACCTAGTATGGCCATTTCCTTATATATTTGAATGGCTTTTGGGAAATGTGAGTGCTAATCTCCATTTTCAAAAACAGTTTGCCTCTAAATGCTTCAAGGCAAGTGTAGAAGTATAATTGGTGTAGTTTTCCTATCTAGGATAGATCTTTCCTATGAATTGATCTATTCTCATGATGAGGTTACTGGAATGAAAAAAAGAGTTACATTATTGTGCAACCATCACCAATATTCATCTCCACAACTTTTCCATCATTCTAAACTGAAACTCTGTACCCATAAAAACTAGCTTGCCATTCCCTTCTCCCCCCGCAGCTGCTGGGAACAACCATTCTATTTTTCTGTTTCTATGAATTTGACTACACTCTTGGATCTCATTTAAGTGGAATCATACAGTGTTTGTACTTTTTTGCTTGCTTATTCCACTTAGCATAATATCCTTAAGCTTTATGCATGTTGTAGCATGTAACAGAATTTCTTTCATTTTTACAACTATTTAATATCCCACTGCATGTATTTAACACAATTTGTTCATTCATCTGTTGATGAACATTTGGCTTGTTTTTCACCTTTTGGTTATTGTGAATGATGCTTCTGTGAACATTGGTGTACAAATATTATTTGAGTTCCCATTTTTAGTTATTTTAAGTGTATGCCTATAAGTGGATTTATTGTATTATATGGTCATTCTGTGTTTAATTTTTTAAGAACTGCATATTCTTATATTCTGAAGTCTGGTTTATCTGCTTTTTCTTTTGTTGCCTGTGCTTTCGATATCTTATCTAAGAACTGGTTGCCAAATTCAATGTCATAAATATTTTTCATTTTTTTCTTAGGGGTTTTATAGTGCAGCTCTTAAGTGTTTAATCCAGTTTGAGCTAATTTTTGTATACATTGTGAGGTCCAACTTCATTATTTTGCATGTATATATTCCAGTTTTCTCAGCACTATTTGTTGTTGAGACTGTCCTTTCCTTGTTGAGTGTTTTTGGCATCTATGTTCAAAATCATTTGGCCACATATATGATGGTTTATTTCTGGCTTCACTATCCTATTGGTCAGTATGTTTGTCTTTATGCCATTGCTGTATTTTTGAATGCTGTAGTTTTGTGTAATAAGTTTTGAAATGAGTGAGTCCTCTGATTTTTTTTCTTTTCAAGTTTGTTTTGGCTATTTGGAGTCCTTTTATATTCCACATGAATTTTAAGATGGGCTTTTCTATTTCTTCAGAAAATATCTTTGGGGCTTGGATAGGAATTTTACTCGAATCCGTAGATTATCTTGTGTAGTACTGTAATCTTAACTACCAGTGTTCATTCTCTTTTAATTATTATTTTATCTAAATCATTGACTTTAAAATTTTCCCAAATTTGACAGTTATTTTTTGGTGTTTTTTCTCTTTAATTATATAAAAATCATAGGACTGCAGTATTCTTTTAACATCTAGAAATGTAGAAGTCTCTGATCATTCTCCCCAGTGTTGGTCTCTATTTACTCAGCTTTCCTTTATCAAGTTTATTTTCCATGTGAAGTTATGGTTTATTTCCATCGATTTATTCAAGATTGTATAGCTAAAAATTCTATTTTTCTAAATAAAACAGAGCCCTTCTGTTTAAGTGGATTTTATTTTACACTATTTATTGTATATTCAATTCAAATGTGCTCAGTATTATATTAGGCACTTTGAAAGTATAAAGGGAGTATTGAATGTGTTCATAGTGCTCTATGAGCTGTCAGTTACAGAGAAAGGGGGCATGCACACAAAATCATGAGAAAGCCATATAATAGTTTGGATTATCAATTATCAAAATAAAGTAAGTAAATGAGTTAACAAGAGTTATAGAGATAATTATTGTGACCTTAAGATCACAGATGTTTTAATGAAAAAGTTTCATCATGGGGTCAACCTTGACAAAAGGGAGGAAGTTTGAAAAACAAACAGGAACATGCTAGGGAGGAGAAAAAAACAGAAGCAAATGCTTAAAATTTGATTAAGTACCTCTCTGGGAATAGTATACAAAGACCAACTTGATTCTGACCAATATGATTGCAGTTTATTTTGGAAACAATGTTGGTAATTTTATTAACACATTCCATCTCATGTTTCTAAAGCACTAACAGTTTTCCATGTAACCCCAAAACAATGTGGAAACAGAGATTTCTGAGTGGGGTTCATACAAAAAGAAAGTTATTTTAGGAACTTTAATCTGGTAGCATCATGTCATCAGAAATCATCACTAGTAGACTGGTCATGAATTTTCACTATTGAATATATAGTTTGTATGAAAATAGAGATGTGTAGGGGTGCAAAACACCACAGAATTAGCTTGGTTTTCATTCCTTAGATGCTGACAAATTGATTAAAGAACTTCTCACTCTTATACTGTAAAATGAAATTATTTTGCAGTATGTATCATATTTGAAATCTTTTACAATAGAGAACTTTATGGCTGTTTTGTGGGAAATGCGATGAACCTTCAATTTTTCTTATAAGCATACTGACTTTGGTCTACTTGGCTTCTTAAAATGTTTTATGGTAGACTTAGGGTGTTAATATTTAGATAAGGGAAATTTATTACTATTTTACTGAAGCCTTTGACCGTGTGACTTTGTAGCAGAATAACTTTGAACATTACCATATTATCTCTCCATCAGTGAGTAAAATTATGATTTATTTGGAAACTTGTCTAGGTATAAATCTTGTTCTGTTTCTCAGGCTAAGTCAAAATATAATAGCTGCCTTAATAGAAACAAAGTTCCTACTTCATTACGAATAATGCATGAATCATAAGAGAAAAATGGGAGATCACTGGAAATATTTAGCCTTTCAAAGTTTTTGGAACATCTGTCTTAGATGCTTTCGGGACTCAGTAAAGGCCAAGGAAAGACTAACAGTTGAAAGTTTCTTGGACTTATACTCTCACATCATTAGTAATGGAAATAATGCTTCTTAAATTTGGATATTTATATAAGAACATAATGGCACTCCAGTATAAACTACCAGGGTTTTGTAATGCTGTTTAAGTATTTTCACATTAGTTTGTTTGGAACTTATAGATTCAGTCTTACTTTTTACTTGTTAGAAGTACTTGTTACATTTTTGAACATCCTTGCTTAAACCATAAAATTCCTTCATAATGGAATACAAAGTTAATATTAAAGAAATATTTGTTCTCCTTTAGACATTGTTGGACAGATTATAAGTATGTGTGCACTTTAGTTTATATACTGTGTTGAAAGTGATTAAAAGTATGACCCTACGGGCAATCTTTTTAAGCAAATAAAACTGTTGGGATGCTTTCCGAGGACGATGGGGTTGCCCTCCAAGCGTATCTCTTCAATGCGGTCCCGAATGTAACGGGTGTCATTAGCCTTGCAGAATGTATCATCTGTAATTGAAGTTATGTTGTTAAACTGGAAAATAAAAGGAAAAAGTTGTTCAGACATCTAAAATTAACGTTTTGTATGCTATATAATGGGATCTCACAGGATCATTTATATAAAAAGTGACTTTAATATTGCTTATAGTATGTATTCTCATGGTAATAAAACTCTATATAAAATCTAAGCCCCTCTCCCCTTAAGGCTACAGTGTTATTTTGAAAGAACAGACTACTTGCTATTTTTCAGAGTAATATCCATGTATAAGAATGTTCTGAGGGCCTCCTTGGTGGCGCAGGAGTTAAAGATAGTGTTATTGCCAGCCATTGTGGCAGGAGTTCAATCCCAGGCAGGCCGGCCAGGGAGCTGACCCACATAGTGCAGCAGACCTCTCCTGTCTCACCTACTGCTCCCCTCAGCAGTGTATTTCAGTAGATCTGCATGTACTGCTCCCTACTCTGTCTCTGGTGAATCTTCTCACCCCCACACCTCTGGCTTACACCCTAGTTCTTGTATGCATAAATAAATCTTTTTAAAAAATGGTCATTATAATATTTAAAATAAAAAGTTCTGAGTATAAATAAAATTACACTGGTTGGAAAAAGTATCCAATTCTTGAGTATCACTCAAAATGGGTGCTATGTTCTTAAATATTCTTTTTTTTTTTAAAGATTTTTTATTTATTTATACAAGCACTGGGTACAGTCAGAAGCGTGGGAGGGTGAGAGAATTCACCAGAGCCAGAGGGGAGAGCAGAACAGGCAGAAGGACCTAAGTACACTGCTGAGGGGAGCAGCGGGCGGCAGGAGAGGTCTGCGCGCCATGGTGGGACCCTCGCCTGTAGGCCGGGGATTGAACCAGCGCTGCGGAGGCTGCAGGCAGCTTCGAAACCCAGCGCTCAACCACTGCACCACCGGGGAGGCCCAAATACTCTTTACAGAAGTAAAAAGAACACTTGAAATTCTTATTATGCTGAAAAACCAATTTTAGTTTATTTTCATGCCCTCTTCACTTTTCTGTTACCTCAAGTTGATGTTGGACAAAAATGTCGGTGGAAAAATACTTTCCACTGCAAATGTTTATAGCTATTTAAAGAGACATAGACCAGAGGTCTTAGTGTTCCCTGATGTCAAATACACATGTCAGGTTAATGAGGAGATGCTCTGTGCACACCGAAGACAAACCCCACCTCAGTATTGCTAATCTGGACAGAGCCTGGCCTCCTGAACAGGAGAGTGCATTGGGCAAATAGCAACACTTTTAATCAGCATTTGACCATCACACTACCCCAGAGATCTGAATAATGAGTTTCCTAGTAAGTCATAAGATTAACCCACAGGCAACTTAAAATTAGATATTGTGAAAGGAGCAGTCATACCTGGAGATGAATTATACGTAGGCTTTCTGGTAAATTAAGAGGCACAGATTCCAAGGCATTGTGGTCCAAATAGAGGAAGGAGAGGTTATTCAATTGCTGTAAGGAAAAAGGACTTTAGCTTGAATGTTACTGAGGTCGGTACATTTCTTCATAGGTTTCAAGCTATATGTACACACACACACATATATATATATAAATGTATACTTACTTAGAGATTGAGAAGAATGTATATCAACACTATCATCAATATAGTAGTTTTGGTTACCAGGGTTTCACAAATAGTATGATGCTTTGTTCCTTTATAAAGGGCAAGTAGACCTTTACTACATCCCACATTTCTGTCTACTCCTCTATCCTCAACCCTTGTGTCAACTTCTGGGCTCTTTGAACTTGTCTGGAGATTGCTAAGGAGGTTAATCCCCAGGCTGGATTGGATCCTAGTGCCATCATAACCTCTTAGAAATTTCTAGAACTTCCTGTTTCGACTCTACCAATTTTTAGAAAAATAAGTAATCCTCAGATATTTTTACATTTAATGTAAATGTATATTTACATTTACATTTAAGATATGTAAATGATTGTTAATAAGATGTTTCCCAAAGCAAGTTACTAAATACTTAGGATATTTTCCTAAGAGCTCTGTGTTGGATTACTATTCATTATCAGTAACCCATTATTGTATAATTTTGTAATATTGTAAGCTGTCATTTCCCCTGATAGTAATCTTTTACCTTACTTTTGATATGCATCCTGTGACAGGTTGTGCTAATTTTGGTTTTTCAATAGTTGCTTTCCTGTTATTTTAATCCTTTCTTCAGCATCCTGCCATCTGCCATATGGAAACCAAATTTTTGCTTTCCCTGTTTGAGTTACACACCACTGTTCCCCTCTGGGACCCTTTCACATGGGTTAGAATAGCCTGATTATACCAGTGCCTGTGACAGTCTAGGGTACTAAGCAAAACTACAAAGTTGCTGGGTTTATCATTTCCATGCCAACTAGCCATGAATCCCTTCTGTAATACATGTGTCAAATCCAAAATAATCAAACTTTACTTTTGTGAAATGTTGATCCTCAGGTCTTTAAGGTACCAGTTTCTCAAAGGCTTACCAATTTGAATTATATATCTTCAAATTACAAGGGCTTTTTGTTTGTTTTTAAAATGAGTCCAGTTTTAAAGTCTCCTGGGTGTTTCTTAACTTCTGGTGTGTCCTTAAAATGCCCCATTATGTTGAAAAAGGATTCCTTAAATTTAAGCAAAAAAATTGGGCCTCACGGTGGTGCAAGGGGTTAAGCACAGCACTATGAAGCTATCTGAAGCCTCTGCAACCCGAGTTCGATCCCCAGCCAGTCAGGGATTTACCCACATGGCGCAGCAGACTCTCCTGTCTCGCCCACTGCTCCCCTTAGCAGTGTGTTTCAGCCAGTCTGCCTGTTCTGTTCCTTACTCTGTCTCTGGTGAATCTTCTCACCCCTCCCCGCGCTCCTCTGTCCTGTACCCCAGTTCTTGTATGCATAAATAAATAAATCTTGGGCCTCCCTGGTGGCGCAGTGATTGAGCGCTGGGTTGCGAAGCTGCCCGCAGCCTCTGCAGCGCCAGTTCGGATCCCCGGCCACCAGGCGAGGGTCCCACATGGAGCTCAGACCTCTCCTGCTGACCGCTGCTCCCCTCAGCAATGTATTTCATCACTCTGCCTGCCCTGCTCCCTGCTCTGGCTCTGGTGAATTCTCTCACCCTCCCACGCTTCTGACTGTACCCAGTGCTTGTATAAATAAATAAATCTTTAATAAATAAATAAATGAATAAATAAATCTTTAAAAATAAATAAATTTAAGCAAAAATAGGCAAAAATGGAAAATGTTTGCATTTCCTGATAGACTGTAAATTTGTGATCAGATTGTTCGCTTGTGTGACTGTCATAAGCTTCATGATAATATTTGGTGGTTTTAGGTTCTTCTATTAGGAGTTATCACTAGACGCTACAAACCCTCCTTATGAATGAGACTTGCCAACAGTAGCATGATAGTCTCATTATGTTAGGTAGGGTTCCTTTTGGAAATGAGTGTATCAGAGCTATGGGAGTTCTAGGCTAAGGTGATTCTTTTTCTGTGCATTTTGAGACAACCTAGCTACCTAAATCAGAGAAGATCGCCTTTCCTTTTTCTGATATATAGTATTTTCTTGAGTTGCTAAATTAAGAAATGTATTTCATTTTTACTGAAATACAAAAGAATTTTGTATTATTTGCCAAATTCAAAAAGAAGTCTACCTACAGATTTTGATTTTTGCATACTTTTAAGTGTTAAAAATAAAATTCAATGATTGCTTCCAGAATTTTATTTGTTATGGCATTTGTACTTTACTAATATTGTAAGGACAGAGAAACACAGGAAAATTCCCATTTTGAGGTTTTGTGGTCTTGGTGCCATGAGAGTGCCAACCAGATCAGTATATTTTCATTTATTATAAAAATTAAATGTTTTAGAACATAAAATTCTAGACCAGAATTTCTTTTATCATATCATTGTGTAAAGCTGATATTGTATTCAGTCACAATAACATGAAATTCACATAATATGAAATACTTACTTTGAATGTAGTTCCTTTGATTCCTCTACTTTTGATTTTGTTGTGTTTTGCGTTAAATAAAATAAGCTTAGGAGGAAGAGCTGGAAGTTTCAATAGCTTATTGTCAGCTAATGTCAGTTCTTCTAACAAAGTAAGTTTTGAAAAAGTGTTCTCTTCTATATCTTCAATCATATTTCCCGTAAAATCAATTCTTCTTAAGTTAGCTTGAAGGAAAAATATGCATAAAATATGAAGTTAAATTCTCATTTGTGTGCACTGAAGAAAAGCATTTGTTTAACAGGTCTTTCAAATATCTTTTATCTTTAGTTCCTAGGAGCACATCTAACAACTAGGGCATGAATTCTGAACATTTACTCTGTTTTTGATACTGACGGCCCTTTTTCTTGGACCTGTTGTAGAACCCCAGGTTTGGAAGGGAGTTTAGAGTTAATTGAGTCCTTCCATCCTTGTCTGTTTGAACTCCCAGTGTGCTCAGGCAGTTTGAAAGAAATTCCTGTTGTAAATCTTAGAAAGTAAGTATTACATTTATGAATAGAATCATATTTAAATTTAACTTACGTATGTCAGCAAAATCTTTGGCAGTTAACTTTTTAATTTTGTTGAATCGTGCATAAAGATAGGCTGATTCCTTTGGCAAGGGGGGCACACTGTCAATGTCAATCTCTTCACAGTATACGGAGCCACTTAAACAAACACACAGCAGGCATGTGGGCATTTCTAAATTGAGAAGCAAAATCATAAAAGTTTTAAAATATTTAGGCCTCTATTGGTGAAATTATTGCTATTGTGTTATTACTAATTTGAGAAGATATTTTTACTAAGTTATGATTGACAGCAGGAAAGATATCACAGTCATGACAGCTAATGACCTATATGGTATCTGATAATTCACCAGAATTTTATTTCAGATTCTCTAATCTGCAATGTTTTTTATTCTCTATCCTTTGAACAATAATCCTTTCATTGCTGAATTGTTTGACAGTGCATTTCCTCATTTGTTCCCAATGATACTGTCTTTGATCAATTGGTTCCAGCAGCAATGTCATGTTGCTTACTCTATCAAGTTACTTCTTTTCACTTTGTAATAAATAAGTACCTCTCACAGAAGTATTTTGAGATTCTAAATGTCTTATTTTACATCACATGTTCACTCCTTAGTTTTAGCACCTATTGATGATTCTTACCTGAATCTTTATCGCTAGTATAGTTGCCAAAAAGTGTGCTTTTCTAATTCCATTATTCCTTCTATATTTGTTAGTTGGCATTCTGTTGGAGGCAAACATTCTCATCTTATTTGTTTCTATCCAGTTTGAACTTAAGAATTCTTTATTCTATGAGTTATAATACCTAACTATCATTTATATTTTGATATTCAAATTTTCACAGATTATCTAGTGTGAACACTTTTAAGCTATTTTGTTCTTACCAGTTTTTTTTTTTGCTTAAATAACATACAATAAAATTTATTTAACTTATATAATTTGTAAGTTTTAATCCATATATCTACCATGAAGCCATCATGACCATCAAAATAGCTAACATATCCATCACCCCAAAAGTGATGGCAATCCCTCTTTGGCAATCCCTCCCTCCCGCTCTTATCCCCAAGTAACCATGGATCTGCTTGCTATCATTATACATTAGTTTGCATTTTCATGAATTTTATAGCAAACAAATCACACATTGTGTGTTTTTGCCTGGCTTCTTTCACTCTGCATAATTATTTTGAGCTTCATCTATTGCCCCAGATGTTTTTTCAATGAGCACTGTTCCTTTTAGTGGAAAAGTGTTTTTAAAAACTAAGACTCCAGTGTGGAGATGCTCAATCCTGCTGTGGTCTCATTGTTACTAGGCTCTATCAATAGAGAGAACTGGGAAATACATGGATGTGCATCTCTCCCTGCCCAATGCATTCCTTTTTATTACACAGTAGTATTTCATTGTGTCAATATACAGTTTACAATCAAGTCTTACAGGCATTTGGGTTGTTTCCAGTTTTTGGCTATTTCAGAGGAAACTGTTGTGAACATTAATGTATAAATTTGTGTGGACTAATTACTTTCATTCCTCTTGGGTAAACAGAATGACTGTGTCTTACTATGAGTGTGTTGTTACCTTTTTGAAGAAAGTTCTACTGTTTTCCAAAGGCTTTTTGCCATTTTGCTTTCCCATCAGCAGAGAGAGTTCCAGTTCCTCCATACCCTCACAAACACTTGGTATGTTCCAACTTTTTCATTTTAGTCATTTAGATGCAGTGTGTTTGAATACCCTGTGTTTTAGTTTGCATTTTTTAATGAATAATGATGCAGAGCATCTTTGTGTGTGTGTGTGTGTGTGTGTGTGTGTGTATGTGTTTGTGTGCTGGTGTCTACACACTGTCATATATATTCTTTCTTTGGTGTAGTATCTGTTCATATCTTTTGCCTGTTTTTAAATGTTTTTTTTTAATTACTAGTGAATCATGAATTATATATCATAGATGTAAGTTTGTCAGATTTATGGTTTGCACATTTTCCTCCAGTCAGTGGCTTGTCTTTTTTCTTAGCAATGTCTTTGAAGAACAAACATTTTTAACTTTAATGAAAAACGATTCCTTTTATAGGTCAAGCTTTTTGTGTTGTAGTTAAGAAATTTTTGTCAATCATTAAGTTTTTGTACTATGTTTTAGAAGTCATATAGCTTAAGGTATTTATATTTATGTGTGGGGTTCATTTTGAGTTCATTTTTATATTAACACAAAAAGGGTCAAAGTTCATTTTTTCTCCTATAGCATTTGGTTTTTCAGCACTTTTTTTTTTTTTTTTTTTTTTTTTTTTTTTTTATAGAGGCATGTTTTATTTATTTATTTATTTATTTGTTTGTTTATACATGCACTGGGTACAGTCAGAAGTGCGGGAGGGTGAGAGAATTCACCAGAGGCAGAGCGGGATGCAGAGCAGGCAGAAGGACCGAAGTACACTGCTGAGGGGAGCAGCGGGCGGCAGGAGAGGTCTGCGCGCCATGTGGGACCCTCCTCTGGTGGCCGGGGAGCAGCCGGGGATCGAACCGGCGACGCAGAGGCCGCGGGCAGCTTCGCAACCCAGCGCTCAACCGCTGCGCCACCGGGGAGGCCCTTCAGCACTGTTTTTTTAAAAAAGATTATCCTTTCCCCATCAAATTGCATTGGTACCATTGTAAAAAAAAAAACAAAACAAAAAAAACCCCAAGAACAGTTGACCACGTTGTGTAAGTCTGCTTCTGGACTCTGTTCTGTTCCATTGATCTATTTGTTTATTTTTATGCCAGTACCACAATATCTTGATTGCTGTGGCTTTATAAGACATCTTGGCATTAAGTAGTATAAGCCCTCAAACTTTCTTCTTCCTCAATGTTTTTCTGACTGTTCTGTGTTCTCAGCATTTCCATATAAATATTAGAATCAACTTGTAAATTTCACACAAAAAAAGAGCTTATAATGACTTATTTGAAATTGCATTTAATCTACAAATAAATTTGGAGAAAGCTGACGTGTTAATGATAATCAGTTTTCTGTTCCTTGAGCACATGTTAATGATCATCAGTTTTCTGCGTATGTCTAGGTCTTCTTTAATGTCTCTCTGCATTGTTTATCTAGATTGCAGTGTATAGGTCTTGTACCTTTTAAAATTGTTTTTACAAATTTATACCTATGTGTTTTTTTATTTTTTGATTAATTAAAAAAATGAAAAGTCCCATTATTCTTTAAGAGCCTCCCTATTTTCTGGTAGGGCAAGATGCTCAGACCAATCATGCTTTTCCCTGACCCAGATATTTTTTTTTCTATGAGCACTGTTCCTTTTAGTGGAAAAGGGTGTTTAGAAACTGAAACTCCTGTGTGGAAATGCTAACTGTTACTGTGGTCTCATTGTTACTAGGCTCTTTCAACGTAAAGAACTAGGAAAAACATGGATGTGTATGTCTCCCTATCCAATACATATACATTCACACACATAGATATCTACATACATATATAGGCACATCTTGTGCATATTACACATACATACTTGCACAGAGACAAACATGTCTGTACCTATCTCTGTGAACAAATCAGACTTGATACAGATAACTTGTATTGCCTTCCTCCTGTCCATATTTGGAATGGTCCTCTGTAATGGTGAGAAAACTGTCTCTCATTAGCCACAGTGTATCCACTCTGCCCTACTCAATCCTAGAAAATACTTTAAGTAGTTTTATTACTGCTAGCCTATACCTAGTCTGAAAGTATATACTCAGAAAAGCTGTTTTAAGGTTACTTGGACAGATTCTTTCTGTCCAAATAGGGAGATTGTATTGTCATTCATTTGAAGCACAATTAAGTTTATATTTCTCTACTTGCATTACAGTTTGGAATCTTATCCTTTTGGATTTTATATAAATTTGTTTGCTTGCCTAGGTGAAACTAATCTAATTCTAAAATAAAATCTACACAAAAACTGCACACTCAGTTTTGCAGAGGCACCATTTCTGTTTCCTGGTTCTCTTTGTTGAAAGAGCCTAGTAACAATGAGACCCAAGTTCCTACCTCCCCTCTTTTCCACACCTTGTTCTATTTGTAACCTGTAGGTCATACTCTGTTTTTAAATTATACTTCTTGATTTCTTTTCACACAAATGAACTGCTGCATATATATTTTTTAAACATTCCCTTTATTATAGATGAAAGGAAGTATAGTGTAGATACTCTTTGCACTATACTCTGGGAAGTCACTCCATGTTGGTTCATTTTTACATATGTTGGTTCCATGTTAGTTCCTTGTTCATTTTTTACAGCTGCATAGTCTTCCCTTACATGGATATACCATATTGATTCAACTATTCTTCAACATATGGCAATTAGATTGTTCCCATTATTTTGTAATTGCAAGCAATGCTTTGATGATATTACATATCTATTTTCTTACTTTTCAAAGTGTGATTTTAAGGTTAGTTCCTAGAAGTTAATGACTTTGTTACAAAATGCATATTTGATTTTATTAGATTATGCCAAATTCTGTTCAAAAGCATTATACCTGTCATTTTGCATTCCCACTAGCAATATGTGAGTGTCTGATACAACCTTAAAATATATTAATATATTGCAACACTTTTAATTTTTTAATTTAATTTAATTTTTACTTTTTTGTGGAAGATATGGATATAATTGTGTCCTTTTTCACTTAATGACTCATTTTCAGCATCACTTTTAAAAAGTCATCTTTGTTTCAATGATTTAAGATGTTGCTTGTATTATATATGAAATTTCAACAAATATTTCTTTCTGGTTCTGAACTTTGAATTCTATTTATGCACCACTATCACACATTTATAAAGTATAGAGATTTTACAGAATATTCTAGTATGTGATACATCTGATTCCTGTAGATGTCATTTTTCAGTGTTTCCATATGAACTTCAGAATCAACCTTACCAGCTCTTTAAAGAAGTTAGTTGTTAAAATTTAGGGAACATAAAGATATCTTTATATTAAATTATCCTATCCAAGAGCAAGACTTGTCTTTTTGTTTGTTCAAATCTATTTTTACTGTGATGATTTTCAGATTTCCTAAGATGTATTTTCTATTTTGGTCTATTTTAATTTTACTATAGCAATACAGAAATTAATATATTTTATGTCATATGAAATAATGGTCCATGATAGAGTACCATAAATTAAAGAAGAACAATCAAGTAGCAATTTGTGGTTTGTTACTTTATAATTTTTGTTATTTTAATTGAAATGTGCATTATAATTATTTATATATATAGTGTCTCTGAGATTCTTGAAGTCAAGTATTACATTTAATTTAATCTATATTCTGGGTATATATAGTATTTACAAGGAATTGGTGCTTGCTAAATATTTCTTAAATTGATTTTTTTATGTGTGTGTGTATATATAAGCACATACTTTATAGAGACTAAACTACTTGGAGTAAGTTTTGGTTCACCTTGAATGTTTGTGTTGCACATTTCTCACTCATAAAGTGGGATAGCAAATTCCCAAAATATCTTTTTGGCTTTATCACTGGAGATAAAATTCTATTATTTGAATTTACTGTTTCCTGGGCAGTTTTTGATTACTTGAGGAATAAAATTCCATTATAAGCTATTAATTTCTTTGTTTTCTTACAGCGGTATTCATTTTTGTGCAATAAATGAATAAAAACCCATAAAATTCCCACCAACTCATCATCCATGAACTCATGAACTATCACCATAGTCCCTTGTGGTAAGCTATTTTTTAAAGCTCATTAAAAAAAAGGTTATGCCATTTATCCTTACCATCACTTTCTTTCTTGGGTGGTAATGGTGTACTACTTTCATCTTTTTGTAACTGAAGACTTTTCTCATCGGGTATTATCATATTTTCTTTTTCCTGTTGGAAAAATGAAAAATGTGTTATCTGGTGTGAAAAGTCTGATTTTGACTGAATAACTGAGGGATCATGGATATTTACTTTCTCATAGTCATAGCAGCATTTTCTTTGTGCTCCGTTAGGATTTTGTATATGATTTTATTTTATCGTTCATTAAATTATAATGTAAATATTGATTTAAACTATATTCACTTTAGATTGTGAGCTCCATGAGTAGAAGAAACGGGTTTGTTTTTTTTTTTTTATTCACAAACCAAACTCAGTGATTACTGAATGTTAAAAACCAATCAAATTCCAAATGAAAACTAGGAGAGAATTCTTTGACTTGGAATCAGTTTTTTTTGAGGTGAAACCTAAATGAAGATACTATCTTGAGATCATCATGTAGAGTACCTCTTTTATTTCTTGCTTATGGTTCTTGCCTGAACTAAGTTCCTAATATCAAAGTCTTCCATGTTGAATTGGACTAAAGCACCAGTCATGTCACAGGTGTAAAGCACTGAAGGAGCTCTTTCCACTTCTGGTGGAAGTGACCTATTTACTTACCTATGTGCCTCCATCAAGCCAGGGCCCTTGGAGTGTTTTTATTCCAGCCTACCTATCTTCTGCAAACCACCATTCAAGGCTGTTAGTTCTGGGAAAATTGAGTCCTTATCATTTACTCTTTTTTCTGTTCTGGGAGCTATTAGACTAAAGCATATTTTGTGGGTTCCTTTGGAAGCATGTTCCACTTTAGTCTTGATTTTTTTTCTATTGAACACTCCTTCCACTCTGCATTTATGTATTAAGTACATTGAATTCTACTCCACTTTTCAAACATCTGAGTCCCTACTTTTATATGGATAAAGAGACACTTCTAAAGCAGCACAAAGAGAGGAAGGTATTCCTTTTTAGGAACTTAATACTTTTCAGGGGATTAGAGCTCTTTTGAAATGATTGAGATTAAAATCAACCACTTGAGTCAATAACTAATTATGACAGGTCTCTTTTGTTGTTGAAGCTATGGATAGTGAAAACTGTCTTTTTTGTCTTAATGTTAGGCAAAATTAATTCTAAAATATTAACATTTGTTCATTGTATACTAAAAGAAAAAAGAGAAATAATTATACATCATTTTTAAAATCCTTGTCATCCTATTTATAGTGGAGAACTTTTAACACAGCAAACATGGTTATATATTTGGCTGCATTTTTCTTTGTGTGTGTGACAGTAGGCGAGCACCAGATATTTATGTGCTGTATTAACTTTTTCCTTTCCCAGAATTCATTTCTGTGTGCCAAGAAAACCACAAGTAATTACGTCGCCCATAGGAATGGAGTGAGAAAGATGTGTTATGAAAGCTATGCCTATAGAGGGTTAGCTAAAGAATAGTTAGTTACTTGGTGTACACTGATAGAATATAAATTGTTGAAGTGGATTTAAAAAGAAAGCCCCATATTAGTTTTTCATTTTTTATACTGTGTGTATGAAGTTGGCACATGTAAATTATTGTGAAATGCTGTAAATACCAATATAGTCATATTCTATATATTTCCTTGAACCACTTTTTCCTAAAATAATAAATCTTAAACTGGCAATCCGTCTTTATTTTTCCTGAGACACAGTTCTCCTGTTTTATTTTTAAGGCAATGTAATATGCAAATATAAAGTGTTATATAATGTTACTTAACATATAAATCTCAACTGGTCAGGAGTTATCTTAAAATTGAATTTTTCTTATTTTAATTTTTTTTGGTTACTGTAGATACTGCTTAGTTACCATAGATACTGTTCATTAATTTGGAAGCATATGTACTTAAAAAATGTAAGCTTAGGGACAATTACTATAAATTGCTTTGAATCATTTAAAAAAAAATTTTGTCACTTTGCCTTCTCAGACACATTCAGAAAAAAACCAAAAACATGCATTTAAGTGGGCAACCATTTTAGAAGTAAAAATTAGAATAGAAATAAAGTACCTTAATATTTTTTCCATCCAGGTATTTATCCTCATCATCGTGGCTAAACAAGTTTTCTTCAAAATTATCTGTTCCATAATCATAGATAATTCGTGAGTCCTGTTGAGTTCGTGGTGCTGGCATTACCAGAGGCATAAATAGTAACAAGAGAAATGTAGACTGCAGCGTCTTCATTTTAGCAAGGTGACTGGAAGTTAATAAGCTAGTGGCCTGCTGACTGTGGGACAATACTCTCTTTTTCCTTGGAAATAAAAACACAGACCATCCAAGCAATATTTAAAAGCTTAGAGAGGACTTTTTGGCAGGGTGTATGCAGTAAAGGCCAGAGAACAAGTATTTAACCCTTAGTGATCTTTAATTAGATGCTAAAAGTTTTTATGTATTAGTGACATTTCAAAAAAAAAAAGTTTCAGAAATGTTTGACTTCTTTTCTATCAAAAGTTTAAGCAATATTAATAATTTAAGTTTGTTAATAATTAAGTACATTGAAAAAGGCACTCTATACAACTGAAATCTTAAGATACCTGTAGTACAAATAGTTAAAATGAAGACCCAAGATTCTGTCTCATGTGAGTTAAAAATATCATGTTTCTACTTTGCTACCTTATAAGAACTTTTGATTTGTATTAGATAAACAGAAACAAGTTCCAAGAAAAGTTTTAAAAGTTTATATTTAACATTATGAAAAATAATCATTAACACTTAATTTTAGGTGGTACAGAATATGGGAAAACCATATTTAAATTTTCTTAGCTTTGTAAATTTCACTGGTATCACTATATTTAATTAATAAATTACTTTTAAAACTTAAATTATGAAAAACATAAAAATAATATTTTAGATAAGAATAAAATATAGAACTTTAATCAAGGATTTAGGGGATGTTAAGGGAAGGATTCTTTCAGGCTCACCAATACTTTATCTGGTGGTGCACATTCCAGATTTTTTCTTGAGTAACTTCAAGCAGAATCTCTCAGAGTTGCTGATGTTGCATTGTAGATGCCAGTTTGCCAAGAATCAATGGTTGAAAATGAAGAATAATATGTTCTGTGACTTTTGCAGCGCCCTGTTCTTGCCTGCATGGATATTAAAGTTATGCAATGATATACAAAAGTGCTTGTTAAAAATTAATTGTTCAGGGTAACTGAATCTTCAAAAAATTAGAGGTGGCCTTTACATTTAATAAGACTGCTCAAGATGAGTCACATCTTAACAAACAACATTTGAAATAATATGTGAGAAAAGAGCCTACCGTTGTAGCTGTTTTGAAGTTTTTTGTGGTTTTCCTCAATAGACGTTCATGTCTGTGCGTTTTGCCCCCAATGGGAGGGTGAATGAGGAAAGCCGTGGATCAATTTCAAACTGCTGAATAGAATTTCAGGGCCCAGCAGCTTTAAAAGCAGTTTCCATGTGGTAGAAATCTTTGCCAACATTCTTTCTCAAGGGTGAAACGTGGTGTGTTGTACTAGAGCACTGTGCTTAAAGTATTTGTAACTGCTGTGCTCAACCTGCCTTTGCTAATTACCATAGCATGTGTTATTTTTACCTTGTGTATTAGATTCTAATGCTTTAGTGAAAATTTGTGAAGATGACATAGTTATAAAATCATGCTTTTCAGTTTAATGCTTTCCCAGGAGATGAAACATCTGCTTTTTGAATGAAATGAAACACCAAACCCAAAGCATAGTCTATGCTTTAAGCTTTATGAGAAGTAAAAATATTGTTCTAGAACTATAATTAGTATATAGCCAAGAAATTTCCAGTGGAAAAATTAGTCTTAGCACAGATTATTTTATAGTTCAGTCATTTGCCACTCCCTCTCCTTAAATTTAGTTGTGTATAATATATTGTAACCCTAACTGTAACAACAGCTTTTTAAAAATAAATTTGATTTGTAATATGGGTTTAACAATAAATGATATTTTTGTTTGCTAAATGAAGAGAACTGTATAAAGCTACTCTAATATTAAATTTGATTTTTAGTAATTTAAGTGCTATTTAATATAACTATGAGCATCTCTAAAGATTCCACTTTTATTTTTATCACTGATTAGTGCTTTTATCATGATAACATTTCTTTCTCCTCTAAGCTAAAAATTTTTTAAAAATGGATAAATATTTCACTAAAAATAGAAAATGAAAGAATACTAATTTGTTCAGACCAGAGGAGAGGTCTGCACGCCATGTGGGACCCTCCTCCAGTAGCTGGGGAGCAGCCGGGGATCGAACCAGCGCCCCAGCACTTGCAGAGGCTGCGGGCAGCCTTACAACCCAGCGCTCAACCACTGCGCCACGGGGGAGGCCCTAAATCATTGATTTTAAAGCTTTAGAAGTCTTTAAAAATATCTAATAATGAAACTGTAGATGTTGATTTGTTTTGCATTGTATTAGGTTTGGCAGGATGTTGAGAAGTAAACTGGGTAGATATTAAATGTCCAGATTTAGAGACTCTTAAAGATTCAAAATTTCATACTTTGTACTTCAGAAATCCCTTTGTGAATTATATCTTTCCTTGAAAAGTTGTGACCAGTGAATGCAATCTGATTTAATAAATGTATTGAGTGCCAGTCCTCTGCCAGAACTATAGACAATGAAGCTTAGCAAGCAAACATTTCCCCTTCATTGAATTCATGGTCATTCTTAGGTAAGCAAACAGAAAACGTGGTGGGACCTGCTGCCCAGAAATGCTCAGGGCTCTGCTGTGGCCTGGGAGAGGCCACTGAGGTTGCACCTAACTGATTTCTGCAGGGATGACAAGGGAGAATGTGGGGGGAGGGGTGCTCCAGGAGATGTTCTAGGAAGTGGAGCAGCACAACAGGTGGGGTATGGTGGCTGATGGAAAAAATTTGTATTTTGTTGCATATGACTGGAGGTAGGAGGGAGAAAGAGAGGTGAAAGATGGCACAGTTAAGAAATCTGGTTAAGGAGAGTCTTTTTTTGTCTTGTGGAGGTATTAGAACTTCATTCTGTGGCCAGTGAGAGACCACTGAAGATGTTTAAACTAGTGAATGTCATGGTCCTATTTTCATTTTAGAAATAATACTCTAATGTTGCATTTGTAAAGAATATGACTATTGTATTGGCTATTTATGACAAATTTAGTGGCTTAAAATAACATACTTATTATCTCACATTTCTTTGAGTCAGGAGTCTGGGCAAGGCTTTGCTTGGTTCTCTGCTTCAAGCTCTCATGAGAGCACATTCTCTGTGAAGTCCTTTATAGTGATTCTATTGCATTGTTCCTGGTATTTGTATAAAGTTTTTTATCTTTGAATGTGTCCCATTGGACTGATGGTTCAACCTCCAAATTATTTCTCAGCAGCAAACAACTAAAAACTGTGTTGAATGGAATAGAGTATAAGAAACAAAGATTTTTCTAAGAGGGAGTATTTTTGGAGGTGGCTTAGGTCTATTGATAAAACTGTCCCTAAATGGCAAAATAAGCCCTATTGAGAATCACTATGTTACTAGATATTTATAGACCCTTTGAAATTCAGTTTTCTATGATTTTGTTAAATGTCTATCACTGTGAATCTCCATCTCAAATTCTGTGCTTTTTCCTGAAATCTAGTCTTTTGGTCAAATGAGATAAAGATGAGAACCCAAGCACTTCCCAAACTAAAGGGTGAAATGGAAATGGAGGAGCATTATGACTCATTAGAAGGAAGGGTTAATGTTTAAAATGTCCTGGATTTGTGAGTTTAATTTTTCTGAATGATACATGAAACTCCATGTGGTGAATTTGAACCTAATAAATTTGTAAAGTAATGATGGGTGCATGGTACTATGATATTTATATTGTTGTATTTATCAGGAAATTGGAACATAATACAAATTTGGGGTTTTTTAGCTGTTGTGATTTAATTTTGTATTCAACTGCTGTTACACTTTATTTCTAAGATACTGAAAAATGGGTTTGGAATCAGGAAATCATGGTTTTAGTTCCTTGGGGGCATATGAATCATTTGCAACAGAAAAAGTATATAAAAGAGACAAGGTTTATTTCTTTTACTTTTTTTCCCATGGAGTTGGTTAAGTGTTGCACAATATGCCTACATCTGTATTTTAGTTTAACGATTCCAAACTTGAGGAATAAAGTAAAAATGTGTTTCAGGTACTATTTAAACAAAAGCTAAAATTCGCTCACTAGAATTACTGTAAGCAAGAATTAAAATATCCCTCATTTTTATTTCCTTTCAGATAACTAAATACTCATTATTCTTTTATGTTTTTTAACTAAGCTTGAGGCTCATGGTGTGATTTAGTGATTTGGATTTGTTTGTTGTCACAGACAGTTCAGCCTAGTAGCAAATATAACTAACACTTTGACGTGTAATGAGAAAATGGATAAATTTTCTTCTTTTTCTTTACTGTTATAAATATCAAATTAATTGGTTCTGTCTATAAGTCTAGTAGATAACTGTGCTATCTTGATATGCTAGTTGAAGAAATATTTTATTTTTCAATTTGTCTGAGAGAAAGAATTGTTTTTTATTGATCTTTTTGTTATAAATGAGAAATGCTTGGAGTGAGTATGAGTTACTCAGGGCATTTTCAAGTAACAGGAGATTGTTGTTAACCTGCTTCTTCATTGGGCCCTATAACTGGAGGATGTGTTTGTGTGTGTGTGTGCGTGCGCGCGCAAGCGTGCACCTTGTAAAAGAATAAAGGAAACCCTGTCCTCCCTGGTAGGTTATCCAGGGGTACTTTGGAAAATTGAACTATCAAACTAACTTGGAAATCTGGTACTGTGAAATCTGGGGCTTACTTTGCCATTTAGGGACAGTTTGTTGTGGTGTATGTGACCTAAGCACCTTTCCTCTAATGAAACTTTCAGTACAATCTGTCGTGTTCACTCATCTTTTACATGAGTAGCACCTTGGAAAGAACCTAAGGTGGTGCTTGCACCAAGAGAGCACGCTAGCGTTTAAATCCCTGTTGACATCTTGGTAGGACATAGACCTAGTAGGTTGCTAGTAGACTGCTGAAATGATAGCTACTGTTTATTGGATACCTGTAACTTGCATAGTCTAATTTTCTTCATCCTCATAACAACCCTAGTAGAAATGATGAAAGGAAGAGAGACTGTAAGTAACTTAACTCAAAGTCCTCTAGCTTAGTTACTACTTAGGCATATCTGGTGTCAATTTCCTTGTTTTAAATAGAGAAATTGTACAATTTTATTCTTCACTGAGGCTGTTTTTGAGGATTACAATGTATTTTCTTTTATCAATTTAGAAGATAAAAGTAGAAGCTCCAGAATTCTGAAATTTGAAGGGTTTTTGTTTTTAACTGTACAGGAGACGGGAAATGATGACCAAATCTTTATATTAATCTTATATCAGAGCTTGCAAGTTCTTATCACTGTTGCCAGTTAGTTCCTACTCATATATTAAGGTTCTCTTTTCTTCCTTGATACCTTCACTTCACCATATCCCAGCCAGAAGTAAGAGTTAGGATATCTGTGTTCACATCTTTTTTTACCATTACTGATACTTTAATATTTTCTTTCTTTCTGCCTTGTGTTAGAATTAATTGATTTTATGTTCTTTGTTAAATTTTTTAATAAAAGCTTCATTGAGATGATTCCTATCTCATACAATTCACCCTTTCAATTATATAATTCAGTCATTGTTTTTGTATTTTCACACTTGTACAGCCATTACCTCAACCAATTTAAAATATTTTCATCACCTCAGAAAGAAACTCTGTACCTATTAGTAGTCACTCCCCCTTTTCCTCTAGTCCCCTGCCCCCAGCCCTAGGCAGTCAATAATTTTTTTTAATTTTATTTTTATATTCCCCATACAATTGCAACCCCCTTATTTTGACCCCAATCCTCCTCCCCCCCCCATAGTGTGTCTCTGGTTCATATTTGTTAGTCAATAATTATTTTGTTTTTGTCGATTTTCCTGTTCTAGACATTTTATGGAAATAGACTTGTGCAATATATG